ATCTATTCTATAACGCCGTTCTAATTCTATAAATATAGTGCCGATAGCTAGCCTTCTACCCCCTTAGCAGCGAGGAAAGTAACGACTTCTAGGTGCTAAAATATCTTAGAATCGGCCCGTAGAACGCGTGGCCTAACGTCGAATTAAGTCTTAAGCAGGGCAAAAATATCCTTTAGAGCGTGCAGGATAAAGCCTTAGTCTTTCTTCTATAGGTAGTAATCCTATGTATAACCTATATACACGTCTATAACGAATATAATAGACTTATATAGTCCGCCCGCTAATTACTCCGCCTCTTCTAAATCGTGAAAATTAATAGCTAGGGCCTCTCCGGGCTTTAACGGGTAAAGGGATAGTATCTGCCGGATCTATATAGGCATTTACGATTACCTATACACGTTATAGTCCGTTATACGAGGTCCCTTTATCTTTACCCCCTAAGTAGCGTCGACGATCTTTATAAGAGTATCGGTGCCGTAGTGGCTAAGGCGTTCGTGCTACCATTATACCGTAGTCTTCTACGGTTACTGCGGTTATCGTGATCTTCTATACGGGTTATCGCGGGGGTGCCTTACCGAGACCGCGAACGCGGTAGCAGCTATGGCTTCCGCGCGCTCGATTATATACTGGCTGTGGATATCTAGTAGCTTATAAATAGGCCGGTCGTCGGCGGAGTTAACGATAGTGTCGTTTACGGTATCCTAGTAGTAACCTTATAGGCGTAGCTAGTATTCCGAGACGATATTAGTAATAAATTCCTTATAGTATACGATATTACGGAGGCGTAGTAGCCTTTTTATACCTAATAGGGATTATACACGTAGCTTAATATCTCCGTATCCGAGGATAGGAGCCTTATAAGTACCTACCTAAAGCGTTAATAAATTAACCATGGGTAGTCTAATAGCCGTAAAACAGCCTCGATTATTAAAGATATAGATTAACGATCCTAAGTCTAGGATCGTGTAGTGTAATAGCGCTCTGGCTTAGTTAATAGAAAGGGATATCCCCTATTCTTATTATAATCTTAATAGTATCGTCGTACGATAACGCGCTACCCCTTAGGTTAGGGGGACTCCTAGTTTCTCCGTCGCGGTGACGGACAGGTCTTTATAAACTATAGTAGTAGACGTAGTATTATAGAGTTAATCTTCCTAGACTTCCTCTATTTTATTAGCGGTGGCAGCTATTACTTCCCGCCTCTTCTGTATCGCGGTGTCTACGCGGCTTTTAAAACTATAAATACGTATCTTCTTTTCCGCGACCTTTATAATATCTTCACGGCCATGCTAGGTATAAGGGCGTATATCCGGCCTTACGTACTAATAGGCGGCAGTGGTATAGGTATTCTTATATATCTCGTAAGGCCTCCTTATTACGGGAGGGATAGCCTTTACGGACGTATCACTATAAGGGCGCTTTTTATTAGTATCGTTATTAGCAGTATCCTTAGTATCGGGGAGGTTCCTAAGGGTGTTAAATATGCCTCTCCTAACTCTAGGCTTTATAGCGGTGGATTATAGGCTCTTTATATTACTAAGAACCGCCCGTAAAGCCTTTATAAAGTCGTTAATCGTTAGTTCGTTTTCCGTAATCTTATCGTAGTTATTTACTAGGTAGTTATTGCTTTATTTCTAGGTAATAGGTCTAACGGCTTTTAACGCGTCTTCTGCCCAATAGTCCGTGCTTAATAGTTCTAAAACGCCTATATATTTATAGTATATTATCGCTATTTTCTAGCTTACAACCTAAGCGTCTATATCCTTAGGTATAGCCTTTATAGGTATAGTGTATTATCGGTACAGGACTAGGGCTTCCTTACGGAGGTCTATAAGTATCGGTCCTGCGTCCGCGTGCAGGAGAGTAATGTAGGCCCGCAGGTTATTTACGGTGTTATCCTATAGCTAGGCGAGGAGGTTATGTAATATAGTATATATAGTCCTTTCGATATAGGAGTATACCTTATTAAACTCCTTCTACTACGCGTCGTAGTCTGCCTTTTTCTCGCGGTATATATAGCGATCTTATAGGTAGCGCGTACGCCCTTTTTTAAAGAGGTTATCAATAGATATAGGCGTCTTAGTCGATGGTTCTTTCGTTACGGCCGTAACCTTCTAGCGAGCGGCCGTCTTCCTCTTACCGGTAGCCGTAGTAGCGGCCGTGGTAGCCGTGGATTCTATAGTATCCGTGGCCTTATCGCCCTTTAGCGTGATAGTAGAAGACGGAGTAGCTATAATAGTGGTGGCTGTGGCCTCCTCCGTGTTAGAGTCCACGGCGAGGGCTTCGTATTTACGAATATTAGGGGGTATAGGTATAGGGAGGAGATAGGCGTTAGCCTTCTTATCGCTTAGCTTTAGATTAAGGTAGTTATCCTAGTAGGAGGCCGATTTACCGCGTACGGCGCGCTCCTAAACTGCCTAATCCCTCTAGTTAATAAGGGTCGTGGCGGCCGCCTTTTATTCGGCGTTAGATACGTTAAAAGATATCTTAACTAGATTATAGTTTATTGGTTAGTTAATTAATAGGTAGGTTAATTAATCTCTTAAGTACTCCAATTAGGTTAATAGTAGTTATTTAAGAGTACTTATATAGACGTGATTACTTCTTTATAGTAGAATAGGGGTAGCCTTATTAATATCTATCGTTTAGGCGTTATAAACCGGGCGTATAACTATCGCACGTACTAACAGGCACTTAAATAATTAACTTAGTAGAGCAGAAATCTTATATATATGTATTATATTAAGTTATATCTAGAAGAGTCTCTTATACCCTTAATTTAGGTGGTGAAGACTCTGTTATGGGTACTATATCATTTAGATCCTATCCGGTCTTTTCCGGTATCCACCCTTATCATATCCTGATGCCCGAAGTCCCTGATATCCGGAGCCCTTAGTCATGGAGTGGATCCCCCCTGGATCCCCTATGGACCATATCGTGGTCCTGTCCATGCGGCATCTAGCGGTTACCCCGGTGGCCGTAAAGATTCACCGTAAAGACCTCCCTCCTCCTCCGAAGAACCCTCGCAATATACCCTCGCACCTTTACGGCTACCTATTCTGATAAGTATAAGAAGACTACCTACGGAGCCACGAGGAGATAGGGTCGTGGATACGGGTACCGGCGTCCGTAGTAGATAGATATTAGGTTTTTAATTCGATATAGGTAATAATATATAAGTTCGATAAGTATAGATTTCTATATAAATATAAGGTAAGGCTTATAGTGTGAGGAGATTAGTAGTATTAATCCTCGCTTAAGGAGACGTACGTAATAATACTAGCCGGACGGTTATTCCGCGCGTTAATAGCTATCGCCGCCCGATTTAACCTTACGCTATTATAGTTTAATATTAGAAACGCGTTTATACACACGCCCCTCCCCTATAATATCTTTATATACCCGCTGCTAGACTTTTTAGCCCCTAGGAGTCGTTTACACCTGAAAAAGGCGTTATATAGACTTAAGGAGTTTTTACTGCTTGAGTAAAAGCACTTTTCGGCTATCCTTTTAGCGGACGGCTTCTAGATAGTACCGTAAGAACCGTGTTATTTTCTGCGCCGCGGTTTAATCCTATTCTTCTACGTTAACGATATCATTATTACTCATAAGGAATAATATAAGGCGTAGATAAAGCAGGCCGTTAATAACCTATAACGCCACTATAACCTATAAGGTAGCGATCCTCTATAATGGTTCCTTAGTATTAAGGTTATTCGCGACCGCGTTACCCGTAAAATCTAGCTATTATAACGCGACTATATTACTAAGTTAGAACGCCTATTAAAGCCGAATAGTAAGTATAGTAGTAACTATCGCCTAATGTACCTAATTAAGGTTATAGAGCTACTACTCTATTTAGGGACCTTGACTAATGTTAAAAGCTATTAACGGAAGATAGGATCTATACTATATATAGTAGTGATATCGCGGCCTGATATCGCGTTTATAGTATCCAGGCTATACCGGTTTAACGTTAATCTAGGGCCTATTTACTATAAGGTAGCCGATTATCTAATCCTCTATCTAATTAATAGCTAATCGTTTACGTTAGAACTAAGGGGTAGCGATATTATTAAAATCTATACTAACACCTTATTTGCCGATAATACCCTTAATCGAAAGAGTAGTTAAGCGTATATAATACGCTTATTTAGCAGTATAATAATATAGCGCGCTAATAAGCAGGATACGGTTATAACGTTTATAACTGAAGCAGAGCTATTAGTGTTAGTATAAGGTATAAAAGAGGGTATCTTTATATAACACCTATTATTTAGTATAGGAGTAGAATTTAACGATCCGGAATTCAGAATCTTATACGATAATAACTAAACGATTTAATTAGTTAATTAAGAGATTAGTACGTTAATAACGCGCCTCCGCTATATCGATATCCACGGCTACTAGTTACGTTAAGTAAAGGAATAAGGGTAAATACCCGTAACGTACGTTACGAGCGCGGAAATAGTGGTAGACGGATTAACGAAGGCGCTATACGGCGAGAAATTTAAGATATTTAGGTCCTAGGTGGGTGTAATAGATATACGGGAACGGTTATAGTAGAAATAGCTAGAAGAAGTCCGGATAGAATATTTAGAGGACCTAAAGGATAAATTTAAGGGCGGATATAGTGAATAGATTATATAGCTGGATTATCTGCCGGTTACGAATAGCTTTAATCGCCTAACTAACGTTTTAGGGCGATTAGGGGGTGTGTTGAATAGACTATATATAGTCTTTTCGGTTATATAATAGGCCAGATTACTAAGAGTATAATCCGGGTAGACGCTTACAGAATCTGCACTATATAAAATACAGTGGTAGCGTTTCCCTGATAGTCTAGGATAGTTATAATTGTATATAATTGCCTTAATAAATTTTAACCTATTTTGCAACAATTTTGACTACGCTTTATCTGACACTACCTACCCATTTACAGTGCGGTAGACACGTCCCCACACGCGTTGCAAACTGTCACAGGTACGTACCGCCGACAAGGCTGAAATTTCCGCCGCGACCGTTCTGCAAGACAACAAACAACCTACCATTCCTGATAGCGTGAACATTTTCCCACTCCTCGTTTTTACAGCCGCTCGATATCAAGATATACGTACATTGACACTCTACGCTTCCCACTGCGCGTGCTGAAGCTGGCCTCGGCATGCCATCACAGCCGGAGTGTTCCCCAAGACTCGACCAAGATTCAAAGGATGCCGACTGCGAAGCGACAGAAGAAGAGTGGCAATGCGCCGGCTGCATCTCAGACGAAAGCTCAGCCAAAACGCACCGGCGAACGGCCGACTGTTGCAGACATTGAAGGCGAGAGCGAGTTCACCCAGCTTGCGCGGAAGCATTGGTTGAAGCCCACGAAGAAGGTTAAAGTGAAGAATGACGTTATTAAGAAGGAAATCTGGGAGGTTCTGGAGCGGGACAGCTTTCCGTACAAGACATTACTTGTCTTGGAGGGTCTACAAACTCTCGAGAGGTATGAGAAAACCAAGTACGCATGGATTCGGAAATCCTTAATGTAACATTCTCGCCCAACTCTATAGCTACCTCTGGCCTGGATATACCGACGAGTCCTCGAACCACCATGTCTTATTAATCGTTCTACTCACGAACGTGAAGAGGAGGGAGCAGCTTACCTCTTGGAGCATCTTTGAAGATAGGAGCGACGCCTTCTCCGACCTTTTTCGCCGCATTCTTTCCATGACCCTCGACCAAACCCTGTCGCTCAACATCAGAACCCAACTCCTCTCCTTCCTCATCTCGGCTTTTCAGAGTCTAGACCATGCCATTGTGAGAAAAGAATGTGCGCCTCTTCTGTCCATTTCGATATGGCACAATCTGTCCACAGACGCCCTGCGAGAGACCAAGCTCGAACACAACGCCCATGTGCGCAAAGCATGGAGAGCATCCCTAAAGAGATATGAGGCTGCCGACGAGGCAACAAAGGCCAGGTTGCGCTTTGAGCGCTCATGGCTTTATACGTTGGTCCTCGACTTCTTAAGCCTCCTGTACGAGGAGGACACGGGGCCTGGTACGGTCTCCCGCCTTGTTTCTGCACTTTCCTATCCTTGGCAGGTCGCTAACCTCATCTCAGAACACGTCGTCTATTGCGAGAGGTTTATTGAATTCTTGACAGACCTTCTGAGCCAGCTTCCCACTCGCCGATATGTCAACACTCTTCTTACCGACCTCAACGTTCTCCCGGCCATGCAGCTCTCCCCCATGCTCAACGATGAAAACAACGGTCTTGTGCGGGACCTGCACTCACTTTTCGCCCACTATGTATATTTTACCATTGATGACCAAACAGGAGTCCAGTTCACTCAGTCAGAAGCCTTCGATAAACATTGCGCGGTTCTCGGGAGGTTGCAGAAGATGGCTATAAAACACTTCCCTGAACAGCTCAAGGTGCTCGCACTGTCAAATTTCGGCGCAATCGACAAGAGGGAAGAACTCAAAACGCTCCTAGAGCCTCTTACCGACGAAGAACTCATGAAGCTGGCGAACCTGCTGCACTTGCGCACCTCTTATCCAGACACCCTACCGATCCGGATTGACAGGAATTTCCTGGTCGAAGTGTTTCTTTGGACATTCGAACGGAGGAAAACCTTCCAGGAAGTGGCCCGGGAAATGAACCTAGCGCCCACGGAGGATTCGCTTTTTGCGAGTATCCTGACTAGGGCCGAGGCATACGATGGTTCTCATCCCTTGGCTCTGCCAAAGCTCAATCTCCAGTATCTTTCAGTCGGTGATTTTCTGTGGAGGTCGCTCATCTTGTACCGTTCCGAAGCCTTTTACGGGATTCGCAAGGACATCGAGACTGTCATCAAACGCCTACGTCCGGAGAGCAAGAAGCCGGGGGAAACGGAATTTCCTGGATTTTCCAAGATGGCCCTGCCCTCCTCCAAAGTTTCGTAAGTGCATCCCTTCCTGCGACAACGTAAAAACTAGGTCAAGTGACTGACGAAATGCAGAATCATGGAAGTGGTGCCTCCCTTGGTCGGAGATGACAACCCGTCTGTCGTGCGGGCAGAGGTGTCCGTGGATGTGCGCCGGCTGAAAGATAATATCCGTCGTGAGTGGGACTCGCTTCGGCCCGATGATGTTGTCTTCCTATTAGCTATCGAACCGCCGATATCGAGGACCATCGGCAATGGCGCTGCCACTTCCTCGGAAGCTGATCGTCTTGGAATCGTGGCCGTTCGTACTGCTGAAATTATCCGCATCACGGACGACAAAGGCCGGCCCGTGAGGGATACTACAGGCCGGTACGGCGGGAACCGAATCTTCCAACTTAAACTCGACTCGCAGACCTACGCCGGCGATGCTGAGCGTATCTCAGCAGGAAAGTCTGACGTGTACGGACGCATCAACCTGATCATGAGGCGCAGTGGAAGGGAAAACAACTTCAAGCCTGTTCTGCAGTCCATTCGCAGCCTGGTGCTTTCCGACGTTCCTCTCGCCTCCTGGCTTCATGAAGTCTTTCTTGGCTACGGCGACCCTGCTGGGGCATCATACAAGCAGCTACCGAACAAGGTCAGGGCGATCGACTACCGTGACACCTTCATAGACTGGCAGCACTTGATAGAAAGCCTACCTGGGAAAATCATCGAGCCCAGCGACGACGCGTCTGGTAGTTTCGGGCCGCCTTATGTCTTGGAATCGACGGAGAAACCAGCGGCCACACAAGGTAAGCCATCATCAAAAAAGCGCCGCAGGGACGCCGAACCTGCTCTGTTGGCCGACGTCGAAACATTGAAGGTGTCCACCTACAAGCCTCCCAACACGGGACCTTATCCCACCGACGCCCCCAAGCGTAACACCGTCCGGTTTACTCCGGCTCAGATTGATGCGATTATTTCTGGCTCCCAGCCAGGTCTTACCATCGTGGTTGGTCCGCCGGGAACGGGAAAGACAGACGTTGCGACCCAAATCATCAGCAATATTTACCACAATTTCCCCCAGCAGAAGACGCTCCTCATCGCGCACAGCAATCAGGCGCTTAACCAACTCTTCGCCAAAATCGTGGCCTTGGACATTGACGAAAGGCATTTGCTGCGACTGGGTCATGGGGAGGAGGACTTGTACACTGAAGGAAGCTTCAGTAAACACGGCCGCGTCGAGTCGTTCCTAGACAACCGCAACCGATACCTCCAGGAGGTCCAACGCCTTGCCGCCAGTATGGGAGCACCAGGTGCTCATGGGAACTCGGCCGAGACTGCTGGTTATTTCAATGCAGTGTACGTTGAAACCGCATGGACAAAGTTCACAAATGCTACTCAGGACGCAGATGTCTCCCCAGCGGCCATCATCGAGGCGTTCCCCTTCCACGAGTACTTCTCAACTGCCCCGCAGCCACTCTTTCCGGCCGACGCAGATCGCGAGACTGTCATGGAGATTGCGCAAGGATGTTACCGGCATATCAGCAAGATCTTTTCGGAGCTTGCAGATGTCATGCCGTTCGAGATTCTCCGAAGAGACAGGGATAAGGCGAACTACCTACTCACGAACGAGGCTCGTATTATCGCCATGACCTCCACACATGCGGCTATGAAGCGGGAGGAAATCGCGTCACTCGGGTTCCGCTACGACAACGTCGTCATGGAAGAAGCTGCTCAGATTACCGAGATCGAGAATTTCTTACCCCTGGCCATGCAAAAGCCGGTGAACGGGGAGATGCCTCTGCAACGTGTTGTCCTCTGCGGTGACCATTTCCAGAATTCCCCCATCATCCAAAGTCACGCCTTCCGGCATTATGCCAACCTAGAACAGTCGCTGTACTCGCGGCTGGTACGCCTGGGCGTTCCGACCATCAACCTGGATCAGCAGGGTCGTGCTCGGCCGTCCATTGCTAGTTTGTACCAGTGGCGATACCCGAACCTGGGCAATTTGCCGCACGTGCGGACGCACGAAGAATTCTCCAAGGCCAATGCCGGATTCAAGTACGATTACCAGTTCATCAACGTTCCGGACTACAAAGGACGGGGTGAGGCCGAGCCTAGCCCACACTTTATTCAGAATCTTGGGGAAGCCGAATACGCCGTCGCAATTTACCAATACATGCGGCTCCTGGGCTACCCGGCCTCTAAGATCAGCATTCTTGCGACCTACTCCGGGCAACGTGCCTTGATCAAGGATGTTTTAGCCCATAGATGCAGTAACAGTGCTGTTTTCGGGCAACCAAGGGTCGTCACTACCGTGGACAAATACCAGGGCGAGCAGAATGACTGTAAGCGGAGACTGACACCCCAAGACGCATTGTTTTACCTTTTTCTTCTTTTTTTTATAGTCAGGACTAACAAACTGCAGACATCATTCTATCACTCACTCGTACCTCGCGAGTTGGTTTTCTGCGGGATATCCGTCGCATGACCGTAGCTCTATCGCGTGCGAGGCTGGGCTTGTACATTCTCGGACGCCGCGAGGTCTTCGAGGCGTGCTTTGAGCTGCGTCAGGCATTCGAGCAGCTTCTTGCGCGGCCGGACAAGCTCATGTTGGTCACCGGCGAACTATGGCCATCGCGACGCGACCTGGCGAGCGAGCAGGGTGAGGTGCCGGGAGAGGCATGCATGGAAGGCGTGGAGCATCTAGGCCAGTACGTCTTTGAAATGACGAGGACGAAGATCCAGCAGCTTCAGTCCGAGGGCGGCGGTCAGGGCGGAGAGTTGGAGGCGATCCAAGAAGCCCCTGCTGGGGAGGATGGGGAGGGCCTAGTGGAGCCGGCGGAGGACGAAGAGGTGGAGGAGGTGGACGGACCTGGGGGAGAGTGATAATTTGCGTAGTGCGTGAGGAATAGTTGCACGTCGAAACACGGCGGATAATGGGGTAAGCCGGTTCGAAGGGAGCTTTGTACGACCATCATACTTCGTAGAACAGCGCTGGTAATGGACATGGCCAGGGAATTAGTCACCCACCAATAGGTCAGCCCAATAGGTCAGCCCAATAGGTCAGCCCAATAGGTCCCCTTCCCGTGTGTGATCGTTGGTATTGCTTCCAGAAAATGAATCCCATGGTTGTGGCAGACTCCCAAACAGTCAGTGGCGTGGCAGGCACGAAGTTCTCAGCCATGCACAATGACGAGAAACATCCCAGGTCACCTGTAACAAATCCCTGATAATCGATTGGGAATGCAGACGTACATTGTACGAAGCATTACGGTACAGAGATTAGTAATTCCTAGTCATGCAGGTTGCCGTAAAGATGTAGAAAAGGTACAGGCAAGGTACATTGTAGGTCGTGGTGGACAGGTATGTAGCCTGACCCCTCCAATCAGCGTGTCGGGGTTGATGAGCTCATAGTTGACTGATTGCCAAGCAGCTGAGTCGGAAGACAACTCGCCACGATCCGCCTCGGTTATGTAGGGTTACAGGACGAAAAGACCGTCGCGCCGTGAATTCCCTATGAAGATTTTTTTTTCTTCTTCCCCTTCTCTTCTTCGCGGAACCACCCAGTTTCGGTTTGCCGATGAGGGGTAAAGTCTGGGGCATCGTTGGCTAAGGTACCTACGGATTACGGAGTCGAAACGGAGTACACTAGAAGTTGCGTGTCTGAACCCATATATACCTTATCTTATTATTAATCACGAAGTACTGCACCCATTCAAGCACGACTCGCACGGCTGACGCGTGGGGGTGTCGTTAATTACTCCGTACAATCACCATGGTCGGATGGATCCCATGTACCTATTCAGCACCTCTCATGTAATTGTCAGTTCTTCTGAATCAGACTCGAGTAATGGGTTGAGGGGTTGAGGTGGGTTTATCCTCAGCGATTGTAAGATGTAAATGGTCCAAACTACACTACAAGTCACGTTCTGAGTATTATGTAATTAAAATGTTTGTTGTATTTTTCTTCCAGCCTCCTGGTACACGATCAGACCAATCATATCAAAGTCTTCGAGCAAAACTGGGTTGCAGTTCTTCCGTCTAGGTTTCTCATAGGTAAGTAATACTTACGGAACTATCGCGACGCCTCATTGTGCCATGGCCTGTTATTAACTCCGCAAACGCCGGTTACAAAAATGCGGATGCTCCATCTCGTTTACAGTAACAAGACCTACCCAGTACGAAGTAGTAATTAATTACTGAGCAGATATTCACGATCGGGTATCGAGAGGTTGCCGCGTTATTTTATTACTACGGAGTACGGAGTAAATTCCACAACGATTCTTTACACCCATAAGACCTCCTTACGAGGACACAGTCACCAACCGAGGACAGCAATGGTAGAAGGCTCCAACATACAGGACACTTGACGAAGAAGGGTATTAAGAAGTTTAAGAAGCATGTAACAGTAATACCTATTGGAACGATTTATTTCTTATTAGAACATGCTTCCCTTGACGAGAGGCAAAGTTTATTCCTTGTGTTTGGAAAAGTGGTCCCTGACCCTGGAGGTAAACCTAAAGTAGGTACCGTATCTGTACATATAACGATGAATATATTCTCGTTACTGGTGGAAAATGACGCATTTGAAGGTTTACAAAAAGAAAAGAAAAGAAAAATTCACGGAAGGATATAGGTAATACGCGTAGCCTGCTACGCTATAAATTACTTCCTCGAATCCATTTATTATTACGCCTTCCTGGGCAGGCAGGCAAACAGGCACAGATGTGATTGATGTCTGAAGTACTTAGGTACGATTAGAGGCAAACAGGGAAAAATCCATTGTCCGAACATTACCTGCCTTAGGTACTTAGTTACCTAGTAATGAATCGACAAGTCCTTGTAATTAGTGATAATTACACCCTAGCCTCTTGCTAAAGGGGCGATTCGGAGATATTTGGGCCGTACTGTACTGTGCCCTGAACGTAAAAAAAGCCACCATAGGACAGTATACTGCATATTCCACACAGTGACACACGCCCCAATACAAAGCCAGTCAAAAATCAAAAGGAAAACGGAAGCAACGAAGTGTCCCTGGTCTCTCGCTCCTGCCCAACCCAGTAATTAGCGAAGAATCTGGGCCTACCTCTTCATAATTTACGTTATCTCCTCACCCCGAAAAAAAATTTGACCTCTCCTCCCGCAACCAACTTTCCCTCCATCAACCAACTCAAACCACCATCCATTTTGGCCCTCGAGCAAGAAATTTCTTTCTTTGCCCGGCCGTATTCATTTCTTCTGGCCCTTTTCTTCCCCAAGAAACATCTCCCCTCTTTGGATCGCTTTGCACCATACCGGGAGCAGGCTGATCCTAGAATTATCTATCCTTTGTTGTGGTTTTTTTTTTCTGGGTCGCACTGGTTCGCAGCTGCGATTTTCCATTCCTTTCCCCGGAGAGAGAAATCTTTTCCGTGATCGATCAGCCGTCACCCTCGACCTTTTCGGCTTCTCTCTTCATCCCGCGCGGGTCTTTCTCCAGTACTCTAATATCACCTCCCTCATTTGCGCCTCTTTAATCTGCCTGTCCGGTTCTTCGGCAAATCGTTCTCTCGACCTCCGTGCGACCGACTATCCCTCCCTGCTCGTCGAATCCGCGATTCGATCAAGCTGCCGCTGAAGCACATCCTTCAACAAAAGCGTCTCTCGTGACATTCGCCCGGGCGAATACCTCACGAATTCAGTCGTGCCTAACGAACGCAATCGCCGCCTGAACTGCCGAGCGAAAAAGAAAGGATATCATCACACTTATGACGTCGACTGCGAGCCCTCCGAATACCCAGGCGCCGAACTCCTCCGCTGCGACTTCTGCCCCCTCGTATGCCTCTGCTGTTGGGGCATCCAAGAAGCCAGTCTCGACGCCCGTGGTTGCCACAGGCGCCGCGACCTCAACACCTGTAGTGGTCGGCGGTCCTTCCGCGCAACATGCCAAGTCGTCCGGCCCTTCTCCCGTGAATGGACGCCCACCTATTACTCCTGCCGTACCTGCAGCCCCCGGTTCTAACAACATGAACGGTGCCGGAAATCACAGCCGCAAAACCTCCGTTACCATAAGCGCCAACGGACCCAACAGCTTCGTGGGCAACGGCGGCCCCGTCGGAGGAGCCCCCAAGTCGAACATCCAGTTTGGCTTCAAGGATTCTCCAGCCATCTCGCACAGCACCCCCCAGATGACTTCGGCGCCCGTCCCTATTCCCGGAAGCAATCAGCAGAGAATCCCTTCTCCGTCTCACTCTCCTTCTCCGATCCCCCAGCCATCTGCCAGTGGTGGACGACCTCCCTCCGGCATGGCCCCACAAAACGCCCAGATGACTTTTGGCAGTCTCGGTAGCGATGGCGATGTAAGTTTACACTCCTTTTTACTCCGTGATGGCAGGCTCCCGACATCTTTTGTCTTCCTTCTATCTTTCCTTCTGCCCCGTGCTCCTTTCCTCTCCATCATCCGGCTTAGCCTAATCTGGTCGTGCCAACTGCGCCAGAAGAAGGAGAAGAAAAAAGGCCGAAAGCTTGACGGTATGTGACAATATGCTAACCTACGTACCTCAGCGCCACATGAGACAGGGCTCTATTCCACAGAACCCTGCCGCTCTTGGGTCTCAATCCCACATCCGGCGCGAATCGGCCGTGTCCCAGCACAGTGACGTGGGCGGCGGTCCTGGTTCAGGTGCCAACCGCCCCAACTTCAACCCCCAAGGTGGTCGTGGTCGTGGTGGCCACCCTTTTAACCCGCAGCACCCTCCTTTCAACCCGAACGCCGGTTTCCCCCCCAACTACAACAACGGTCCCCCGGGACGGGGCCGCGGTGGCATGCCTCCGTCATTCCATCCCTCCCGCCCCATGGGATACCCCAACTCTCCGCAACCGACACGGAGCCCTGCGCTAGCCCATTCTCAACCCGGTACACCGAACATGCCTCCTGCACAAATGCATGCGATTGCGGGCGCCCCCCCTTACCATTATCCGGCACCTGGAATGCCGCCTCATCAAGTACATACCCCTCTTTTCCTTTCTAAGACCGCCAAATCAAGCAATTTGCACAAGAACCCACCGTGTGGTCATGAAACGGAGAAGTCCTCCGCCATTTGGCTGCAGCAAAGTGAACAGTCTCACAATCCGGTTCTCTCGCATGTGAACAGGTTTCGACGCCCTAGTAGGCGTGGAGATGCGCGTTACGGAGGGTCTCGTTGGATGACCGGCCAGGGTGAAAACTTGCCTTCAACCCATCTGCCGAGACCTGGACAGCCGCTTCTCTCAGAAACACCAGTTCTTCCTTCTGCCCTTGCCACTCATCCCCTAAAACCATCTATTTCCCTTCCGCCTATTGATCTTTCTCCGGAATCTGGCAATTTTGAACGAGTGCTGACAGCCCACAAACAGTTTGCTTACCCCGCCACTGGTGGACAGTATGATCCCATGCACAGACAGGCCCCTTACTATATGCCCCAGACGTATATGTCCCAGGGCCCTGGTGGCTCCCCAGCCATGGCTTACCAGCAGGCCTTCGTCCCCCCGCCTTACCACACCCCGGCTCCAGCAAGCATGTCTCGCACGTCGTCGCACTCGGAACGCCCGCCGTCGAGCACTGGTCAACCGAACCATCCCGTCATCGTCTCTAGCACACAAACCCCGAATGCCCAACCCAAGGCCCCGGTTGCCAGCTCCTCTGCCGCTTCAAATACCAAGAAGAAGTCGGCGGCCGTGCTGATCAAGAACCCCCAAGGCGAGATTGTGGATGTGTCCGCCATGAAGGCGCGCGCATCGCCATCCCCCAATATTCAGCAGTCCAAGACGCCTCCCGTCGTAGCTTCGACGCCTCCGCCCCAAAGGTCAACGGCATCTGTCCCAGGTAACCAGCCGCCCCCGAAGAAGCCCGAGGATATTCAGGCAGAGCTGCGGGAGAAGATCAAGCTCGCTACTTCTGGTGAAAACAAGGCGAAGGGCAACGAAGCGGCAAAGGCGCAGGCGCCTGAGGAGCCAACTGAGAAGAAGTCGGTCGATACGAAGCCGCTACCCGAGGCCGAGGCGGAGGCCGTTGAACCTACCCAGAAGCCGGATATCGAGCAGTCTAAGAAGGATTCCCCCGTCGAGACCAAGGCAACAGAGGCCAAGGTCGATGGTAGCGTCGCTGTGGACGCCAATACCGATGATGTTAAGCCCGGTGACACGAACTCTGACGTCAAGACGGACGAGTCTAAGGAGGCGGCTGAGAAGACCGGAGAGCCTGCCGCCAAGCCCATCGACGAAGAAGACGAAATAGAGCGTATGATCCGTGAAATGGAAGAGGAAGACGCCCGCCGCGAGAAGGAGACGGCTGAATACGAAACCAAAAGGAAGGCCGACCTGGAAGAGAAGAAGAAGCTGTCCCCCGAGGAGGAGGATCGCAAGCTCAAAGACGCCGAACGGGAAGCCGAACGTCTCGAGGAGGAAAAGGAAAGGAAGCGTGCTGCGCAGCAAGCTTCCGGCGAGCAAGCATCGGTCGCCGAGCTCCTCGCGAAGCGCACGGCCACAGGCTCGGCTACGGCGAAGGAAGACAGCTCGTCAAAGGTGGCTGACGTCGCCGAGAAGCTGTCGAGCCTTTCTCTTGGAGGCGAAGGCAAATTGGCTAAGCCTGCGGCGGCGGAGAAACGGGTGACGAAGCCGCCCGCTCTCAACCTTGCCCCAATCACGACCAAGCCAGTTGAGCCCCCCCAGCCCAGTGCCGCTCTCCAGTCTCTCAAGTCCGCCCGCTTCCTGTCTGTGATGGAACAGAACATCTACCCTCCCGGCATCAGCTCGCCTAACCCCGCCGTCAATGCTGCCGTCGCTAAGAAGGGCAAGACCTTCAAGTACGACGCCCAGTTCCTGCTTCAGTTCCAGAAGGTGTTCACCGAACAGCCTTCGGTGGAATTCCTCCAGCAAGTCAAGAGCCTGATTGGTGATACTGATGGTTCTCGATCGGCGACCCCACGTCCCGGCTCAAGCCGCCAGCCTTCTCGCGTTGGCTCGTTTGCTCCTAGCCAACCGCAGAATATGGGCAGTTTCAACGCCAGGGGCACAACGTCCGCCGAAAGATTTGCTCGGTCGAACACCGGCAGCATGGGAGGTGCCATGCCTCCTCCGATGGGCACTTTCGGTCGGACGGGAAGTTTCCCCGTGGGGGCTCCCATGTCCCGCAATCCCTCCACCTCGAACGCGGGCCAGCCGCACTCACCTCGCACTGGCAGCCGCCGAGGAAACAACAGCAGGAGGAACGATCTCGGTGCCAAGGAGTCGCAGGCTGCTAAGACCATGCCTCTTACGCAGGGCATCGATGTCAAGCCGATCGCAATCTCCTCGACTGGATGGAAGCCCACCAGCATTGGCAACAGAGGCCCCCCTGCTGCGGCGGCCAGTGGCCATATGGATCCCGAGATGGTCCAGCGCAAGGTGAAGGCAGCCTTGAACAAGATGACGCCCGAGAAGTTCGAGAAGATTGCGGATCAGATCTTCGAAATCGCCTCTCAATCCAAGAACGAATCGGACGGCCGGACGCTTCGCCAAGTTATCCAGCTTACCTTCGAGAAGGCTACCGACGAGGCGCACTGGGCCTCGATGTACGCTAAATTCTGTAAGCGTATGCTGGACACCATGAGCCCGGACATTCGGGACGAGAATCTCAAGGACAAGGCTGGCGAGGTCATCTGCGGAGGCGCGCTTTTCCGCAAGTATCTCCTGAACCGCTGCCAGGAGGAGTTCGAGCGTGGCTGGAAGATGAATCTGCCCCAGAAACCCGAGGAGGATGAGAAGAACACCTCTGTCGAGGCGGCCATGCTTTCTGACGAGTACTACATCGCCGCGGCGGCCAAGCGACGTGGCCTGGGTCTGGTCCAGTTCATTGGCGAGTTGTACAAGCTGGGCATGCTCACGGAGCGCATCATGCACGCCTGTGTTCAGAAGCTGGTTGATTACGACGGCACACCCGAAGATGCCGAGATCGAATCGCTGTGCAAGCTGCTCCGTACCATCGGCGCCAACCTTGACGCGAGCCCCAAGGCCAAGAGCGCCATGGATGCCTACTTTGATCGTATCCAGAACATGATGAACCTGCCCGATCTTGCCAGCCGGCACAAGTTCATGTTGATGGATATCATCGACCTGCGTAAGAAGAACTGGCAGACCAAGGAGGCCAACAAGGGCCCCAAGACACTCGAGGAAGTTCGTGCAGAGGTATGTAACAGACTATGACTAAATGCTCCCGCCCTTTCGGGTCCGCATGTGTTTTCCAGATGACTAACACGCTGCAGGCCGAGGCTCAAGCGGCTCTGAAGGCACAGGAGTCCGCCCGCGGTAACCAAAGAGGACCTGGCGGGCGCCCACACATGGGGCGTGGTGATTCTCGTGGCTTCGGCGGTTATAACCAGCAGACGTCCAACCAAGTTGGCATGGACGACCTGAGGCGTCTCAAGGGTTCAACCAGCCGAGCTGCCAGCGGCAACATCAGTCTTGGACCGACGTCAATGTTCTCGTCTCGTAGCAACAGCGGGCGACGACTAGGACCTGGCGGCTCACTGGGCCGCGCTGGCGAGGATTCGAACGCCTCTTCTCGGACCGGGACACCTCCCACTACCCACACGAATGCATTCAGGTAAGCACCAGCCCAGCCCGTACGGTTATGTTTTGTTATGTCGACTACTTTCAGAACGCTAATATCATGGGTATAGCGCCTTGGCCAATCTGGACACTGAGCACCCGGCTTCCCCTCCGTCGACGGCAGCCTCCCCAGCACTGTCTAAGGCTGTTCCTGACAGTTCCGGCGCCGGAGAGAGTAAATGAAAGGGGGGATGACCTTGTTCTTTCTACGTCCGATTGTGTTACCCGATAGAGAGGGAAGACAAAGGGGGTGCAGGGCCGTTATGTGCATTTACATGGAGGGCTTTCACACAACGTGTTTTAAAAGTTGACCACGTCTTTTCATGGGCAATGATACCATTTTTGAGACCAAACATAGACGAACCATCCGGCCGAGGTCGACCGGGAAGAGGAGGTTTTCAGGTTCCGAAAACCAGGGGTTCTTTTTCTTATTCTCTTCTGGCTTTCGTCGTTGTATTGTCTCGGTTCCTTTCGTTTCTTCTTTTCTTTTTGTCGCACCGGAAATTCTGCTCAGGGTGCGTTTCATTACGTCTCTCCCGGTCAGCTTCATCCCGGCGACGGGGATGGCTCAAGTAATGGGGACGGCAACAACCGAGAAAGGATGGCCGGGAGAAGTCAGGGGGTAACGACTGCGCCGTGCCAATCTCCCTCTTACGGATCGGAATGCAACTCCAGGGCAAAGAAGCAGAGGGAGGGGGTATTCAGCACGGCTACCCACGACACTCGACACGCATTTGGGATGGATTGCAAAGGGGGATTTCTTTCGTGGTCGGGAACCGTACTTGTCTTTCGGATACTTTGTTATTAGTCGCTGTCGCTGAGGGACCAGGGGGCCAGGGGAGGAGGTCGGTCCCAGAGCGAGCCTGACTTGGGGCTGGGCAGGGAGAAGTTCAGACCGTCGATTCTCACTGGGGTAGAGAAGCGGCGGCCGCGACCTTCAACGGGAGAGGCGGTGATTCACATGTGGCAGCGATGATGTCGACTTTACATGCCGGTCGCCAACGGCAGAAATAGTTGGTGTCGTGAAGAAGCTAGCTGTATAAGTCAGAGCACCGGGGATACCCAGCCCTAGGAGGTAGTCAATGGGCAAAGCATTCATATTTTCTTCTCACACTATTTGCACACTATGTGCTCCCACGTAAACAAGCCATGGGTCGATGTTGGTGTGCACTGGTTGTTGATATGACTAGGGAGTGCGGCCATGTGAATCACTACCAGGTAGTCTCTTGATATCAAGCGCCTTGGAGATTGGGAGTCGAAAATAGCATCTAAAAAGACCCGTCTGGTGATGTTCACTACCTATGATATGATTGACCCTCGAATTCTCCTCCTCTATACATAACCGCAGGTCAGCCTCGCTCAGCCTGATTGTGCGGTCCCCTTACTCCAAACGCCTTTCCGCGACATAAGAAGCAAATCCTCTTGTGTTTCCTCGTCAGTAAAGAATACGTGCGCATGCCCGGAGAAGAAGGACAAAAGAGTAAAACAAAGAATTCCCAACATGACCGGTCCCCCATGCCATAGACCTTGCATACATACATACCATGCTCAGCTCAAAAAGGAATAAACCAAACCAAACGACACGAAAACAAAAATAACGGAAATCCGAGAGAGGGAAGGGTTGAGTCCGCTGTATCATACGCAGTATCCCAAACAAAAAAGCGGCACTTCAACGCCTCCATTCCAAATAAGTAAGTTATCCTTCCCGGTTTGTCTTGCGCCATCTTTATCAGGCAGTGGGGGTAACAAGCTTATTGAAGCCAAGCTTAGCAAACAGCGTATCCATGGCGACCCATTGCCGTCCACATTTATCGAGGTACTTGTCAACCACGCTCTTGACCGTGTCGAACCGCTTGCGGTTATGCTCCGCCAAAGCGAGGATCTTCTCCCGGTCCTCTCGCGAGAGGCAATTCTCGCCCTCGGCGGCGGCGGCGGCTGCGGCGGCGGCGGAGGCCTTCTCGCGCGCCTTGTCCACGTCCCACAGGCCGGCAAAATACACGAGCTGGTTGTAGATGGCCTTCTCGGAGTACTCGTAGCGCATGCGGCCGAGGCAGTCGCGGGCGAGACCCCGCGGGCCCAGGCAGCGCGTGCCGTAGACGTTCATCTGGCGCGTGCGGACGGAGCAGGACGAGTCGTCGCATATGAGCCAGCCCTCGTAGTAGTGGGCCGTCTGGACGCGGACGGCGTGCTCCACCTGCGCGACGACCGAGAGCGGGGGGATGGTGGCGCCGCAGGCGGGGCAGAGCACGCCCGAGGCCGACACGCCGGAGGGCTGAGCGTAGAGGCCTTCGAAGACGGAGGAGGCCTTGCAGGAGCGGCAGCGGAGAGTGAGGCGCGCGCAGTCGGCGAAGCGGACTTCGTCGGGAATCTGGGACTCGAGCGGGTGGATCTCAAAGTCGTTGTCGCCGGAACCGTCGTGTCTCTTCTGCACGTTGTACCGCTTGATGTCCAGGCCGAGGCACTCCGCCAGTTGCATGGTGGACGTGCCCTGGATGTTGGCGCAGAGACGCTCGACGGGAGGGAAGATCTGCTTGCCGATGTACCACTCCACGTCCGGGACCAGGTCCGAACCGGGCTTGAGGACGTCCGAGGGCGCGTACGCTCGCTTGGGGGCCGGCTCCGAGCTTTTGCCGTCGCCGGTGATGATGTAAGAGATGACATCGCCCTTGCGGACATTCTTGCCACGAGCCACTTCGCGGAGTGCGACCTGTATCTGGGGCATGGAATCGCTGTTGTTATATTCCTTGAGCGCTTTGCCGAGCTGAGTGAAGATGATGTACTTGGGCGCGGGAATCGCTTGCTCCCTCATCTTCCCTGCAGTCTCGCGCAGATATTCGTGGATGCGAGAGACGGACTCTTCGGTATCGTCCCCCGAGAGGATCTCATTGAGAATCTTGCTGGATATCTCCTTGGACAGGGCGCAGTACTCGCGGCGCTTCATGTCCAGACCCTTGACTTCCATTTTCTCGATGTACTTGCCGTTGTTCTCCACGAGATTGATGGCGGCGTACTTCTTCTTGGCCTGCAGAAGGATACGTCGGAAGACGCTGTCGATGTCAATCTCGAGCAGCCTGTACCGCTCATTGACGGCCCTTTTGAAGTCGTTGCCGACCCTGATGGCATCCGCTACGTTGTCCACGTTGGCATTGATCATGACCGAGTCCGTGTCGCCGTAAATCACCTGAAGCGAATTGCTTTCGGCAAGCTCCTTGGTGCTGCGGAGAATCTCTCGGCCCTTGTAAGTCGTCAACACGGCCAGTGGCCTGGCGTAGAACCGCGACTTGGTATAACCCAAACAGCCGTACATGGAGTTGGCGGTGAGCTTCAGGGCCAACTGCTTGATGTCCCAGGTGGCGAGCTGCTCCGGCGTGGCGTTCTTGTCCTTCATCAGGCTCTTGACTTGTCTTCTCCTGCTGACGAGAGTGGCAATGAGCTTGGGAAGAATGCCCTGTTCCTTGTTCTCCGGAACCTCAGGTACGGTGTCCTGATCTTCCTTCTGCGGACTTGCATTAGACAAACATTGTGGGCGAGTGGGTGGTTTTTTCTTTCTTTCTTTTCTGTCTGACTTACCAAAGCCGATCGCTCAACAGTCGTGAAGCAGATGTTATACTCTTGTATGATGGACGGATACAGCGAGTTGAAGTCCATGACGAGAACAAACTTGTCATAGAGGCCCTTCTCGGGCTCGAAAACAAGACCGCCCTTGTACTTGTCCTTCTTTTTCCCCTCGCCTTCCTCTTCGTCTTGGTTCTCCGCGTTGCTCGGCCTACCCCTGGAAAAGGTCTGCTGCTTGTCTGGGCAGATGTACTTGTTCCTGTGAAACTCGTGCAGCAGAATGTATTCGTTTCTCTCGGCGCGGGTGCCGGTGAGTGTTCTCGCCCATGAATTGCCGGCCAAGTTGGTCAACACCTTGGTCAGGGGCAGCAGTTGGACCTGGAGGGCCAGGGCAGCGATGAAATACGTGTCCGCCTCGATGTGCGTGACGTAGTCCATCATGCCCTCCTTGGAGTGAGTGGCCCAGGTCTTGAGAGCGGCCTCGTTGTCGACGTCGCGGCGATGGTTGTTACCGGGCAGGTAGAGGCTGCACATCTCGGTCAAGCTCCACGACTGGCACTTGTACATGGCCGACTTTCCGGCGTCGTTGGCAAGGTCGCACAACAGACGGCCGGCCATGACCTGTCTCTCGGCAAACACGTTACCGCCGGTCTTCCCGATGGCAGCTGGCCACTGTTGCCGCCTGAGGCGACCCAGTCTCGACCACTGGTGCGTCTTCTTCTCGTGGAGCCGATTCAGGAGTACACTGTAGTCGACGCCTTCCAGCCGGTGGCCCAGGATTACGTCGGGATCCACGACGTCCAGTTGGGCCAGGAAGAACATCAGAATCTCAGACTCTTGACGGAAAGTCTTGATGAGACCTTTCTTCCGCTCCTTGGCCGTCTTCTCAAACCCCATAGGAAAGGAAGTGCCGTTTGGCCTGACGAGTGTGAACGTGCGGCAAGGGAGCTTCTCAGCCGGAGTCGTGTCGCTCAGAGAGACCTTGTCGTAGATTCTGGCACTGATGGCCAGGATCTCCTGTTTGTTATCCTTCGCATTATATCTAGTCCGCAGAGCGACGCTCATCAGAGTCAATGGAGGAGTGTCGGGGCTTTCTGACTCGTTGATGGGAGCCACCATATCGGGATGCTCGACGAGGACCTCCAACTTGCAGTGGGACGCGTTTTTCAGGGCGCCAAATTCAGCATCTTTGATCTTGAGCCAGCAGGGGCCCATGATGTTTTTCCAGAGAACGAATTGTTCAAACATTCCCGTATTGGTGCCGAAGATATGAGAGAAGGTCTCTCCAGGCTTGGAGGCGTCTATCACCTGCTCTAAGGACCGAGTTAGTGGGAGGAGGAGTCCATATGGTTCCACCACACAACATGTTTGTCTGTTGTTCTTCAAGCGTAGGGGAAGCTTACTATTGTACGGATAAAGACATTTGAGGTACTGCGCCTCTTTGGGGACGTCAGGCAGTTCAAAGGCGTACTTTCGGGTGCAGGATTTGATCTTGTAGAAGCCCACGTTCATGCTGGACATGCGGGAGTCGACTTCGTTGTAAACATCCATCATCTCGACCTCTTCCCCCGTGTCCTCTCCGTCCTGAACACGGGTTTTGCGAGGAAGGAAATAGAGCTTTCGCAAGATGTTATCAATCTTCACGAAGCAGCTGACGTGCTGGCCAGTCTTCTTGTTCAGGACTTTGCCAAACAGGCAAAGGCTGCCGTTGACTTCGGTGTAGTCGGTCCAGAACATGTTCAAGCTGCCGTCTTCCTCAACGGCGTCTTTGTAGTCGATCTTCCCCGCACTTCTAACCTCTTCATGAGAACTGCTAACAACATTGAGGTTGTTCGTGATGTTGTTCCAAGAAGACGAGTCGACGGCCGCATCGGTGCCCACCGGTGGTGACGACTGAAGGGGCGAGGGATACGGGTCTGGCTTGACGAGCTTCTTAGGCGGCCGGGAGCCAGCCAGGTTGACACTCGCTGCTTTAACGGTCCCAGTATGCGCCACTTCCATCATCTCATCGTCTTCGTCATCTTGGGGCTCCTTTTTGATCCGAGCCTTGCGTTCGGCCACTTTCGCAGCCGGAGACGACGGGGCGAGGTCGCTCATTTGTACATCGTGGACCATAGGAACAGGGCTATCGTCCATGGGGGGGATGAAATCGTCATCCATAAAGGTGCTGTCTGGTGCAGGTGGTGACGGCAATCGGTCATCGACGACCTTCTTTCTCTTCAAGGATGGCGGAGTGGCTTCGGGAGCCGGGGAGAGAACGCGGACACGGCGTGGTTGCGGGGAACGGTTGCGTTTGGCTGGACGAGGCAAAGGGGCAGGAACGTTGGAGTCGACTTCGCCCAGGAGGCCTGCGAGGAAGTCGTCGTCTTCCTTTGTTTTCACAACCTTGTACATGAACCGATCAGCATCCTAGTACGCATCCTGCTAGACTCTTCTCTTGTCAGAGCCTACCTTGGTCTTTTGCTGGGCTTTGCCGGCACCCTTGGTGAAGTATTCCGTGATATCGCGGTCGTTCGCATCCCTCTTTGCCGCCTCTTCTTCCTTTCGCTTCCCTGCTACGAAGAGTCAGCGCGGTTCGGGGTTCGGGGTTCAGATCCTCGAATGTGCATCTCCTTCCATAGGCACTTACCGGCCTTCTTTGATTTCCCCCCTAAAGGAATCTCGTCGTCGCTATCAGAAGCATAGTGGTACTGAGGGAGACGATCCCATTCTTCCCGGCCATCGTCGGCGTAACCCTCGCCGTTGTCGTCAACAACAAAGTCGTCCTCGTTGAGCCGGTCCCGGACGATCTTTTTGTATTGGTTCTCGTCCACTTCCTCGTACAAATCATCTACATCTTCGACTTTGTAGGTTTCAAAGGCCTTCTTGCCGGACTGGCGAAGAGCACGAAGCTCGGCCAATTTGGCACGCCGGTCGGCTTTCGGCATGATGAGAGGTGATGGGCGTGGTGTGGTGGGTGCTTTGAGGCCTAAGAAGAAGAATAAGAGGTCAAGAGCATGATCGAGCGGTAAATTGGGAGGACCCTTGACTCGCTCGGTCTGAAGAATGAATCGGTGTTGTTGTTTGTAATTGTTGGAAGTGCGTTGGGTTGTGGTGCTTGCTGATAGACTGCGACTTGGAGACTCCTGTGGGTGTGCCAGATTCATTCAGTACGAAGTAATTATCCATCCTTCTTCTGACCCGGTTGGCCAGACGCGTTTAATGGGAAGGTACCGCGTCTTTCGCGTTGGTGTCGCGCGTTCTGCCTGGAACGGTGCCCCGCAAGAAACAACCCAAGTGGGGCCATCGGTACCTTCCCCTAAGGTACCTGAAACGGGACAAACAAATGGAAGATAATAGATAAGCCGATAAGATAAGGATTCTCGAGATTGCTTTTCCCTCCCTACCGTAACTTAGTAAAAAATCTCGAGTCTCCAAGCTATCATCAACCCATAAGACAAGAAGACACATCCGTATATACACACTCTTCCGTGTCTTTCTGCATCGGAACAGAAGCATAGCGAAATGTTTTCATGTCGGGCATGCTTGAGGCGTGCTCTTGGTCCATTATTGGACTCGTCACCGGCGGCCATCTTTGAATCGCCTCTACCTCGCAGAGCTCCCCAGCTAACACGCCGTTTCACAACGGTCACTCCCACCGCCTATGCTCCGGTTCAGGTTACGGCGGCGCCCTCGTCAGAGATAGCAGACAAAGTCAAAGATGTGAGCCCAGATCCGGAGTCAAATACGGACGCGATGACGGGGGAAAAGACGTCCCGGAAACTTCGCCATGCCGTCAAGAAACACCTCGAGCACATGCACAACTCGTTCACCATCGCCAAGCACGTTGAGCGCACCCTTCGCAAGAACCCCGAGCGATTTGAGGAAACCCTCCTCCTCGTCCAAACCGCGAGCAAGGACCACGGCTGCACGGTGGCGTGGAACCACCTCATCGACCACCAACTCCAGTCTCAACGCCTCCGTGCTGCGGTCCGCCTCTTCAACGACATGAAGAAGCGTTCTCAACGCCCAGACGCCCACACCTACACCGTTCTCTTCCGAGGCTTTGCCCTTTCCCCCCATCGCGAGCTGGCCGTGGCTGAGGCCGTCCGGCTCTTCCGCGGCATGCGTCGTCAGCCCGGCGTAAAGCCCAACATCATCCACCTCAACGCCGTCCTGCATGTCTGTGCCCGTGCCGGCGACATCGATACCATGTTCGCCCTTGTCGATGAGGTCCTCCATGACGGCGCAGACGGAGGCAGAAGCGCGGCAAATAAGAAGGATAAGCTCGTCCCGACGGCTCAGACCTATACTGCCATTCTACAAGGTCTTCGCTCCTGGGCTTTGGCTCCAGAGGCCGACGCCGAGGGCTCATCATCCCCTGCCGACGTCGACGGGCGTACCGAGGAGATGGTCGAACATAGTCGTGCTGTGTGGGAGGAGGTGCTGCGAAGTTGGCGCGGGGGCTCCCTCGCCCTGGATGAGCAGCTCGCGGGTGCCATGGGTCGTAACCTGCTCCTTGACAAGAAAACTGGCCCTCGGGACGTCCTCGTGCTGTTAGAGCAGACGATGGGTATCCCCAGGTTTGATACTCAGGGGTCAACCAGAACGAAGACGAAACCCGACCAGGAGACGGACAACAACCAACCGCCCCCTCCTGCGGCCTCGAAGTCGCGCAAGAAAGCCGCCTCTGAACCCGCCAAACCAGGGCTCAACACTCTTTCGCTCGTCCTTGCCACTCTAGCCGAAATGCGCTTCGTCACTGCCGCCGTGAAATACTGGGATTACCTCGTCCGCGACCGGGGCGTCGAACCGGACGACAAGCTCTGGGAACAGATGATCCGACTCTTGCACCTGGGCCGGTCGAGCGCCGAAACCGCTCGCCTCTTGGCCACCGCCCCGCCGACCGTGCAATCGCCTTACCTATTCCGAACCGCGCTGTCGGCTTGCTTCCGCGATCTCCGCAATCCCAACGTCGTCGACAACGCGTCCACCATTGTGGATGTCATGCTGCGCGGCGCCGGCGCCGGCGTCGGCGAGAGCGGTGGCCATCGGGTTCCCGACGCCAAGGCCCTGTGGATGTACCTAGAGGTCCCCCAGCGGCGGGCCCGGGTCGAAGCGTCCCTGAATGGCAACAACGCCACGGAGACGGGAGTGGACGTCGGCCAGTCGGTGGAGCTGGTGAACCGGGTGTGGGAACCGTACTGCCGCGCCAGCAAGGCGGCCTTGTTTCCTCAACTCGTGGAGGCTAGGAACCCCAGGCTGATCAAGAACGCCAAGATGTACGGGGCGGTGTGTGAAGTGGTGGAGCTGGCCCGAGAGCTGCTCAGCCTGACGGCTCACATTGCCCGGGCGGGGTACAAGATCGACACTAAGACGCGGAGAGTGATGGAGAAGAGACGCGACTCTTTTAACCGCGAAGTGGTCATCTTCACCGAACTTCGTGAAGAGCTGGAGGACATGTGGGGTAAGAAGGAGGAAGAGTCGGACGTCAAGGAGCCGACGAGGGAATAGCGGGTTTCTGGCGCCGCTTCCAGCAGCGATGGAATGTATCATCAGGACTGTATCAACACTGTATCAAGGGCAATTTACGATACCCTACCTGCACGAACATCTTAATGGATCATGTATTTGTATTTGTATGTACATATGGCTTTAGACGTCCGATAAAGTCCCAATCTCATTTGGCACCAGCTTTCAAGCAGCAACCATAAACATCCATAGCTTGGAGGCTTACCCCTGGTGACAAGGGTTCTTGTCCGCCGATCGACGAGATCACCCACAGCCAAGCTAACTTCGTCCATCATTGACACGACTCCATTGCTATCCAATATCTACTCGGAAGCTGATGTGCAAAATGCTTCGTTTATGGGGTATGGTCGATTCAAGCGAAGGCCCGCCTCTGCTAAGCAGCAAGGCGCAAGAACCGAGTCATGTATAACACAGGGAGGGAGATTATGTATAATCAGATTCCAATATATAAGAACGAGTAAAATGGGCAAAAAGAAATTCCATCATGAAGCGTAAAGAATGTATATCTCCCACATATTGTCAAGAAATGCCGTCCGCTCTACCGTCCGACTCTTCCGCAAGCCCAACCCCTCATGTTTCTTGCGTTCTCGGCCTGAGGCTTGCCAGGCAGGCCACTCAGGCACGGAAAACCTTGGCAGATCGCTTCTTAAGCGCAGAAAAGGCACCACAGGAGCCCTGGGGGGGAGCAGACCTGCTGGTAGCGTAGTCAACATCCGGCCCAGGCTGGGGGAACTCAACATCGGCGCCCTCGAGGGTGCTGCACCCGTTTCCGACGTTGGCAACAAACAGTGCGGGGCGGCCGTAGAAAGGGGCTCCGGGAGGCCGAGCACGCTCCTGAATCTCAGCAGCAGATTCGTAGCCGGAGATGGTGACGTGGGCGCAGTTCATGTACATTTCGCGGTTGCCGATATTGTTGAACCAAGACCAGGCAAAGAGGGCGCTTCCCGATGGCGTGTCGTGAGGCAGGCTGAACTCCCAGGTAGGCTTTAGGGGGCAGTTGCCGATATACGAGTGGATGACGGTCCAGGTCTGTCCCCTATCGTAGGATAGAGAGGCTTGGCAGCTCCCGCCGTTATGGGTAGCCGAACCACCGAGGGTGAGGCCGTACGACTGGCCGGCCTCCCATTCGACGACAGATCCGCCCTGAGCTGTATCGAGAAGTCTGTGGTAGCCCTTGCAGGGAAAGTCGGAGCCGGACGAACTAAGGGGATTGGTCATGCTATAGTCGATGTCGGTGGTGAACGGGTTGTGGCGGGAGCGGAAAGGGGGTGGCCAGGTCATCTCCATATGGGCGCTAGCCAGGCCAAGGAGGACGGCGGCGGTGGAGGCAACAGACAGAGTCTTCATCTTGACGGTTTGGGTGTGTATGCGCAAGAGAGCATGTACAGTTGCGTCGGCAGCTTTCAGGGGCTATCTCGTTATGAGAGCACTGCTCGGGTATAGGATAGTTTCGGGTATGTGCGAGTACAAGGGAAGGTGTCAGGTTGTAATGTAAGGTAGTCTCGACGCGAATCAATCGTGTTGAGTAAAGGAATGTATAACAAGAGCCTGTTGTTTGAGAACTCTGCGATCCAGTCAAGTGTCATGTTTTGAATGAGGATCGCATCTCTTTATGTAGCTTGCGCCGCCCGAGGCGCAATAATACACTTACAGTACAGGGTGTTTTGAGGGACGAGAAGAAGCCATAGCATGGTGGTATCGTTTCCATCCCCGTCCCAGTGCTTGACAACAAAACCTGCGCTAGCCACATGGATGTAGGTCAGGTCGAGATCGGGGAACGATCCCCCTTGATTCACATGTTGCACGTAACGTCGAACAGGATATTCCAGGTCCTCGTAGAGTCGATTTGGCAGTCTACGGACGATGTAGGACAAGATCCCATCACCCCTTGTCTGAAGTGGGAGCCGTCCCCGACAACATGGAGTCGTTTAGTCGTCCAGAAAGGACGAAACAACTTGGCATTGAACAACTTGGCATTGGTTCACCGGCACTTGTCATGGTCTTCCGACGAACAGATGGCATGGAAGATGTGAGATACGTGTCATACCCGTCGATCCCGTGGTGTCGCATAGAATGGGGACGGCAGGGGAATTTCGGCATGACTGTAGTCTGTATCCTGCTATCACTCCGTTCCTCGGGCGCGCTCATTGTGAAGCAGTAGTGTGGTTGCGCCGGGGACAGGGGCAGGGGGAGACACATCGGGCAGACGTAGAGGTGGTGGTAACTGGAAAAGGGAGGTGGATAATTATCAATTATCATATGCCCTGGAAGGACGGGACTCCGGGAGGTCCTGCTGCCTGCATTTGTATGACAGATGGCGGCACCAGCGACGGCGACAATATGGTCGGACCGTTGGGACACTTGCCACAAACTATGTGTGCGTGTCGTCTCCTGCCTATTAAGAGTCAGTGATGGAAATTTGTAAGTGGGAGAGTATTAATTACCGGTAGAGACGTGGATGAGAAAAGAGAGCGAGCGATGGAAAGGAGGTTAGGATCGTCGAGACTTACGAACGTCCTGGGACGTTGTGACTAATCAATAAGTTTATTCGAAAGTACCAGGTAACTACGGAGTAAGTCTCGGCCCACGTCTCTAACACGAAATCTTATTCGTCAGCTTCACTGCTTGACCCGAAATTTCCCCGGTTATCGGGCGTATCCTTATTTCTTTCCCAGTCCCGTTCCTGTCGATCATATGTGCCTATGTACGAAGTACGAAGACTCCTCCATCGATCCGCATCGACAGTTCGACAGTTCGACAGTTCGACACCTCACCCCCAAACCCGAAAAATATCACGTCCAATGTTGTAATACACAAATTATCCCTGCCCTTTCACTCGATCCTTTTAAACGCCTACTACCTTTTTATCAGTCCTTCGGCACCTAATCTTCCCAACTGGCAAAAGAAGATGCTCCTTAATTACTATTTTTCAAAACTTGCACCCCCCGAATTCCGAATCTGCCCTAATGCAGTCTTTGTTTTGCTCTCTGCTCTCTAACCCTATTCATCGCCCAGTCTACCAAGTATTTGACATTGGACGGCCCTATAATCCCCTGTCCCCTCCCTTCTCACCAGGCACTTGCATATTCACATGTTACATGCATTGGGGCCTCACCACCAAGAAGCCGGGCGGCCTAGTGTACGGTGTACCTACCCCTGATCTCATCTCTTAGAGACTCTCATGGACAGTCAGTATGCTGGTTACCCTATTCCCATCTAAGTAAGGTCTTCTTATTTTGAGAACGGCCTCTAGTAGATCAGATAACTAATAGTTAAGGGTCCAGGCCCTTGGACTCACCGGGGTCAAGCATTCTCCTGTTCCCTTACGTATGAGCGCCATGCCCTTACCAGAAACCGTCCACATGCCAAGTTGACAGATGGTGTCACGGTAACGTTAACTTTTGCCAACCTTCCCATGCGACCTTGGTTGCACCAGTGTTAAGCCTCGAGGTATCTCCCATGTTCTTCTGCCCCGTATCCAATCATAATCTGGTTCTTATCACAAAACGTCCAGACTCTAGAATCTAGATCTGTTCTTCGCTCGTCATGGACTCATGGTCCGCATGTCCGTTCCTTTGTGCCGAGGGTGGTTCTTCCCATATTGCAAGTAGACGTCTACAAAAGTAACTCCTCAGTGCTTTCATGCAAGGCTGGGGCGGATCAACACATTTCTTGTCCAACGCACGTTAGTTCAAGTTTCCTTCTGGCCATGCGAGGCTTCCCAGTAGCCATAATAATGCCCTTGTCACTCTCGGTCCCGAAGCCAACATTTTCAATTGACAGAGTTCATATCGGGCTCCAACTGGCCGGTTCACCACGGGACGGGCCATATTACCGGTCAGTAACACCAGGGGTCAGGACTGAATACATTCTGCATTTTAATTTCTTTTGGGGTCGTTATGAGCTTGCCGACAATTGCAACCCACCTACTGATTAATTCTTTTCATTCTTTTTACCTTCTTCATACGGCAACCGCGAATGGTTTGACCTATCTGGCCATGGGACTAGAAACTCAGCCTTCTACTCCGTCCTCTCACAGTGCACCCACCAAGTTCTGCCACCCTTATCGATTCTTATCCCCGCCTGTGGGCAATGCGCGCGGAAATGGCTTGTTACATCCCCGGATTCGAAGTCCAGGTCGCCATAAAAACACAGAAATCTACCTACCTATGAGATGGGCGCTTAACAGTCTAGGCAGGTCACAATCACATGATTCACATGCTCCTCCCGATGCCAATGTGCTACATGGTCGCCTCTACAGCAGGATGTTCGTGGTCCGATACGTGTCTACCGTTACTCAATGCCGTCATCTAGACACCTGACTCTCTGATAGTGGTCAAAAGGCAAAAGGGGAGCATCATGGGGCTCAAAATATCAAGTTCGGGCGATGAGAAGACTTTAAGCTCCTCAACACCTACGCCACCTTACAATGCTCATGACTGCCCCCACTCCCAATCTCTGCACGTGAGTAACGGGCGATCCCTGAGTCAGCGGGTGACGAGAAGGCGAGATTTACAGCTCATCTTAAGATTCAGCTTTCTCAGTAGGAGGCCGGTAGACATTTCTTGTCTCAAGGTGCAAGAAGACGAGGAAAATGTATCAAGCCAGTGCCTTCCGTCACACTGCGAAGAATTCGTCTATCAAGTCTTTCCCAAAGAGTCTCAAGAGTTGAATATAATTTCGAGTTAAAGATCTGATTGGGTCTCTCTCAGCAATTTATATCTTGCACTATCATGGCATCAGCCTTTGACGAGGGTTGCGTTTGTATCCATTCAGAAGATACGGCCATGATATGGTAAGGTAGACCAGAAAGACCCCTTCCATAACCTCCTAAGTCTCTATTAGTTTTAATTTTTGCGAAAAAGGACCAAGTTGTTTACCATGGCTTTAGTCAGGCCCCTCCGAGAGACTTAGTGGATGTACATATATGCTCAGGATGAACTCCATATAAAGTGATAAAGAAACGGAGCTACAGCCTGTAGACCTAATCATATATCACGCATTGTCTGTCGTGACTTATGATGAAAAAGTCAGAGGCCTGTGAAGAATCTGGGACGCATGGTTTCTTGTTGGCTGCCTTAGGGCTATGGATGTTAGTCGAGCGAATGGTCTAGAGTCTGGAGAAGGCTCCTTGTAAAAATCGACGGAAATTCAGACCTGGGAAACGGGCCAACTCCCCACTCTCTTGTTTTTTCCTTGCTCTCAACTCAACCAACATCCTTGATGTTCAACTAGACTCGAGTCCGCCGCCGCCGCCGCCGCCGCCGCCTTCCGGGAACAGATCAGCTATACTGGCAGCTGTCAGTGACGCGCGCCAATACGAGGTCTAGGACTCAATATCCGCTGCCTCCCTTCTCCATTACCAATCCTACATAGTGCCCCTCCTCTGCACCCGTGGAATTTACCCCGGACATCGTGATGTTATGCTCCATTTCCCCACTAACCGTGGTGACGATCATGTCCCGTCAAGGTAACCCTGCACTCCATCCCTGTATGAACTCCTTCTTTGCACCAATATGCACAGGCCAAAGGGTGAGGTCCATTGGTTCTGTTAAGGTTCTCTCACCTCGGCAGTCATCAATTACCCATCGGTTCAGATCTGTCCGACCGGCGACGGGTATTTCCTCGGTCGTAAGCACCCAGTACCGGCTGGCTGCCGCCTATCTTTGTCGAGATTACCTCTACGAGCTGTGTCGCTCGTCATGCATACGGACAGGCAGCATCTTCTATGTAGCATAGTAGTCTTCGGTATGATATCCGATATGTGGGCCCGACACCGGGGCGGGTCAGCCCCGGTCACCCCGGCGTCGGTGCTCGGACGCCGGTGTTGATTCAGAGCCCCACCTGGGCCTCAAGCATAAGAAACAAAAAAGGCAGAGGGGTCAACCTACGTCGAGGAGAACATTAAGACTTCTCCAAGGACAATGCTGATGCACGAGTTAGGCGTCCAGTTGACGTCGTCGTACTTGTCCAGGCTGACAAGGGGCGGGTGTCCATCACCCAGACTGGACTTAACAGTTTGGGCTCGGTCTAGATTGTTTGGCTACCCACAGCATGCTCGCTCGTCCTCCCCAGAAGCCGAAACGTGTCTTCCAAGTCGGAACCAGAAACATATTTTTGTCTGTGCTTGGCACCCGATTTAAAGACCCATGCCATGTACAAGCGCTGTCACAGTCCACCCTCAACTCCCAGTCCCTTCCATAGTACACAGATCCCTGAAATCCGTAGAAAATTTTTAAAAATTGACGAGCGTCTGTTTCAGAGCCAGAGAAATCGCCCCGTGTCCATCGATACATACAATGCTTCTTCGCATTCACAGGTAATCGACGTAACGTTCACCTTCCGCCTCGACGGCCCCGACCACCTCTTCGATTATCACCAACGAGCGTATCACTATAGAGTCTGCCGTGATCGTCCTCGGCCATGGGGTCATCGAATCCGTAGAGGCCATCGACGATGTTGCCACTCTGTCTCTCCGCTGCGGCATGTCTTTGCGAAGAGAACGGCTTGTAACCTCCAGGTTTGGCGTAGACCTTGATGAGCCGACCATCGGCCTAGAGAGGATGGAAAAAGAAATATTAGGCAAACGCGTTTCGACGGAGGGAAGAAAAAAAAAAAAAAAAAAAAAGGAGAAGATGGGGGACAAGGGAAAAGCCCAACAACGTACATGCTTGTTGTTGAATGTAGCAATGACCGCCTCTCCACCTTCCCTGGAAGCAAACAGCATCTCGACGACCATGATCGGGCTCGTCTTCATGATGGTGCAGCTGAGCATCTCACCGCCCACAGGCGTCATGGCGCTCTCAATATCAGCCGCGGTGGTTCCCGGCGCGAAGTTCTGCGCCATGACGGCAAAGGGCCCCGCAAGCCCCCGGATCGAGAGACCCATGCTCGCAGGCGCAGACGGAGGCACAGGCGCAGATGATTGTGCGGCGTCCTCCCTCTCCAGAGCGTTCCCAAGACGGGCAGCGCGCTGTTCGGCCCGCCTCTCGGTCCTTCTGGGCCCCGTGGGGATCTTCTTGGTGCCTTGCACGCCGACACGCGAGGCGAGACTCCTGCCGCCGCCGTTGTTGTTGTTGTTGTTGTTTACCGTCGGATGTAAGTCGTGTGTCCAGTCGCCATTGACATTTCCAGCTGGTATCGGTTTAGAGGGGCCCATGGATGTGCGCTGTACAGGAACGAAAAAGGGGAAACCCCAGTCAGCCTTGTTTCGTCGAGCTTTGGTTTTGTCATTTTCGCCACACCTTCTTGACACCGACCCTGCTAGCGAGCGAAGGCCCTGTGCCCGGTTTTGTTTTGGCAGGCGCACTTTGTCTGCGATCCTTGGAGAAGATTCTCTCGGCAAGAGCCTGGTTCTTCTTGCGTTCTCGGCCTGTGGTCGGTCGCAGGAAAAGAGAAGGGAGTCCTTGTCAGCAGATGTTTGGCAAAACAGCCGTTCGAAAGCAGCATACCCTCTTGAATGATCTTTTCGAAATCGGTGGCGACCTTGGCCATCTTGAGGGATGAAGGCGATGGCCTGTGAGGAAGGTGGGTAAGGTGTCGTGGGGGAGGATGGCGGCGGGAGATGTGTCGGATGTCTCGCAGTGACAAATGTCGTGGCTAGCGGATGGAAAATTAAGATATTCCAAAGTCCAGAAGCAAATAATGAAGTCGACGGGCGAATGTCTACGAAATATGTAGCCGTGAAAAGAACGAGCAGAGCGAATGGTGAGGAAAAGGTAGTTGAAGGCAGAAAAATGACAATGGGTTTTCCAACGACCGGCGCGTTTTGAAGTTTGTACTCTGTTGGATTGGTCCAGCGAGACGTGTCGGAGATGCAAAGGATGTGGCTTTAGGTTCAGCAGGGGTGTCTTTACAAACCGCAAACCACGGTTATAGCATGGGTCGGCAAAAGAGACGAAGCGATTTCACGAAGTAATTAACATGAACCTACGAATGTCGTTCTCCAACACGTTGATTACTAAGGTCGCGATAAGGTATATTCGTATCGTCCCCTCGCAAGAAATACCTAGGTACCTACCTAATTAATGAGTGACCCAACGTGCCACGGAAGATGATGCCCTCTGTTGTTCACCCGACAAGCTGTCTGTCCTTCCCAGGGTAGAAGAAGACCAGTCAGTACATGCGCTCTTTCGGATAGTTGACCGACGGTCCGACCACTGTGGCGCTATGGGACGTCTGTAGCTTGGATAGGAGTGCGTCTCCAATCCACCTTGCCCAGCCATTAGAGACTCGAGGATGAGCCAGGCTTCTTCACGACTTCAGCTCCGACAATCTCCATGATTCCTAGTTCCTTTATGGATGTTTCCCGAACTGGTGCGTGCGCAGTTTAGTTTGTTGGAAGAACAAGCTGGATGCGGCAACTGAGGACCTTGTCCCGCGCTCCGCTGGCCGCCGATGACCCAATGGCTACAATCCACATGGGAAACACCGTCATATAGTGGTCGAAGGGTATATACTACCGATATAAGTCGGTATTCCCGTATGTCGACCGTGCAAGCATCGTTCTAAGGGGCATCGTGGCTGATTGGGACGAGAAGTCCCCCCTCTACAGAACTTCCGTGGGTTTGTAGTAGGCATATCCAACCCCTGAACTGGACAGGCCCCAACAAGTGTCCCCCAAAACCAGTCATCTCCTCTGGAAAGGGTAACGTTGGGCCTAAGTTCGTCCAGTCTCATTCGTCCGCTGAGAACAACACTGTCGGCCATCTAGAAGCAGCAATATAAAACGAACGGTCAGCTCAAGAATCCCGAATATAAACAGAAGGACGAGGGATAACAATTCACAATAGAATCAGGAGGCCGCCTGGAGCACATGGAGGTTCCATACCACAAGGCATGCGGGTCAAAACAGCTTCCCGTTTCCAGCTCCCCGGTGATATCGACAGTCCTCGGTAAGGGAAGGCTTCTCTTCTTCTCGTGAATCCAACGCTCGTTCCGTGTCTCTCTGCTGCCGACCTACCCTTGCGCGAGCGACGTGCTGCCTTCGCTTCCACCTCGTCGCCCGATCAACGCCCGGAACGACCAAGCACGAAGGGAGCCCCGTGGCCGTCTCTTGGGTTTCTCCGGGTGAGAGGAGGGGCCCGGGCCGGGCCACTTCTTGCGGAACAGACTGTGTACCAAGGGATGGTCCATAGTCAATAGTTGAGATACTGTTGGATATGGATGACGCGAGAACCTGCACGAGAAGGCTTGAACTGCGGGCTCTCGCGTCTTGACTTAAAACTAAGGTAGCTCGCTAGGATGATATTTGTGAGTAAAGCAGCGGCTATAAAAAAAATGGGTTTGAACCTTGGCCGAAGCTCGATGTCTGTAGCTAGAAATAGGAATTCGAAAGAAAGGGTCTGAAGACGGGCGTTCATTCATTACATATTTCTCCGCATCTGATCATGACTTGACGGTTAGAATTATCTGGAATAATTTCAGTTGTGAGCGTCAAATTAGTAGATATCTAACGGGAAAGACAGACACAGATGGACTCCCAATTTACCTACTCCTTGGGTATTATTAGTGCTTAGATCGTCACATTCCCACCTCAACCTCCCCCCAAATATCACAGAAGGCCTCAAGTCGGAATCGGGACAGGTAAGCGCTACCGTGCTACCCCACCTTCAGAAACCTTGGAAGAGCAAGTCCAATGCCAGGGATAACATCACTCTGTCAGCTTTCCATGGGAGACTAACCATTTTCGTGCCTACAAAGAAGCAGAAGCAAACGATCGCTGTTGACTCGCCTAGCCACATCTACTCGCGTAAACACGCCCTTCATAGATCCTTAAGGTTAACTAACTGCGAGCGCACAAAAAGCCAAACGGTAGCTGGCCATGCTTCGTGGGGTTGGGCAAGGAACAAAATCTCAATGCCAGGCCGCTCCACTGAACCCCCGGCCCCCCGCCCCCCCCCCTTTTTTTTTCCGGCAGACTTCCAACGACTGACTTTCTCTCAAACGACTCGAGCTGCAGAAGAAGAAAAACATAAACGAGAAGAGGCAGATAACCGTCCCTGAACCTGACATGCGTAATAAAACGGTGCCTACTGCCACCCACCCCGCCCACCATCCCTCCGGAGGCTACAGCCCTGGCCTGGCTTTGAAAGTGGCCCAACTTGGCCTAGTTGCCCTTGTCATTCACTCGCCGAGCAGCGCATGCCCCCTATCTATCATGAGGGCATTCCAATCGATCATCTGATCGTCTAGGGGACCTGCAGAATTTTGTATGCCTGGACGTGGGGCGCGAAACTCTGCTCATATGAGCCGCTGTGTTGTTCCCAGTGGGAAGTCGCTTGTTTTGCTGTAACAGGTCCGGATTCTTCATTCCCCCAGTCCAGGCACCGTACGTGTCCCCAACTCATAATGCGCTGCAATACAGCAAGTATAGCCATCGGGCGAATGAAAGCCTTTTGCTCCTTCTTGCTCTGGTTCATTTCTGTACTTCCGCGTCTCGAGCCAGTATGTCGCGCCGAGGTAAGGGACGAGACGCGGGTCAGTTCAGTCCGATACTTTCGTATTAAATTCGACGACTTGAAAATTCGTCCTCGGAGTAGAGCTACGAGCTATTGCGCTTGGTGGAATCAGTGCCAAGGGTTCTGCTGACCACCCATGAAACCCTCTTCTAGAGTGCGCTCTTCCAGGTTCCGAATGAAGTCGCGATTTCCCCTGCCGCCTTGCTGTTGCGTACGGCTGCCGCGCCGGCCGGCTTGCCTGCCTGGGGTGCTTTCTATGCCGACCATGCCATCAGCCGGCGGGGGATAGTACGCTGGACTTGGCTGCAATCGGATCGGCTGGTTGGGATCGAGGTGACTGGCCACGCGCTGAATGGCCGCCGGAATACCGCTTTGTTGCTGCTCCATTGTCGATGCCCGTTGGCGTCCAGCTCGCATGCTATTCTGAGGATACAGCCCACCTTGAGGCACGTTGCCATAAGGTGCTGATGTCAGCTGCTGAGGAGGTGGCGGTTGTGGCATGACCATTTGGCCATAGTTGCCCGGTTGTTGTCCGCCGTATGGTGGTGGCTGTGCTGCGTGGCCGCTGTTCGGCGAGTACATGACGTTGCTGCCGTACACGGGGCCTCCTTGTGGAGGATGGCCGCTCTGGGGATGGTACTGGGGAGACATGGAGGCGTACGCATTCTGGGCTGCAGAGTTGGCCTGGGCCTGGGCCTGGGCCTGGGCCTGGGCCTGGGCTGCTTGAGCTCGCTGCTTACTCAACGCTTCCGCCTGCTGTTGCTGCTGCGTACCAGGAGCTAGTGACCTGTTCAGAGAACTCGACTTCAGGTTCATGGGTGGCACGAATGGGCCGGTGAACTTTTGCTGTGTAATGAACGGATGCAGTTTAGCCTGCTGCGGTGACCATCGCTCAAGTGGATTGATATTCAACAGCCCCCTGACGAAGTCGATGAACGCAATGCGATTGTTCATTTCTAAGGCCGTTAGCTTCGTCCACAATAACAGAGCCAGGGTGAGGGACTGAGTAGAGCAAGTACACACCTCTGTCAATCTCGTGTTGCTTCATGTTCTTCCTCGGCATGGGATACGTCTTGATTATCTCGGGGAGCGTGTTGGCCTGGAAATATTTCTTGCTTGGTTGCTCCTTGGTGTTATGCTCCCGCGAATACTGCTCCATGGACTTCAGGTGGTAGGTCCGCCGGCCAAACTCGTCTTGCCGCTTCTCGAAGAATTCGTTGCCCTGCTTGCCCATTTCAATCATCCAATTCGGAGGGTTCCCCAGCATTTCGACTATTCTCGACACTTGATTATATTCGGAAGAGCCGGGGAACAAAGGAAGACCGAGGAAGAGCTCAACGACAATGCACCCTAAGGACCACATGTCAATGGCAGATGAGTAGGGGAGGCCGAGTAGAACTTCGGGGGAGCGATAGAAACGCGACTGAATGTAGGTGTAGACGGTCTGTCGCTCGTCGCAGGCAGAGCCAAAGTCGATAATTTTGATGATGGGGCTCTCCAGGTTCTTGAGCAGGATGTTTTCGGGCTTCAAGTCGCAGTGGATCAACCGTGCCTTGTTGAGAAGGGCGAGGCCGTTGAGGAGCTGCTGCGCAAAGACGCGAACGAGCGTGGTGCTCAAGCCCCTAAACTGGTTCTGTTTGATTAGCTCGTAAAGGTTGACGCTCAGGAGCTCGAAAACCAAGCACAAATGCTGCCGGTGGATGAAGGTATCCTTTAGGCGGAGAAGATGGTGGTCGTCATTCTTGTCAAGTTTGGTGTTGAGCTGCAGAAATGTTGGAAAAGGAGTGAAGACGTTAGCCCATTGCGTGCACGCCAGAAACTGTGATCTCTAAAAGGGGGAAAAGAAAGGCCGAGCACAGGACAGACATACCAAGTCCAGGACAGAGACCTCCATCATGCTCTGGTTAAAGTAGGCAGTGCGGTTTTTGATGACCTTCACGGCTACCACCTCCTGCGTCTTCAAATTCTGGCATTTGACAACTTGCCCGAAGGTTCCCTGGCCCAGCACATCGAGAATGAGATATCGATTCCTAGGGGCCCCATATTAGCATGCGCGTTTCCAGACGTTGACCAAGCCAAATCGGCAGCGTACTTATGACCGGCCTCCTCTGATCCCAGGATATCGTTCACGTAGAGAATATAGTCACTATCCTCGTTATCGTAGCCATCATTCTTCACACCTTTGCTCGGCTTCGTGAGGACGCGTCGGGGATTGCGCGACGACTCGTACTTGAAATTCGGGTTGCATATCCGGTACGTGGCGGGCAGGTGAGCAGTAAGCGCTTGGAGTGGCTGCACACGATAGTCAGCGATGTGCTCAGCAGTAGGGCACGGTGCGCAAGGTAATGTCCGCGGAACAGGCGATTTGAGAGAGGGTTAACAAAAGAAAAAGAAAAGAAGAAAAAAAGGAGAATCCGGATGTGCGAGACAAAAAAAAAAAAAAAAAGGAAAACAGAACGAAAACGAGACGGAAATGGTAGAGCCTTGCTTACGCTGATGAAACCACCTTCCGGGTTAGCTCGCCGGAAAGCCGGTTGGGCATTGACTTTAGGGAGAAGTTCATTCGGGTTGCGACAGGGCTTGAATGCGGGCACAGGACCCTTGCCGGGCGGTAGAGCATGAGCGACAGGTCGGCGCGGGGACTTGGAGTCGTTGTTATAGGCACTATCGAGCAATGGAATCCCGCTGGAGGGGTGGCCGTCGTTGGGGGAGCCGCCGCCGTAAGGGCTCATAGATGCCGATTGCTGCGGTAGCTTTCCGCCCGCAAAGTACGAGTTCTGGGGGCTGTAGTCGGCCTGCCTTGTTGGCGACTGTCGTGGGAGGGCGGCGAATTGACCGTGGGGAGCGGGCTTGGGCGCGTAGGGCGACGTGGGCGATAGTGCCTCCATGGGAGAATATCGCTGGGCGGCAGTGGAGGGTTCCTGTGGAGAGTGGAGGGTCGGGATGCGACCGCTGGAGACATGAGACTGGTGATGGGGTCTCAAGGGATACTTTATGGTTGCGTACGGGTCCTGGGCATCATGCATGGCGATGTCGCCATTGCCATCGCGTACCTGGGGCGGGCCGGGCGCGGCCGATGACGCTGTAGACGACATGGGGGAACTGGGACCGGCAGCAGCGGCAACCGGGCTCGACTGGTGATTGTGGTGGTACTGCTCGTATTTGAAACCAGCGGGGGCTTGGCCGGGCAGCGGGTTTTGTTGTTGTTGCTGCTGCTGCTGATGCGATGATGAGTGTTGTTGCGGGTGCTGCTGGTGTTGGGGGTTTGGGGGGAGCTGGCCGTTGTTGTAATCGCGCGGCATTTGAGGAGCGCCATTATATCGTCGCGATGACCCGCCCGAGTCAGCGTAGCCTTGCTGCCACTGAGGATCCATGACAGGCAGACTGTCGTTGCGGACAAATCGTCCGCAGCCGGATCAGGATCCGGTAGTGGGCGAGTAGGGTGAAAGGTGGTTTTCGTACAGATCGAGTGATTGAAACGAATGAAAGTTTGCAAGAGGGTTGGTTTTGGGCGATGGTTGGGAGAAAAGAAGGGGGAGGTGGGTTAAAGGATGACAAGAGGATCGTCGGCACCAGGAAATTCGCTTCACAAGCGCCCGAGGCGGGATGTCAATGTCGGTGTTTTAGAGAGTTGGAGAGTACGAAGTTACGTACGTAAGGTAATACTACCTACCTGGTGTTAGGGACCTGGAGGGAGATCGCTGCCGTCGGACGACCCCCAAGTAATTAAGTGTACGTACTGTTCCCCCCAGCCGCAGGCGGGCTGTCTTGGCCGGATTGGTCGGATTGGCTGGATTGGGCTGGATGGCTCGGCACCTTGATCAGGTTTGTTGACCTTGTTGTTACAGGTAGCCACCACGTCAGTCAGCCAGTCAACAAAGTCACGCAGTCAGTCACCGCACAGGGCACGGCGGAATGAGGGGTTGTAGACCGGCAGACCTAATTATGTAACTCGGCTACTCACTGCTGCACTTGTTGCCTGGGACCACGACTTTGGACGCCTTCCGATAAAGCGGGCGAGCCTCGTCTTCAAGAACAATACTTCTGTGTACGGGCCGATGTGGGAGGTTGGCAAATCCTGGACCTCGAGCAAGTGCAGGTCACCACGGGGATTGGTCAAGGCTTGTGAACTTGCACTTGTGAACCTGCAGGTTTCCTGGGCCTGGTAGTCGGATGTTGAGGCTTAAAAATAAAAATAAAAAGGGTCGCCTCTCAACACCGTGAGGTGTCAATGGTAGGTACTAATAAGAATAATAGCTCCAAATCAACGTCGTTCTACTTCAGATATGGCACCGTATGGAAGGACAAGAAGCTGCTCTGAATGTGTTTCTCGGTCATTCACTTCAAATTGACAGGCTGGGTATTAAAAGTCATAAAGTCATGGGAAGAGCGCTACGCGGTAGGTATGTCCGGAATGGTACTAGCACGGATACCCAACCCGTCTCAACTCTAAGCAGGCGCCAAGCTCCCTGGTCGACAGGTCCGCGTCTGGACATCTGGTTGCGGTTAATAGGATACCATGATTGTGTGTAAGAAAACAACCATTGTTTTGTATGAATATACGGATTAGAAATATGGCTACTGAATTAAGGTATCTTAAAGCGCAGGAGAGGGTAGAAAAAGAATTCCACCCAAAGAGGCACTTGGGCATAATCACACGACATCCGCACCAGATACTCCAAACCCCCACCTAATACGAGTACTACTCCGTACATGGCGCACCAGCACGCACTGTTGCACTCAGGAACTCGTTGAATCAGCCTGCTCTGTGGAATTATTATCCGTACAGGCGGCCCTTCTTGGTGTTCATCCACAGTGAATCTTCGCAGTTCCTCTCCGTGGGGGGAAGCTACAAGCCCTGATTCAGTCATGGTTCCACTTCGTGCTCAAAGACTGATTTCTCTGATCGTTACCGATCGACCAACGCTAAACAGAGCGTTGAACAGATAAAGACCAGACAGTTGCCCAGAGATCAGGAAGAAAAAACTCTGTACTCCGTAGAACCCTGGAGGCTGCCTAGGTAATTTCCATGCTCGAGTCCTGGTTGTCGTCATCGCGGCCATCCTTTGGTGCGACCCAGGACGCCCTCCGCCACATCCAGGGTCTAACATCCACTTCGTTCAAACAGCCACTCTGATTACCCACACAATAGGTACGCCAATATAGATAAGATGAAAAAGTATGACATTCTCGTCTCACCGGTTGCCTCGCCACTCTGGGGGAACGCGTTGAAACAACGAGTAAGAAGTGGGTTTATCCGTCTTCGATATGGCGACATGGGTCGATCCAATCGCCCAGTCAGCTCTTTACCTTTGTGACGTATCTTGACTTGTCAAAACCCCAGAGCAAGATAGCAGGTTGAAACTGCGCCGAGTTTATCGACTATGGATGACAAGACTTCACGGGTCCCAACATAAGCTACCTTAGGGTAAGATGCTAGGAATATTGTATCAGGCAACGCTGGCTAAATACAGCTTCAACTGTAACAACATATCCATACGCTTATCCCTCGGACACTATGAACTCATATTGAGACCGAGAAATTTCCAAGTTGCGCGAAACAAGGGAAGAGAGCGAGTGCTCCAAGAGTTCAGGAGACAGGATAAAGCATGGGAGATTGAAGAAGAGATATGAGGTAGAAGCCAAAGTGGGGGAACAAGAGAACGCTTTCCTCATGTTCGCACCAGCTCTACCCTGTAGAGCCGCTGCAGGGACGCCCACAATACCCATGAGACAAGGTATGTAGAGAAAACAATCAAAGCTTGACACCAAGAATGAAGCAAATAGGCAGGCCGTCGAAGTCATGCAAAGAGATAGGGTTAGAAAATCTTGCGGTAGGCAATGAAAGACGAAAACAACAGGCTTCATGGAAATCACCAGGGAGGAAAGAGAGAGAAAGAGATGAGCTTGGAACAGAGATGAGAGGTACAGTGACTAAGGCAATACAACCAATAACCACGAGATGGACAGCAGAAAGCGACAGCAAGAAAAGTGACAGCGTCCTGAACAATGCACGTAGATCATACCTGTGACTGGTGTTCCAGCGTTGCCTCTGTTTTGACCCAGACTACCCACCCTCATTACGAAAAAAGTAAAGAAAAAAAAAGGAAACGAACTTTTTTTTTTTTTGGGAAGGTGGCATCAACATTGAGCCAGTCAAGGAAGAATAGAGATACCCCTTCCCATGTGCTTGATACCATCGAATATGGTTCACATTCTCCAGATCTCTTCAATCTCTGCTTCTTCCCCTGGATTGTGCGCGCGTGTTTGTGCAACCATACTTAACCATGAATTAAGGTGAAAGTTGTTCTTCTGTCTGTTGCTGTCAGAAGTGATGGCTCATCACCCCTGGTAGCCGCTATAACCGTTATTATAGGATTGGCCCTGGTTTCCCTGGGCTCCCTGGGGCCCCTGAGGTCCCTGAGACCACTGGTTACCGGGCGGCTGTTGACCGCGACCATAGCCTCCAGCACTTTGGGGACCACCGTAGCCCATCGACTGAGGACCGTAGCCAGCAGGGGATTGGGCAGCCGGGCCCCCGTAGTTCCCAGGTTGTCCGCTATATTGGCCTGCGATAATGGGGTGGTGAGCAACAAGTCGCAGCAACTGAGAACAAAGAAAATTCACGTACTGCCGTACTGCGGGAAGTACGTAGTGGGTGTACCTGGATAGGTCTGAGCTGACGCACTTTGGGGGCTGTAGCCCTGCTGCGAGGGATCGAAGGTGGCCGAGTTCGGGGTCTTGTCCTTTCCCCACTATTTGACGGTCAGGCCTGAGCTCTGGTTTCGGGGGAGAGGTCGAAGGGACGGGACGACTTACACTGCACTTCAAGGGACGGCCATTGACGTTATAGCCGTTCATTTGGCAGATGGCCATGGCAGCGGCCTCGTGACTTTCCATCTTGATAAACGCAAAGCCTCGGTCCGCCTGGAAACGAGATTCGACAACGTAGCCAAAGTTTTGAAACAGCGGCACAACATCAGGCGGGCTGGTGTAGGGAGTAAGATTGCCAACATAGCAAGTTGTCTGCCAGCTCGGGGTCTGAGCTAGGACCACCTCATAGCTGCCCATACCGTTGGCGGGGAATTGATGATGTCCGAAGGGCGTAGTTGGGGTCATTCCCATGGCCTGCATGGCATGCTGTTGGGCAATGGAGGGCTGGCCCTTCTGGTTGGCCCAGTTGCAGCGAATAGCCCGCGAGCCGAGCCACTCTCCGTCCATAGAGCTCAATGCCTTCTCGGCATCAGGCCGATCACGGAATGCGACGAATCCGTAGCCCCGGGATCGGCCAGTTTTCATATCCCACATGACGCGAGCCTCGGAGACGGTTCCAAACGCGGAGAAGGCCTGGTGCAGAAGATCGTCGTTCACCTCGTTCGAGAGATCGCCAACGAAAATATGGAAGTGGTTCGAAGTATCCTCCTTGCTCGTTGTATTCGACTGATAGGCCCAGTTGACGCGAATTTCCTGGGGGACGAATGTTAGTCCGAGTGCATGGAGACAACCGAGGAACGAGAGGAGGCGAGAGCCCCTTTGAAGATACATACCGACTGGTGAACGCGTCTCCCATTGAGGGTCTGCATGGCTCTCTCAGCTGCGCCCGGATCATCGTACTCGACAAACCCATAGTTGTATCCCCTTTGCTATACGCATGGGTCAGCATCGTGGTCTCGAATGGACGGGGGTGTAAATGGTCGCAGGTGGGCAGCTGTAGTGCTTCTCGCACGTTGCCGTCACCCTGCTCACGCATTCGCTCGCCCTCGCACAGGTTATCACTCACGTTCTTGTCAGGGATGATCTTAACGTTCTGGACATGGCCCGTGGTTTCGAAGATCTGGCGCAAAACATCCTCGGTAACGCGCTGGTCTAGGCCACCGACATACAGGGCTCGCTTGTTCGGCTCAGGCGCGGATCGACGACCGAACCCGGTTACGCTGCCGCCGGGAGACATAACATTCTCTACACCAGACATTGGCGACGTGATAGCAGTTGGGATTGGCTTGGTGTTCTGCGGGATGTGGAGGGGCGGAGGGGGCTTCTGGCCGTTCTCGTAGCCGGGAGCTCCTTGATTGGGCTGAGGAGGTGGCAGCTGAGCTGCGTTCGCGGAAGTGTCGGCCATTGGTAGTAATTTTTGCTCGGGGAGAAAAAGAGAAAACAAAAATGCGAACAAAGTTGATTCGAACTTGGAGGGCGAGACAAGGGAGTAGTCGACAGTAGGCGATACAGTGGCGGTGTAAATCTCTCTATTCTGAGTTGCAGACCGAAGGCAAGAAGAGAGGGAAATCTGCTACCCAATAGGAAAATGGACTATTCGTTGCAATGACCGAGGTCTAGTACTGCAGCTGTCGAGATTTGCTGCCCGGTCTGGCGAGAAACGGTACAAGGCGGGGTGGGTTGAAATTCGAATGGACGAGTTGTATCGGTGGGGTTGGGCGACCCTCAAGAGATGGAAGCGCGCACACGTATCGAAGTGGAGGAACGATCCAGGAGCAGTTCGTTATTCGTGAAGCGTTTGGACGTTGTAATGAATTCGAAACGCGAAACGTGAATGTTTAAACGGTCGGACAATCGTCGAGTCAATCGGCCGGCTAGTTGATGCTATTTTCAGCAGGCTGCAGGACGTGAAAAGCGTACCGAGTCCGAAGTGAGCTGTGTGCCGAAAAAGACGACGGAACACTGCGTAGACTAGGCGGGAGACGGACGCAAGACAACAAAAGCCAAAGATGTGATGAGACTCATACAGGTAAGGAAACGCAGAGAACCCGAGTTGGAGGAGGAGGAAGAGGAAAAAAAGAAAACGGACGAAAAGGAGCCCTCCTGCAAATGGTTGGACGTTGAGCCCTCCAGTGTTGCCTCTTGTTGGATCGTTGCTTGGGAGGAAGAAAAAGGAACCCCAGTGATAAACGAGAAAAAGTCTAAGGTAGGTACAGATAGATGGTAGGTGAAAGGGTGCAGTGCTTGTTGGAAGTGGGGAGAGAACGACGGGACGGAGAAAGGTGGAGAATGCTTGGCTGGTGGAGAAAGTGCCACCACAACGTCCTGTCTCTTCCTTGTTTGAGGAATAAGTATCCAACACTCGAGAATGGGGAGTACGATGGAAGAAAAAGGGACTTGGGAACGTTTTCTACTAACACCGTCAATGGCCTTGTAAGAGTACGCTACCTGAATGCAGTCTAGTCGAGATGAGCGAGAACGAGATAATCCAAGGTGCCGCTAGCGTGGGCCAATATTTCTTCAAGTCGGTACGAAGCATTCGTGCACCGTGCTTCGTACTTCGTATGATTATAGATATGATGAGCCAACCTGAAAAAGCAGACACGAAAGGCGATATGAGCTGCAGATGGCTTTTCCTCCTGTTTCTCAAGGCAACTGATTATTGACCGTAAGTAGAACTTTATGTCGAGACGGGAACTGTACTCCGTACTCGAAGTATTAAGGTCGGTACTCTATACCTTACCTGAGGTGAGGTGCCTTAGATGAAACTGGCCGGAATGAGTACCGATTAACTTCCTAGACGGTGAACCGAGAGAGATCAGCCTCCTTAAGGGGAGAGAGAATGAACACAGTACTAATTAGTAAAGAAAGCAAGAAAGGCTATGTATCGAAACAAGAAAACAAATGAGAATATACTAAGTAAGATAGGTAGAATTAAGACGTTGAAAACGGACTCGGCACCCACGCCTTACGCTCCCGAACAATATAACCTTCGATGTATTATAGCAAGGCCGAGTGAAGATGAGATGCGACAATGTCTAAGGTACCTACCTACCTTATGCAGAGTACCTTATGGAGTAGAAAACAATAAGGCTAAGGTACCTAGGTACCTAGAGTTCCTAGGTCGAGAATTTGAGGAGTTGGAATCACCAGCCTCCCTCCCACCTATCCCACTGTAGGCATATTTGCCCGAACTACCTATAAACTAAAACGACTCTAAACGAACACTAAGAACGGTAAAGGTAAAATAGGCGTCTACTATGGGGAGTAGTAAGCAGGTAGGTTGGAAGACTGCGCATCTTCGTATAAATAGGTAGTTCTGTAATAAGGTACCTAGGTAAGGTACCTAGGTAGGGCCAAGTTCAGTTACCTCGCAATTGTCCATACCTTCGTTCGCTACCTTATTACGGAGCAGTTATTACATAAGGTAGGTACCTTACGTACCTTAGAGTGGTTGGTGGCGTACGTTCTATCTTTTGTGCTTTGGACACAGTGCGGGATACCCAAAAGGGAGGCGCCCATCCAAATCGGCCGCCCATTGGTCCAAATTATCCTTGGCAATTGTTTTGGCTTCACGCCTTCCCCAGTCCCCGTCCCAGTCCCCAGGGGAGACAGAACTTTAAAGCGTCTATCCGAAAGCGATGGCCTTCATCGCTTATATTTTCTACTCCTCGTGATACTCCCATGTATTATTGCCAGAGAATCTGCATTAATCACCTTTGAAAAGTCTTAAGGAAAAAGGCGCCTTCTTGGCCCCGAGGTCTGTTCACACACACACACACACACACACACACAGAGCACCTCGCGTTCTCTCCGCGCTCAAACCCGCACCGTGCTCTGTCGGCATCGATCTTCTACTCCGTTATACGGCTATATCTCACGGGTTCTGGGAAACATTCGAGTATCTGTGTCTTCTCCGGGCCCCGAAATCACCTACTCAGTACTCGGTAGAGTGCGGTCACAGTTTGCATTCTTGGCCGTCTTCTCCAGCCTCTCCAGCCTCTCCAACCTCACCAACCTCTCCAGCCGAACAGTTGACCTTTCCACTCCTCCGGATCTATGCTCGTTGCCGAGACACCCCACCGGCATCCATCCTCTCCACACGCACGGGTCCCTCTTGCATGAGATAAACCGATATCAGAACAACCCTCTAGATAATACTTGGTTTTGCTCATAGTACCCGCCATGGCAAACAGCAACAAGCCTACTGACCCCCTGGACCAAATCCAGTTCATGCTTAACGATGTAGTGAGTCAAGCCTGCCACACCATTTGCTGCTCATCACCCGTCTTGGCCTGCTCTGACCCATGAATTCGTTCCAGATTGTGCAAATAGGGAAGGCCTTGAGAGCCACTAACCGGCAAGGTGACCGCCGAAACCTGGCTCAAGTCCAGGCCTCGGTCAAAAGCCGCGTGCCTGACACCATTGAAAACTTCCACTGGGCGTTGGACGATCTGGAAAGCGAAATCGTGAGCTGTTCCCTGGTTCCTATCTCGTCATCACGCTGTTGGTATATGTATCCCTTGTCCATGTGTTAATCTCTGCCTTAGGTAAACGCAAAAGCCGCCTTGCAGAGAGATCTTGACCGGTTGCGAGCGAAGCGCATGTCGCCAAGAGACGAACATTCCCCCGCCGAAGCTGGATCCAAGTCTTCCGTTACCATGCGTACCAACTTTTCGCAGCCGACTCCGAGTCTTCAATTAAAGCAGGAGAACCGAGACGCTTCCGGCGCTGCCCAGGCGGCCCCGCCTGCGCCGATGGCTCCCTTCCCCGACATGGGCGTCGGGACAACCCCATCTCCTGCCCGGGTAACAGATGCGGGCATCAAGCAGGAGCCCGCGCCCTCGGCGCCGCAGGCGATTATGGGCCCTATCGGTGACGCGGGGGCCAGCTCAGCGGGGGCGAAAATCGCTCTCGCTGCCCCAGAGGCACCCATGGATGATCTGCCAGGAATGTCAAGGACCACCAACGGGTCCGGCGGGGGCTCCGGAGCCGAGTTCAATTTCACAGACATGACGTTCGATCTCGCCCCTTCGAGCAATGAACCGCCAAATTCATCGACATCGCAGAATCTCAACATGGACACGCCGCGCTTCGGCACTGCGGACGACATGCTTTCTCTCGATCAGTTTCTCGCTCCGAATACCGGTACGGCTAGCCAGCCGGCGACAAGCAGGAACAATGCTGGCAACAATGCAACGGTCGCCGCCGCAGCCTCTGCGGCTCAGAAGCCCCAGGAATTAACGAAGAGCACGGCTAGAGCAGCCGCCGCTGGTACGGGCGTAGGCGTAGGCGTAGGCGAGGGTGATAAGTCCAACCTTGACAGTACTGCCATGGACCTTGACATTGATGTGGGAGGTGGCGCGGACGGCAGCAACTTTGACGACATGTTCTTCGGAAACTCTAACGTGGAGGATGAGATTCAGTTCGACGATGCATTCTTCGGCATATCATCGACATAGGTAGGATGCGAACTGGAATGACTGGGGCTGTAAGGCAGGGGCTGTAAGGCAGGGGCAATCAGTGGGGGAGGAGTACCACTGCTCACGCAGCCACCAAAGGGGAATGTACAATCTGAATGCTGGCTAATATCAATAAGGTACCTTGCATACTCCGTACGGACAACGACAGGGAGCTGGGTGTCTCTCTTGTCGCCTTCGTCTCCGTTTCGCCCCTCCCACCTACGCCAAAGCAGACACTTCTTGCCAATTCTAGCCGGAAAAGCTTCTTTCTACGGGGCCCTGCGTCACGTTGAAAATACTGCCAAGCAATTCTTTAAAAGCCCTGTTCCGCCATGCGTTCCAGTCCCGGTCCAGAGCAGCCCACGTCTCGTCATAATCTATCTGGCCGTCCCGGACATAATACGACCCCTGAACCGCCCACAGCGCCCAGTCGGCGTCGTTGTTCTCCAGCCAGCTGACGAAGCACGTCAGATAGGCGTAGTGCGACTCCGACAATCCAGCCTCCTCTCCCCCCTGCATATTGACGCCGAACTCAGACATCCACAGAGGGCCCGTATACGGACGGTCCTGCTCGAGGACGAAGCCATACAGCAAGCCGTACTGCATGAGTTGAATGTCGCAGTTGCGGCCGATATCCGGAGTCGTGACCGTGAAGGGATATTCGTGGGCCTCCCAGACCGTTTTCCCTCTCCACCGCGAATCGTCAAAGGGCTCCACGTGCAAGGGTGTCAAGTCGGTCGCAGAGTGCAGACCGCCCATGACGACGAGGAGGCGCGGGTTCGCGGCGTGGACGGCGGCGGCTCCCCGGGAGATGAAATCGCGCCAGTCGGCGGCGGAGAAGGGGATCTGCGACCAGGTGGCGCGGAGCTCGTTGCGCAGACCCAGGGCCACGACGCCTTCGTGATCGCTGGCCCACCGGGCGACGGATTCGAGGCCGGCGATCCAAGCGTCCGTGCCGAAGTAGCGGCTGTTCAGGGCAGAGTAGAAGCGGGCTTCCTTCCACCAGCCGTTGCCGTCGATGAGGTTGCAGCACTGACATTGGGTGAGGGATAAGTTGGGTCATGCGCACGCAACAATACTCAGTTCATCCCGAGAAGAGGCGCGAGGGATGGTTCCATCACCTACCCAGCTGGCGCGCGAAACGTGGTTATCCAAAACGGTCATGACGTCGCGCTCCCACAGGGCGTCAATCACGCGAGAAAAGACGCCGCGCTGCGTCGCATTCGCAAGGAAGGGGTTGTGGGTGACAGCCTGCGAATATATCGGCATGAAGTCCTCGACGGCGATACTGGCGGCTGCTGCCCCTCGGCGGAAGGACTCCTCGGCCGAGATATCCGGGTTCAGGGCATGGTCGATGGAGAAAGTGAGGCGGACGCAGTTGAACCCTTCGTCGCGGATCCAGTCGGCAACGTACTCGAGGGGCTTCTTATGCAGGCCTTCGGGCAGGTTGACCTCCATGTGGCCCGCCCAGTTGATGCAGCGGAGCTTGACGCGTTTGCCTGCGGCGTCGACGATCCAACGGCTGGAGGTGGAAAGGGGCAGAAGTGGTCGTTCCGCCTGGACTAGGCTGAGGAGCCAGGCCAGGATGCCAAGGTAGAGGATGATGGCGCTCATCATGATGCAGATTGAGAAGTCAAGTCAACGCGAAACATCGAGGCGGCATGGTCGTCTTCTGGGCCATCCTCTGATGAATTGTGGATAGGAGGCAGATTATGTACCATTTTTCTAGTTATACACAGGACTTCATCCATCAGTATAGATGCAACATCTACCGATCATTCCCATTATCAAGAGACATCGTGTATTCTTGGGCAGGCCGTGTAGTGAGACGAGTAGACATACCTTCCATGGCGAGAACCCCCCCTTGACCTGGTTGGGGCAGATGACATTTATAGTTCACCACCCTCTCCCAGGTTCAGGAGGTGTAAAGGGGGATGGATGGTGGGAGCGGGGGTTGACAAGGGGGGATGTTAAACATCCAACCATCGAAGCCTCAAGAGTTCCCCGTGGTCGAAAAAGACGACGATGCATCCACCGCAATACCTCGTAGTATTACAAGACAAAGAATCAAGTACACGTGCGAGATTAAATCAGATAAGGTACGTATTGTAGGTATCGCGTTCAAACCGATTCATAACGCTCAAAAGTCTGGTAGGTACCTTAGGTAGGTAGTTAGGTACCTTACCCAGTAACTAGATCAGTACCTCAAAAGTCCAAGTCCTCCGTCGCAAAAGCCCTTATCGCACCGAGCGGCTCATTTTTATTTCCAACAAATATCGCTAGTCGTATGTAATCGTATGTCGTCGTCGTCATCGTCGTGTGATGGTCGTTGTCATATCGTAAATGAAATCCAGGTACGTGCGCCTGATCCACCTGGACACACTGCCCCAAGGCTGAGCAAGGCTCCTGCTTTCGCCATGTGATCAATCATAAGCGTACAGGCCGTGCCTCGCTCGATTGTGCGCATAGATCCAACGCCTCCCCTCAGCGCCACTCAAGCCCCGAGCTATAGGACTTGCAGGCACCCCACGTTTCTTGACTCGGGGGGTAAGCCCCACCCCGCCGCCCCCAAAAAACGGCTGTCACACAGCAGGTGTCGAGTTGTTTCCTGCGGCAGCCCGAGCTTCGAGTTCGCGCCTCTTGGCAAGAAGGCTTTTGAAGGCACCCAGACAATGGACCAGCGATTCCTCGTCGGGGGCGCAGAACCGGTAGCTCTTTTCTTCCGTGATGAGTTGCAGGCAGTTGATCTTGGTCCTGCTGATGGGGTCGACGTCCACGACGTCCACGATGCTCGACATGGGCCTGATAAACTGCGCCGTGTACTCCGACTCGTCCTTGTACAGGATGAAATTCCGAGGCCGCAACACCGCCCACTGTCGTTTCCACTGCCTTACACCGCCCTTGTTCCGCAGGAGCCACAGCCAGCCGTGCCAGATGACGCGGTCCGGGTCATGTTCGGTATGCAGGCCGCTCGCTTGACTTGAATTTCGCTGGCCCAGCATCGGTTTGCTCGTTGAACTGGCGCCGAGTGTGCCAGATCCCGAACCCGAGCCTGAGCCTGAGCCTGTCGCTGGATGCTGCACTGCGAGATCTTCTATCGACATTCCCCGCATGCGATGGACATCTGTGTCCGACAGGTCGGAGTGTGATCCTAGTTCGTTACCAGAATAGCCCGCCGTTTCCAGCATCGTTGGCGGCCTGCGTAACTCCCCGGGTGCGAGTTGAGAAGTTTGAAGATCGAAAGGCTCCGGGGAGCTGGAAAAAAATCTTTCCCGCGATGCCACAACCGTCGGGTTTCCGGCGCCAGGTATTGGGGGTAAATATGACGAGTGCTGTCCGGTAGGGCTGGCTAGAAGGAGCTCCTCTTCTTCCTCGTCGATGCGGGCGTGGCCCCTTATTAGTTCGACCCAGTCGTGGGCGTCGTCTTCATTGTTCGCTTGGAAATGATAGTTTCTCGCTGGAGAGAAGCACCCGAATACATGTTTTCTCCTATGCTTCGGATCTTTGAGTAACGCGACCGCCGTGAGATCAGACAGGTTGATTTTGTGCCTCAATTTGTCCTCCTTTTCTGTTTTGTAGATGAATAGTGCATTCGGTCGTAGGACTAGGTAGACGGGTTTCCAAGCCTAGCACAGGGCACAGGGTTGCCGGTGTTAGTCAATACGGGGGGTCACAGTCGCAGGGGTGAATCGGGCGGAAGAGCCGGGAAACGGGGAGCTAACCTTGGTCTTCTGCGTACGCTTTTGAACGTGGCCGCTTTTCACCACACGATCCGACTCGAAGCTCCCGTTCTGATTGACGGGCGAGGTGTAGGTATCCCGTGCGACCCTTTGCCGAAGGCGGTTGTGCTTGGGATCGCATCTAAGGGTTGTGGGCGGTGGTATGGTAATGGCAGGGCTTTGCTCCGGTAGCACAGGGAGCACCTGGGCTTGCGGAGACATGGCGCAAAGTCACTGAAAGAGAAAGAGAAAGGGGCCGGTGAACGAGGTATGCGAACAGTCCACGTCAAGCGCACCTGTGTCCGAGTATCTGTAGTGAAAACACGGGAGGTTGGGGGAGGTCGGGTGATGGTGCTGAGGCGACGTAGCGTAGGACGAGTTCCAAGCTGTCGGGCTCGTAGCTGTGTACAAGAAGACGATGGTGCAGGTTTATCGCGAATTATTCTTGCGCAAGAGGCGAGGGATCGTAGAGGAGAAACAAAGTATGTATGAATGAAAAGGGAATCGAGTATCCGTAGTGTGAGGGCAGGCAGGCCTAGGCGTGTTCCTGTCGTTCGATCGTTGACTGCGAGTTTACGGGGCAAGTGGGAGAGCCGGAGGGCTAAGCTTTTTGGCGAGGGTGGATCGATGCAAATATGACCAAAAGGTTTGAGACAAAAGAGCCGAGGGCGCAAAGCATGCTGCGGGTCACGGTCGAGAAGGCCGTCGGCTACGGATTGGCAACTAATTAGTTGGCTTGGTCAAGAGAGCGTTTGCATAACTCGTCTGTGTACGAAGTACGGTACGGATGGATGGCGTTAGTCTGAGCTGAGTGTACGGTACGGGTACATAATAAGGAGCACAGAAGCGTCCGTTTCATTGAAACAGCATCCTTGGCGAACGGTTGGGGTTGCAGAGGGGAGAGAAGTGTTGGGGTGGTTTGGATGGTCGCAAATGATAGGACTGGGGCGTTAAAACTTTATTATTACTCTGTACGAAGTACTTCGTACCTTTTAGTTCCAACTTCCGGGTCTTGTTTTCTGGCGCACTGCCGGAGACCCTGTATCAAGCAGGGGGTTGGTTGGGTGGGGCGTGATTGGCGATGGGGTGCCTGGCGCATATCGAAACAGTGTGAGCCACGAAGAGTCACACATGCAAGGTAAGTATGGTGATATGGGATTGGGCCAAATCCGAGTTCGACGTCACGCATTGGCTGGGGTCAAAAAAAACAGTGTCTTAACACTGTACATTTGCGCATGAGGTATTGCCTCGTAAGCTGAGGGTTCTGAGACGACGTGCGCGACAACTACCTACAGGTAACAACTAACACCATCCAAGGTTGGTTCACCTGGCCCTGGTCAAAGGTGAAAGATGAATACGAAGCTTTAACCGCCCTGCACTTGGTTATGTACGAAATACCTGGGTAACGAAAGTCTGTCTCCACTAAATCATGGAATTGTCCAGTCCATACGCCACTTCCCCGAATAACTTATCCGTAAGTTGCAACGCACCTGCACCTGAAATCACATTTCGTTTCGATGGCCATCTGACGCGGGGAATCCGCTGCACGCCCACCCCGTTTCCTAAAACTTGGGAACTCTTTGGCACTTTCGAGGTAGGACTTTTGCTGCATCGATGGGAAGGACAACATCGCGATTCCTCTTCCTCTTCTGTATCTCTGCTCTTGGGATAGCTCGCTCTCATACTACAGGTAACCACCTCACCTCACATCATCTCCGGCTGTTACCTCGGAAGCCCGAACGCTCTTGTCTTACAGAGTAAGGTAGCCTTGGGTCGCCTCGCTGTAGCACCCAAACACACACATAGCTTTTGTCGCTTGGCCTCTGGCAGACATTCTGGTCTTCGTACTCAATACCTCGAGCCAGCCTTAGCCTTAGCCTTACCCTTCGATACCATTTCACTCGAGAAGCTCAGTATCATTTCTCTTTTCTCCCCCTTCCGTTCATCATAAATCATGACAAACAATGCCCCTCCGGATATCAAGAACCTCCTCCAACGGCTCCAGACAGAGCTGGCCGAGACCGCCTACTCTTTTGACACTGCCCATCCCCTGAGCGGGGGAACCGCCAACTTCATCTACCGCGCTGCACTGGCCACCCCACTACCGGACGGTACGAAGGACGTTGTCATCAAACATGGCGAGGCATTCTTAGCCTCTAATGGCGACTTTGAGTTGTCCAAGTCCCGCTGTGTGCGTCCGACGACATCCTTCGCGCTCGAGTAGAAAGTCCCAAGACTGACCGAAAATATGTACCCGGGGAGAAACAGCTTGCCGAAGAACGGTCTTTACGCGCTCTAGCCCAGTGCCCTCCCGTCACTAGCCCGCTCTTTTCCATTCGGGCGCCCAGGTTGCTCTACTTTGATCAGGAGACATGTACCCAGGTGCAGGAGTACCAACAGAGCGCCGTCGCCCTCAAGACCTTCATCCTCAAGAATTACCCGAGTCCTACTCCCGAGGCGCTCAGAGCCTCTTATGTCGCACTGGGGCGTGACTTGGGCCGCTGGCTACGCTTCTTCCACAATTGGGGCAGTGCTCCAGAGCAGAAGGACCTCCGAGATGTCGCGGCGGGGAACAGCGAGATGCAGGGCCTCAAGCACTGGGTCAATTATGTACGCCTCGCGCAGACGATTGACCATTTCCCGGAAATCCTAGGCGGATGCGCGCAGCTGTTTGGCGACATTGCCAAGGTAACGCAGGACGAGCTGCGGGACGAAAGTAAGCTGCGGGTCATCCATGGCGATTTCTGGCCGGGCAAGTATGTTGTTCATCGTGCCGTATCTTGTAGCGTCTTCCCTGCCACGCAATCGGATTTTCGCTGAACAGCACTTTGTCGCAGTATTCTTCTTCGAGACGAGCCCCTGGGGTCGGGAGAGATGCCCGTATTCGTCGTCGACTGGGAACTGTGCCAACTCGCTGTGGCACCTCTTGACGTCGGAAGATGGTGGCAGAGCTGTTCGAGTTTGTCCTCTTCAAAGGTGTCGATGCGGGCGCTTGGGTGATTCAGGGGTTGGTCGAAGGGTATGGCACGGTAGATGCCGACTTCGCCTTCCGGACGGCGTTGCACGTCGGGACGCACCTCGTTGTTTTTGGTAGCACTGTACCCGACTGGGGGACACCCGGACAGGTCGAGAGAGCGGTGCGGGAAGGGAGGGATGTGATCGTGAAGGCGTGGGACAGAGATCGTCAGTGGTTCGAGGAGCATCCTACACTACGAGTTTTATTCAAGTTTACGTGAAAGGGTCAAGGGTAAAGGGTGTCTACGCGGACGTATGGGGCTTGGATGAGGTGTTTTCATGAGCCCATTGAACCTTTAAATTATTGTGAAATTTTTCATCGCTACTATGTCGAGGGTACGAATGTCTCTTCTCCCTTGGGCCCTTGGGCCCTTGGGTATTGTGTTGTTGGTGGGTTGGTGGGTTGGTTATTTGCGAGTTCTCTTCATATGTCTGCTCTGACTCAACCATCAACCAGTACTTGGAGTGACAAATATATTCGTGGTTCAAATGAATAAACCCAAGTAGCTAACATGTACATGTACTCTTCTTTTCAATTCCTAGCTTCCATGATATACACTAATTGTCGCCACTCCTCGCATCGCTTGCCAAATTTCTTTTCACCAACAGGGCCCTGGAGAACTAAACGTCTTTAAGAAAGGAGAATCTAATCGGTTCAACTTTAACTCTTAAGCGATAATAAATGGAAAATGAGTGACGGCGAACTACCATGCGCCAGCCCACCTTGCCGAAGATGCAAGTCCTATCCCGCCACGCTCAAAGTGAGACTTGAGCCGGTCTGCGAGTGAGCCTTTAATTCCTCTTCCTTTTCCTCTTCGCGCTTTGAATCGCAAGTCTGACCCGTCAGCCCAGATCATGCTATGGCCAATACATTACCCAAAAAGTTGTTAAGCGCATGGTCACGGCGCTTAAGGAGGTTCGCGCTGCCGCAGGCATCGACAGGCCTCAGGCCCCTCCACCCCCGCGCTACCTCGTCGCCCTCTCGTTCGGCGCTTCGTCCACGGGTCTCCTCCACATCTTGCATGAGAACCTGCGGAGTCTCAGAGAGCGCAATCCGCGAGTCGCGTATGATTTGACGGCCATTCACATCGATACCGACCTCTCAGACCATGGCGACGCGGCCGAGCCGCCAGACACCCCCGCTTCCCGCCTTCTGCGTACCTACCAGTCCCGCTTCCCCCTCGCTTCCCTCGAGATCGTGCCCCTTACCGCCATATTGGACGCGCCGACTATGGACTGGTCCGCTATGCCCCCGCGGGATTCGAGTTTGCCCCCCGCCGCCCAGGTGCGGAAGCTCCTACAAGCCCTTCCGTCCGTGACGTCCCGCGTCGACGTGCTGCGCATCTTCGTGCGGCATCTCCTCCTCGCAACGGCCGTGGAGAAAAACTGCGACGCCTTGATGTTGGGGTCTACGACCACGGCGCTGGCGGAACTCACCCTCGGTGCGGCGGCCAAGGGGAGAGGCCTGGCCGTCCCATGGCTGGTCGCGGACGGACCTTTCCCTTTCCCCGTTCCTGTTGCCGCTGCCGCTGCCCCTCTGCCATCAGACGCCGCCCCTGGAGGGGTAGTGGAAGAAATTGCAGCAGCAGGCGTGGCGAACCTGAACACGGGAAATACCCGCAGCACCAACAACGAGGGGCGGACTGTTCCCGTATACTACCCCCTTCGAGACGTATTCCGACGCGAGCTACTCGCGTATAACGGCATGAAAGAGGTGGCGCTGACGGACCTTGTCGTGGAAGGGGAGAGCTCCGCCACCGCCACCGTCGTCTCGCACAAGGAACTTAGCATCGAGGCTGTCATGGCGCGGTATTTCGCCGAGGTGGAGGAGAACCAATCCAACGTCATTGCCAACGTGGTCCGCACGACCGAGAAGCTCATGAAGGTGAGAGGCGACCAGTCGTGTAGTGTCTGCGGCATGACACTGGACGAGCAAGGCGATGCGAGGTGGAAAGGGGAAATCGGAGAGATTGGTGAGAATGGCGAGTCGCATGAAAGAATATCACAAGAGACTTCGACCTCGGCTCGGAAGCTATGTTATGGATGTGAAAGATCCATCCGGGGATAGCTAGTCGAACATATTTGACTTCTTTGAAGGCTTCACACCCCGCTGACATTCCCCGGCCACCTCGTGTAGCGCACTTCCGGGTCCCCTTTTCGACTTGACTTCGGCCGTACCATGCCATGCCATGCTCTGCTATATAATATTGTATCCACGCGAACTCCGCCCATATATGCAAGGTAGTATCATTTACAAAACTGGGGATCGCGCCCCCCCCCCCCCAGCATTTCAAACTGTGCCAAACAAGATCATAGGCTTTCCAAGTACTCCTGAGACAACACTCTCTTTTCCACTAACCTCACGAACAAGTTGGTCTGTTCTGCCAAACTGAGGGTCAGGATGGTGTGTGGTAGGATACGGGTGAGGTGAGGGATGAAGCCCTTGTAGATGGCGAGGAAGCCCTCGGTCCGAATTGTCTTGAACAAGCAGTCAAAGACACCTTTATAAAGGCCTCCGTTCTGGTTGTAAAGACGAGACATGATGGTATCTTGAGGATCATGTTAGCCACAAAAAGAAAAGTATCACCTGGATACAGTGCAGCTCCCCAGCACGGGGGAAAAGCGGTGTAAAAAGTAAGAAGAAGAAAAGAAAAAGGAGGTGACAACTCACCAGGTGGATGCATAACGCAACAGACAACAAATCCACTCACGGCACTGCTGCTTAGGTGCAGTGCCGGGCCCTCTTCCATGCCAAAGTGCTTGACCAATCTCCTCTTGGCGAAGAAATAGGTGGGTAGCTGGACTGAGCTACCGAAGCCAGTCCTGATCATAGCAGCACTCACGCCACGGTACAGTCCCCTAACGCCCTCCGTCCGGTATATGGACGTGAAGCCGTGCACAGCATTCCTGTACTCGTGTTGCGTGCCCACGGGCAAGAAGGGAGAATAGCTCTGGAGTCGTGTCTTGACAAGGAAGAAGGGACTGCCCGCAGCAGCACCGATAATACCGGAAGCAGCACCGCAAAACATGTTGACGCCGAGGCTCTGTACACGGTTGTCTTGGAAAACGAGAGTCGTCAGGGCGTTTCGCATGGGTTCGTAGAAGCCCAGGCGGCAGCCGTTGAGCAGGATCTGGTAGATGTAGGCGCTTCCTATACCGCGGTATATCCCCCGAACGCCTTCATGGCGCACAATCACAGACACGCCCTGAAAGGGGCCTCGGTACTTGTGGGGTTGGTGGCCTTTGTCTTGGAGTTCGCCCTGAAGTTGCATGCTGAACCGATGCGCCAAAGGTTAGCAAGATATGACGGCGAATCGAGGAAAAACCACGAGGGCATGACAATGGAGCTGCCGTACCGGATCTTGACCGTCTCAAAGGGATGGGTGGCCGTGACCGCACCACAGGCGGCAATGCCACCAGCTATGAACGCGCTGCCGTCATGATTAGCTCTGCTGACCTGGAGTTGACTAGCGGTAGGGGCAAGCGCAGTAGGACCCAGCGTACCCTGCTGTAGTGGCCATGATTGCCAATAGTTCGGCTCAGTCGAGAGACACGAGTAACAGGGAAGATGTCGAGTCTTCCCAACGGCAACGTGGGGGGGTTATGGACAACTAAGGGCTGGCCAGTTTTGGCGTTGACACCCAAAGAGTCAAACACCGGTACCGAGCGCGAAGGAGAGTGTCTTCTGATCTAGCCTGTGAAATTCCAGAACGGTAGTTAGAGGCGCAGGTCCATGAAGTCAAGGATGGGTCGTTTTGCTTTCGTACTACGCACTGTCGGTCTTGGCAGGACAGAGGGGTGTTGTCGGTAAATTTTACCGTGCCCTTCGAGCATTGACTCCGAGTCGGCGCCTGGGTATTTTATTTTTTGATTCGCTTTTGGCGTGATGAACGGGAGCCGCGGATAGCCTTTGCCGGCCTCGGAGCACGGAACCAAGGGTCCACCGACTGGTACATAGGTATGTACATTTTGCTGGGACTTCTACTGGCCCGTGCACTTCCCATTGAAGACCTGCCATTCGACATGAGAGCTTTTACCCCAGACCAGCCCTGAGGGTAAGGGCGGTGAGCTAAGGAAAAATTATGATTGGCTAATTTTCTCTTGTACCTGAACTGCAGACCGAAGCTGCTTCGACAGCTTCGACTTTTGCCCCGCGGTGTCTTTTTCAACGGGTCAGTTATCTCCAATCTTCTCAATATCCTCGACTCTCATCCAGCCACAGACCCAGCGAAATAATTATAGTACCGCTTCTATATCGAGCACGAACATCTATCTTGTTGCTTTGTAGTTATATACCTTGATTCCTCTGCTCCCCACGGGTCCTGAGGAGCCAGCCTTGCCCTCCCACGTAGTACCACCCGCCTTCTCGGAACGACCGCTAGGAAGGACTTGACAGAGAAACATTGCAACGCCCCCAGCCCAGCAGCTGGGGCTAAAGAACTGCCACTATGGCGTCAACACCAATGGACCTCGATCACGGCCCGGCTGCCCTCCAGGGAGCATCGCTAAATCTTACAAGAAATACGGGGAACACAACTTCGCGGCTGAGCGACGTCATAGCGAACTTCCGCCCAACCAAGGTATCTAATATAATGGACTTCCTGTTTACTCCCGGTAGCTGCTAACCTGTGCTGTATGACTTAGCTGTTCCATAGGGAAGATATCAAAGATGGCCGTCCTCAACCACGAGTATTATCCCTCGACTTCGATGATCCGGGAGAGCTCCTCATGACGTCCGAGAGCGATGAAACGATTCAGATTTATAATGTCAAGGAGGGGAAACACTCGAAAAGCCTACTGAGTAAGAAGTACGGCGTAAAGCTCGCTAAATTCACACACACCAGCTCGAGTATTATCTACGCGAGTACGAAGCAGAATGGTCGGCGACACCCCAACCGCCGTCTTTTGGCGGTGCCCCACCTGGGAAGTTGAGCCAAGACTGACATTCAAAACGTTTTGTAGACCACATTCGATATCTCGCGACGCATGATAACTCGTTTATTCGCTACTTCGAAGGACATGAGCGCAGTGTCACCTGCCTTGCAGTGCATCCCGGTGCCGACAACTTCATCTCGTGCAGTCAAGATAATACCGTCCGCCTCTGGAACATCTCAACAAAGCAGTGGTGTGGACAACTCTTCCTCAACAACCCCGCACTAGCAGCCTACGACCCATCTGGTCAGATATTCGCCGTCGCGTCGCCAAGTGGGGGGACCGTCTTACTCTACGATTGCCGAAACTACGACAAAGCCCCCTTTGCGATATTCGATTTGGTCGAGGTTGCCCGGGATGTTGATCCCCAGTTTGTTATGAAGGGCTGGACCAAGCTGGAGTTCTCCAACGACGGCAAACACATCCTCTTAGGGACGCGTGGTAACGGGCACTTCCTTCTGGATGCGTTCGATGGTAACCTCAAGGCCTACTTGCGCAAGCCCGAAGGCGGGGTACATCGGCTCGCGGCCGGTGAGGACCCAACGGGGAATGGCGCCCCGCGGACCGACCCGAGCCCTGCCGAGACCAGCGGCGACTGCAGTTTCTCCGTGGATGGGCGCTATGTCCTGAGCGGGTCGAAGAAGGATGTACTGGTCTGGGATACTCTGAGCCAGCCTGCCGAAAACAAGGCCCTGGACCCCTCATGGGTGCTGGAAGATAAGAGACAAGCGGCCGTGCTTGCGTTCAATCCAAGGTACAATTTCTTCGCCACGGCCGACCAGGAGGTTCTCTTCTGGGTCCCAGACCCCCATGCGTAAGAATGCAGGGGCTAGGGAGACGGCTAGTTTTGATGACATGCTTTGAGATGGCCCTGAATTCGATACCGGTCATGTACGGAGTGAGAGTGAGATACCCCAAGATGAGTTCGTTCAGGAATGAAGAAAAAAAGGAACCCCGTCCCCGGGGGCGACAAAGGTCCAAAGCTGCGCTCGGCGAGGGACTGGTCTTGTGATTGTAAGAGTCCGTGTGCGAAGGAACAGTAGTATAGCCGCTTTGGGGCCGACATGGGGGCTTGTGACAGAGCCTGAAACCGGCTCGAGGCAGTTAAACATTTTCCAGTAGGAATCCTAATGCGCTTCGGCAGCCTTACGAACTCAAATTGCTATCCGTACAGTTTCGGTACTCTCCGTACGGGGCCTAACTAGGAGTTGCCGATAGTTGTCGACGATTATGAGCTATGGATTATTGAAATCGTATGTCGCCGTTATTAAGGGGATGTTATGCACGAAGCATGTTAGCTCAGCGTGACGTCGTATGTGGTTCGTGCAGTCAGTGCACGGGCCAAAAGGACCGAAGCACTTTACACGGAAATGATTATGTAAAGTGCTTGTTGAGTCCGTCAGGGCCACTTTATTAGTAGTAGGAACCAGAAAGCAACTCCCTCTAGCTGTGTTGGGGACAAGGTCTTAGGTACTTGTACTTAGCCTCTAGGAACACGTGACATGATCTTCGAGGTAGTTCTCGCGCTCGCACTCACCCACCCGCATGTCAAGCACAATATCGCAAATGACTGCAAATTCCCAATTAAGCAAGCAGTCGTGTTACCAAGCTTCAATACTCTCGAGTCCATGTGAGCCAAGGTTCCGGAACTAAACCGCGTGCTTTCTGCAGAGACCAAAATTTAGTCGTTCTTTTTTTGTTTTGCTCGGTGCTTCTTCCATCACAACATGCCGACGTACAAAACCAGCCAGGAATGGCTGGAGCAATCCGCCCTTCTTATCAAATCTAGCCCTTCCACGGTATGGAGATCCTATGTCGCTACTTCGCATCTTTCCTAGGGATTCCCAACTCACATCTTTCCCACATTTACCCAAGGATGATCCGCGGGGACCCTTGCTATCCCACGTTCCCCAGATTGTGACCCCGCCCTCCAGAGCTAACCCGGCAGCACAGACTCGAGTCACCACAACCTACTACGTCAAGCCGCCGAAATCCAGACCAGCGAAGCCAGCAGCAACATCGGGCGCCGACTCCTCGGCCAGCGCAGACGCAGACACCCCCATGACCGAAGCCCCGGCCGCGAAAGCGCCACGCGGCCGCCTAGTCCTCAAAACCTTCGACCCCACACTCGGAGTCACGCTGAGATACCGCACCCACAAGGCCGCCGAGATCTCGCGCCTTATCCTGGCAGTAGGCCGGCTCAGCAGTGTTATGGCGGGCTTGCCGGAGGTTCGCGAGGAGGAGATGACCGACGCGCCTGCCACCGCCGCCGCTGCAGCGACGACCCCGGCGGGCACCAAGGGAGAGGAGCAGACGTCGGCCGTGGAGGCCAAGCCGACAGCCCAGCCACAGCAGGCATCTTCGCGGTCACAACAACAACCACAACAACAGCAGAGTGCGCAAGGAAGTGGAGGCGGCGGTGGAGGGAAGAAGAAAAAGAAGGGAAAGAAATAAAACAAGAGCATCAGGGTATGAGTTGGGATGGACATATGGTACACCCTGTATTGTCCGTGGGTTTGCCTACTTGCGAGCACCTGAGATGTCCAAGGCGTTGCATCTGAAAAACACATTGAGATAGCTGGCGTCACGTCCAAATTTCTCATTGACTCAATTACCTGGAATGCTTTGCTATACGAACGACATAATCCTTCAGTGCCTCATAATGTCCTCCCATACCTTTTGCCACCAGCCATCCATCCAATGAACCGTCGGCTGCCAAGGCCGCGTAGAAAAAAACTCCAGAACGCCGCCCCATACCTATCGACAAAGGAAACGATTGTTCTACCCTAGGCCTGCAGGGAAAGTAGAAATGACCAATGGGGAAATGACCGCCGTCGCTCTATGCACATACAATGGAGGGCATCTGAGCCCATGCCTGCCTGATATGTACCGGAACGACGCGAAATAGTACAAGGGTATCGGATATCAAGGGAAAGAAGAGGATTCTAGCTCGAAGAACTTAAAAGTCCTCGTCGAAGGCGAAATCTCCCTTGTCGCCCTCGCCCGAACTTGTCTCTTCCTGGGGCCTCTTGGCGCTGTGCATGACACCAGCCTTCTGGTAGTCGGCGACGCGCTTCTCAAAGAAGTTCGTCTTGCCGCCGAGGGAGATGTTCTCCATAAAGTCAAAGGGGTTGGCGGACTTGTAAACCTTCTCATTGCCTAGGGCGACGAGCAGGCGATCGGCGACGAACTCAATGTACTGCTTCATCAGGTCCGAGTTCATGCCGAGCAGGCCGCAAGGCAAAGCCTCAGTGAGGAACTCCTGCTCGATGGTCACGGCATCGGTGATGATGTCCTGGATCACCTGCTTGCTGGGGCGGTTGTTGAGGTGCGAGAAGAGGAGGCAGGCAAAGTCCGTGTGGAGACCCTCGTCACGAGAAATCAGCTCGTTGGAGAAGGTCAGGCCGGGCATCAGGCCACGCTTCTTCAGCCAAAAAATAGAGGCGAAGGCACCACTGAAGAAAATGCCCTCGACGGCAGCGAAAGCCACCAGACGCTGAGCGAAGGTCGACTTCTGGTCACAAATCCAATGGAGGGCCCAGTCGGCCTTCTTGCGGATAGCAGGGACTACATTAGGTCAGCGAAAGTGCTAGATGGATCAGGAACGACATGTAAAACATACTGGTGTCGATGGCGTTGAAGAGGTAGTGCCTCTGAGCCGGCTCCTTGATGTAAGTGTCGATAAGGAGAGAGTAGGTCTCAGAGTGAATGTTCTCCATCATGATCTGAAAGCCGTAGAAGCAGCGGGCCTCAGGAACTTGGACCTCAGCGCTGAAACGCTCGACGAGGTTCTCGTTCACGATGCCGTCGGAGGCGGCGAAGAAGGCCAGAATGTGCGAGATGAAGTACTTCTCATCATCATTGATCCGGTTGTTCCAGTCATGAAGATCCTTAGACAGGTCGATCTCTTCGGCAGTCCAGAAAGAAGCCTCGGCCTTCTTGTACATTTGCCAGATCTAGATGGGATGTGTTAATAATGCTCGTCCGTTTGGGTAATATCCTCCTATCGACGCGCCTGACGCGTTGGGACGCGTGACTTACCTCATGGTACTTGATGGGGAAGAGCACGAAACGCCCAGGGTTCTCCCGAAGAAGAGGTTCGTCGACCTCGTCTTCCTTTACAACGGGTGCCACGGCCGGCTTGGCCGTGTTCTCTGTCTCCTTGGCCTCTTCTGCCGCTGGCTTAATCTGCTGTTGTTCATCCATGGTCTTGGCGAGGGCAGCGGTGTCATCTTCGACGAGCTGATTTTCCTTATTGGCGGGGTTGAAGTCGAGCTTCTTGATCGGAGACTCCATGTTGAACGACTCGATGGCAGAGGCGGCCTGCACACATCAGATGTTAGCTGCTGGCAAGCATTGTGACGCGGTTGCTAGGGCATCGCTACTTACTTGTTTGGAGGGAGTGATCTCGACAGACATCGTGGTAAATTGTGTGAATGAAATGGAGGAAGCAAATCAATTGATGTCTTGGGGCAAAAGCACGGCGAATGGTGGCATTAGTTGGGGGATAATGGTATGTCCTGTGATGTTGGTTGAAGGGTGGGAGACGCGAAGTGCAATTGCACAGAGGCTTAGGACATCGCGCCTTTTGTACAAGTCTGGGTACGCCATCACGTGTTGGTGGAGACGCGTTCCAAATGCGTTTTCGTGTTTTTTTAGGATGGTGCACACCAGCCACCTCCTTGCACCGTGTCCTCACAGTGTCGCGTCATAGTAGTGAGACAACAGGCGACACGAGGTTGGGACGTGTAAAGTGCTGTCCACCAGAAGTACCGTGCACTTATTACTCCGTGCAGAGTGCGGCTACAGACCCACCACTTAACGCGGTATGATGAAGCTCGCGCCAAGCACCGTAGCTTATTACTGTACTTCGTATTATCGCAGCACAAATACCGGGGTATGCGACAGGAAGTCAAGGGACCCCTTTGGAAGACAATCTGACAATACCAAGTCAGACCATGCAATCCTCTGTCTGTATGGACTTGGGCTATTGGAAAGGACTTGGTAAGGATTTGTTAAAACACATGGAAGACTGATGATTAAAGCTGACCACGCCGTTACGTACTTTCTTTCGTACTTACGGGACCACGCCTGTTTTCTCCGAGGTCCTGCCTCAACACGCGTCAGAGCACATAATTGATACAGTGACTTCCAAGTTACGTGGATCCATCCATGCCTAAGGTAAAGTACCTCAAGTAGTTATGTCCCCTGTCCAATATCCATACACGGGGTTGGTTTGTGTATTCGTACAATGATTACGGAGTAATAATGCGTAGGTATAATAGTAATGCAGGTCGATACAGAGTATTTAAATTCCCCAACTCCAAAATCCCGCCAGGTCTAAACCCCGTGCCTACCTGTAATCCCTAACGTCTCGGCTCCACGGCCGGCGCCCCCATTTCAACATCGTTCCTTCTCTGACGACCACCGAATCCGAACCAACTGGATCGCGTATTGTCGCGGGTTGCGGCCTTCGGGGGAACTGTAGGGGCGTTCGTCGGCCTGTCCTGGTTGAACGTGCGACCTTTGCTCTGTCCGTTATGACGTCCGTTTCCATGGCTCGTCCCCATGGTCTGGCTCTGGGGTTGCCTATCAACAATGCTGCCATCATCTGAACCTTGCCCTTCCTGTCTCGCCATCCTATCAAACGCTTCGCTGTCGCTTGGGTCCACGGAAGGGACCGGCAGGCCTCTTTTTTCCAGGTTCTTCCTGCCCTTCTCCCGGAGGTGCTCCTCGAGGAGCACTGCGTTCTTCGTGTTGCATCGAAAAGCGGCGTCGGCGATATCTCCCACAAAAGGAACGAGACCGAGAACGAAATCGAAGATGATGTTGATCATCATCTTCATCTTGATGGATGTCGGTAGTCCGTCTTCGATTTGGCAGCAGGTCCGGAACACCATCAGTGCGAAAAGAGCGTCGAGGGCATCGCCAATACTAGGTAAAACAAACAGATTAGTGAGAGCTCCCGGGGTAAGACCGTGCCACCGTAGTTGGGACTCCTTCGGGTGAACTCTTACGCAGGAATGAATGCTATGGCGCTTCCCCATCCAAATCGAATTCCGCATATTGAGAAGAGGGACATGTCGAGTCGCCACGCACGTCTCTTGACTTTGGTTAAGACTTTGCCATCGTGATCCGATACGCCAGGAGGCAAGGCCTTCTTGCGCTTCTTGACTTTGCCAGTAGGTGTGCCGTCGAGTCTAGTCGCTGGGACGGTCTCAAAGTAGGGGTCCTGCATGATGTCAATGATAAATCCGTCGCAAACCGACGTAGCTGTGACGGACCTCTTTCCCGAAGTTGTTGCCAACTTTCTCTTTCAAGATTCTCTTAGTGATAAGCTTTCCAACGAGGCTCGCCATGGTCGTGGTTAGGGTGACGGTAATGACCCAGGGTCAGTCAGAGGTAGAGATAGCGAGAAAATAGTATAGAAGGACGACAAGGGGTATCAGGAAGTATTTATGATGATGGAGGAACGAGGGTGTTTGTGAGATTTGCTCTGGACGTTGGCTGGCTCGTCTGTCACGGCGCCTAAATCGTTTTGTTTCACTAGGCGCCTGGACCCAGGGATTATTTTGGGATAAAGAAGGCGCTGGTCTTGGCAGTTTAGGAGGAAAGGTCCAAAAGCAAAAGCAAAGGAGAACTTCGACAAGATATAGAGGATGGCGCCTATTTGTAGGTATTTGTAGAGTTCTTAATCTCTCCCTCAATACAAGGCCTAGGATGTCCGGTTGACCTGTTTGAAGTTCATTATGACGATGATGTAACAGGGGAGGGTGCTACTGATCCCTGGCCTTGGGCGGTGCAGCTTATTACGTCGCTGCTCAGCGCCCAAACAATGACGGGCGGGCATAGCCACTGCAGGTGTCAGCCACACTTCAGAGAGGGAGCCCACCGGGGACAGTGTGACTATCCATGGCGGTCAAAAAGAAACGGGCAATGATTAAGGCAATATGCACTGTACATGGTACTCTGCTGACTCCCCAGCTGTTACGCCACAGAGGCTTAAGTAATTCCGAATACCTTAGCTGTCCCTTTTTGCGCCCAGGAACCCATTCGGAAGGCTTCAGATTTCAACGATCCGACTTCGCGACTCGGGCAGCTTCCTTGTCTTTCCAGCTCTTGACTGCGATATCATCTTTCTCTTCGACTCATTACTCTCAACCAAAACTACCGTCCTGAACATTTGGTCCCCGACCATCTTTCTTTTCATTCATCCACGGGAAACAACGTAAACCCACCCACCCTACTTTGTTCTGAAGACTTCGTCGGGCTGGTGCTTTGCGCCTTGTCACTCCAAACGCACCAAGCATCTTTCAACCAATCCATTCTGGATATCTTCTGATCGTAGAGATCATGCGACGCTGCCTCTCAATTACTTCAACAACAGTCAATCCGAATTCCTGAAGCCGAGGCCGTCTTCGCGTCTGTATCAATACTAACGGGGCATGACATGACCTTGACAAGAGGTCAAAATGGCTGGCGACAAGATGCAGTTGGAGGACTGTGTGTTGCATCCGCTCGCTTTATTACTGAGGCGACCTTGCTGAAACCTTTCTAGGGCTGGACGACCTATGCGTTCGCTTCATCATTAACCTCCCCGAAGAAGATCTATCGTCCGTTGCGCGTATCTGCTTCCAGGTTGAAGAGGCACAATGGTTCTACGAAGATTTTATTCGCCCGCTCGATCCATCTTTACCGTCCATGACGCTTCGAAGCTTTAGTCTCCGAATCTTTCAACACTGCCCTCTGCTTGCACCGTTCTCCGTCGAGAATCACACAAAGGCGTTTGAAGAGTTTCTCCAGTATAAGACGAGAGTACCTGTCAGAGGTGCCATTCTTCTTAACGAGGAAATGGACTCAACTGTTCTCGTCAAAGGATGGAAGAAGGGCGCCAACTGGAGCTTCCCTCGAGGCAAGATCAACAAGGATGAAGACGACTTGGAATGCGCGATCCGAGAGGTTTATGAGGAGACGGGCTACGACCTCAAAGCTGCTGGCTTGGTCCCGGTGGATAGAAACGTCAAGTACATCGAGATCACGATGCGAGAGCAGCAGATGAGACTCTATGTTTTCCGCAACGTTCCCATGGACACCCATTTCGAGCCCCGCACGCGGAAGGAGATCAGCAAGATCCAGTGGTATAAGCTTTCAGAACTTCCTGCCTTTCGGAAGAGGGGCAACAATAATAGTCAGAATGACGCGGTTGCCGCAAGTAACGCCAACAAATTCTACATGGTTGCCCCTTTCCTGGTGCCCTTGAAGAAATGGGTCATGCAGCAGAAGAAAGACGAGGCCAAAGCGAACCAGGGAGTTCAGTTTCAACCGCAAAATCTGTACGAAGAGCCCGTCACCGAGGATGACGTTTGGACTCAGGCACAGCCGCCTTCGAAAACGCCGCAGCGAACTCCAGCCCTGGACACTCTTGAAGGTGCCACAAAAGAATTGCAACGTCTTCTTAAGGTGCAGCCGGCCACGCAAAGTCTCCAAATGTCGAGTCATTCGCAGGCCAATCGCGATAGGGGCGCTTCATTGTTGGCGCTTCTTCAGGCAAGCACTGCAAAAGCTTCTCAGGCCCTAGCACCGTCTGTCCTGCATGGTCTTGGGGACCAGACAACGGGTGGGATCCCGCGGCAACTGGCGCAGTATCAACAACACCACCCTCAACAATGGGCTCCTTCGTCAAATAACCAAGCTCCCGAGCAGTTGTCTTCGGCACTCCCCGGCCGACAACAGTCCTGGAATCCCCAGAACAGTATAGCGAACGCAGCAGCCTCACATGAACACGGGCAACCAATTCCTCTGATCTCTCCACAAGCGCAAATCCACCCAACCTTAAGGCACCCGCAGCCTCTTCCTCCACATGTCCTAATCAACAGTGGTAACTTCCCGAATACACCGCCCGTGCCGAAAGAAGCCACGAGCCAAGGGTTCCAGATTCTTAGCCGCCAGCACCCTGGCGTGCCTTACGCCCAGAACCCCAACATGCCCGGCGGTAGACCACAGCCTCGTCAGCTTTCGAATCAATCCATGGCGCTTCTGGACGTGTTCAAGTCCGGTTCCTCGAAGACATCGGATCCATCGCGGCAGCCGAACCCTCTGCAGCTACGAGCTTCTCCTAGCGCTGCCCCGATTTCTCCTGGATCCATCCCCGTTAACCAGGCGACTCCAACGCAACAGCATTATGGTCCGCAAGGTGCTCTTCAGCAGGTCATCCCTCCTCATCCTCTTCCTCCTGTTCCCCCTTCGCAGGGTACGGTCGCGCCAGCTCGTGGTCACCCTACGTCGGAACAACATCGGTCGGCGTTGCTACAGATGTTTAAGAAAACCGAACCCAGCATTTCCCCGATTAGCCAGCAGTCCACTCCAACGCAACAGACAACCGCACCACCGACTAGCAAGGAAGCCTTTTATCCTGCTGCAGACGGAGGTCCAGCCATAGTGCCTCGTCAGCAACAGACCCTTGCGTCCCATGCCACCTCCGACTTGGGCGGCACCGTGTCTCCAAAGACGTCAAAGAACACCGCGATGGTGAACCCGACCATTTCACATCCCTACAGGATCCTTCAGCGCACCGGAAGCGCCGGCAGACATGCTGTCTCGCGTCCTCCGCCACTAGACCCGGCTTCCGTGGCCCCGCACAATACGGCCGGCCAGAACAAACCGTCCAGTCTAGCAAGCCCGCCTGCGACGTCTTCATTCCCGGCTCCGTCCGCTACGTTCACTAAACAGCCACTATCTAGTGAACAGAGACAAAAGCTACTCTCTCTCTTCGGAAAGCCGCAATCGACCAGCCCCGGCGTTCCCCCTGACAACAGCAAGGGCAAGGCCGTCGATGCCGGTCCGTATAGCGTCAGCCCCAGGCCAGGGGCGGCTGCAGGGACTCCACCTGTCGGTCAGGCATTGCCGGGCGGTGCAACCGAACAGAGTCGCGGAAGCCAGCCGCCCATATCGCCCGCCGACCGCAGTTTCTTACTCAGCTATCTAGCCTCAGCGACCGGCGGTGTCAAGTAAGTCGTCCAGGAAGTGCCAAAGTTCAGGTCTCTCCATTATATTCAATTTGTAACCGCGGGAGAGATCACGCAGTGATGGGCTCGGAGTTTTGTTTTGCTTGGGATTGTAAAGTGTTGATGACTGAGGTGGGACAAGGGGAATCTGATGTAGCGGCTCTATATTTACGGCGCTTCGTGGAGAAGCATCTTGGCTTAGTCAATTTTGATTTTATGATTTTACCCAGATGTTTTATAAGCATGCCTACGCCCCGGTCCTCAGTTTGATGCGGTGGTGCCATCTCTCTAGCGCCGGAGTCCTACGTGTAGGATTCAGAATTTCACGTATGACCCATATCACCAACGAAACACTTCTGCTATTTTCTTTTGCGCCATTAGATCGCATTACCTCGGTGCTTCAGCTATTCTAGAGCTCTAGTCTGAGGGTACCTGGCAGCAGCATACCAAAAGGGCAGTATGTATATGGAGAGAATCTACTAAGTCTTCATTCAGTGCAGTCTTCATGTAGAGGTTGCTATGCGAGACACGGCATTCCCAAAGTGAATATGTGCCCGCGATGTCCCACTAATGCTAAGTTCACAGAGACCCCGGAGGCCCTGCTGACCATTCCGCGAGACCCAGAAGGAGTCATTCATTCATTCATTCATTCCAGTCCTGCATGAGATGCGTGCTGACATCGGCAGATGGAGAATCATCATAATCATAACGGGGAAAGAAAAGGGGGGGCGGAGGGAAGAAAACAAACAAACAGAGCTACACAGGGTATCCATAACTCCGGCGCGCCTACTTCCTGAGCAACAGCGTGGACGGCATGACTGCAAGACGACGGGGGAAAAAGGACGAGAACAAATGAAACAAAAACAGAAAAAGAAAAGAGAAGAGGAAACACACAGAGCCGGCAAGAAACCCAAGCCACAGGGCAGTGGCCTAACCGTGAACCCGAGGAAGGGTAGGTCAACGCGATGGGTATTCAAGCGGCTATGTCCACCGAGCTGGGGGTGCGAAAACCGAGCGCCACACCATCTTCATCTTCGTCATCGCTGTCGTCATCTAGCCCCAGCAACTGGAAGCGGTTGGCCAAAGGATTGAGGCCCTGTTTTGCAGGGGCGGGCTGAGTGCGCGGTTTTGGACGGGCTGCCGGGATGGGTTGCGCACATTCGTCGCTGTCCCATTCAATCTTGGATCCCTTGTATTTTCTACAAGAGGGTCAATTCGCCGTCTAACACTGAAGGGAGGATTGGTTTGTACTTACAGTCGGCTCATCATGCAGGTACGAGCGAACATGGCGTTATTGACAGAATTGGTGCTGATGAAACAGCTGCTTCCCACAAAAGTGACACGAATCACAACTAGGTTGTGAATGTGCTCAAGATCGTCACGAAGATTCTCCTCTGTATGCTTGGGATCACAACGCCTGACGACGAGATTCCGGGTGGCGCCTGCACTAATCTTATGTGCGACATGAGGAGGGAGGATGTACTGGCGTTCGCTCCAGCGAATATCGACCTGAAGAGGAGCTCAGAACCAAAGTTCTCCGGGTTCCACTGCAGTGGCACGGGAGCGAGAAGGAAACTTACTCTCTTGTGCCGAATATAGAGGTCATGACGACGCACATGGTCGTAGAAGGCTTTGGCATCGGCCGAGTTGAGGAAGGAGACCTGGGCGGACCGATCATGGGCTCGAAGAAAGATGTCAAGTAGCTGACCGCCACGAACGACGGACGTGATATCTGCGTGGGTGGTGCCTTCGGGAAGGTTGCACAGCAGTAGGGTGCGCGTGGCTATGCGTTCGTACTGGGTCCTAGGGGGAAACCCGGCACCCTGGCCAGTGAATCCCGGTGTCCCCATCTCAAGAGAACCGTTATCCTGCGAAGGTTCGGCGTTCGGGTCTGGCCAGCACTGGTGAGGGTGGCTTTGGTAGCGACTGTAACGAGCCTCACCCTGTTGCTTGGCCACGACTGTCGGAGGAGACCCTTCAAGATACTGGCCATCCTGTTGGAAGTTTTGACCACGGTCGAGATAGGCAGGTTGAGTATCATTGTCAACAGCTACATGTTCCTTGTCGGCGGTGTTGGAAGCTGCCGCGAGTGCTTGCGGTTGGCCCCACGTAGAATCATCGCAGCTTAGAAGCTGCCAAGCCGATGCAAGTCAGTCATCACTTGGGTTTTAGGTTTAACAAAAAGAGTAGCATCGAAAAGAGATATATGGGCTGGGCGCACACTTACATCGATGGTGGCCAAAGTAACGCCGCCGTTGATGAGATTCTCTTTAAGATTGGCTGCTCATGGGACATTGGCTGTTAGTAGACCCATTCATAACCACGACGTGCAGCGATGGCGTGGCGCACCATATTGACGAGCGACTTTCTTGAGCTGCTCATACTCGAGCTGGGGGACGCTGATGAGACGGCTAGCAGACTGGTTACCGGGACCAGCGTTCTTTACTTTCCGTGTCAGCCCTTGCACGCAGAGGAGAGGGAGAGCGATACCCTTAGATTAGAAGGAGTAGGGAGTAGGCACACGCACGAACTGAGCCCTGCGGAGCAACGCAAAAGGGTTAGCTCGGAGTTTGGTGGACGACGGAAGCGTGTCTTCGTAAAGATGGAGACGTCTGAGAGTGGAGCTGCAGCCCAAAAGGGCGGCAAGGCAAGGCATAAATGGCATGGGTTTCCCCAGCAGATGAAGCAGGTAGATATTGTAGCTTGGAGGCCGTTAAGGATAGACATACCTGCGGACCAAGGTTTCAAAGTAAGCGCGGTCTATAGTGACCGTAGAGTTGCTCTCAGGGGAAGCCATCGCAGCGGGTGTTTTCCCCATAATGGCTTTCTTTGAATATGGTGTCGAGGGGAAAACCCGATAGACGAAGTTGGGTTCAGGCTGGTTTCTGTTGGCCCAAATGAGGTGCTGGGCGGAGGCACAATGAGCAAATACCTTAGGAAGTACTTGTACCTGCCTAGGATAAGTTGTACATATGTACAAACATTTGTGTATGGATTCGTAAAATCGGATTTGCCTTCCTTGTTTTGCTACAATACCTTACGGAGGTGTCACATACCTAGGGACCTTATGTATTCAAACTCACTAAAGTACCTTACAGGTATGGCGGCGAGAGGCCCATGGACGTCGTGAGGTATGTGCGCTGTACGACAAATGGCCTTATTAAGGTACCTTGTTGAAGCCTGGAGCAAGGTACCCAGGGGTCATGGAACTATAAGGTACCTTACTTTTAGCGCCCTCCCGTACGGAGTAGTCGTTGCTCCTGCCATCTGGGGGAGGGGAAGAATTCGCACGTGATTCTGATTGCTGAGTCCACGCTTTACGTACGGAGTCGCGCGTTCAGATACATCACGATGGAGGACAACGACCTCGGACACCTTAAAGAGTTGTTGATTGTCCCTATTACCCCTTACCTTTGATAGAGACCCGAGATTGGACACTATCTTTAATCAAGAGGTTGCGTAGCTCCAGAATGAAGAAGCACTTTACAGAAGTCAAAGTCAAGGGAAATATTCGCCGCTTCTACGAAGTACCTTAATAAAAGTCGGAGAGATACAGGAATGGAAATTCCTGCAGCGAATTCCACTGAACCAGAAGTTTCAGATCTCGAACCCAAGCTTTCTTTCCAATAGGCAAGACACCCTTTAAGTCAACTCTCAATCAGTATACTCTATTGGCGGCAGAACAAAAGGCAACAGGGAGGGATGTTTTACGAAGTTTATTCCGACCCGGGAGTAAGATATAGTGGTTCCAGTGAGTGATCGCCAGACATAAGCTTACTACCTACCTTAGTAGCCATCACGAACAAGGCTACTCGAGGTTTAAAGGAGAATGAATGGTTCGATGTTCCCACTAAAACCTGTCCTGTCGCCTCAACGTGGACACATCTAAGTATCTAAGTATACACTAACGCTGGCCCGCTATATTTGTCGACCACTTTTTGGCAGCCTGCTTTTCGTACCGTTACTTAGGAATTATTATTCATAATTAATAAAATAATACCTTTTTATTTACGTTTATATAGTATATAAAGACCCCTTAAGGTATCGTAGCCGGCAGTGTAATAACCTTCTAGATCCACGGTACCCTTTACTATTATAAGGACGCAAATACTTCGTGCGAAGTGGATAATAATAACTTCCAATATTTTCTACTGGTAAGACGAAGAATCCAGAATTCGAATACGATGTGCTGTATATGAGCTATTCCTAAATAGTGCTAGTGCTTGTCCCCCTCCGCTGACCTGGAACAAGGGTCTCCTAGGCGATGATCTGGCGTTCCCGTTGGCGAGGCCCCACCCTCTTCCCTCACCAGCCCCACAAGGACGCAAGTTGAGTGGCTGCGAGCGAGGCCAAGCTCATGGAGCTCCGATTCTTGTCTTTTCTTTGTGGAACTCCTGGTTTGAGTAAGGTACTTCGTACACCGTACCGACCGAGCCCGAGCTCGAGCCACCCGACAAACTGTGAGTGATCCTCGTTGTGGCTTCGACTTCACCAAAACGGCTTATCGTCTCCACTTTACCCGACTTTCAATACCCCCTAGAGGATCCTGCCCCGAAAACTCTCCTTTCTGCCTCTCTTTTTACCCAGCCTGAACCTCACCCCATGTGAACAACACACGTTTTATTTTTATTTTTATTTTATTTATTTTTTGTTTACCCTCTTCTTTCGCTTCCCCCTACGCTCGCTTTTCTACCACCCATTCGCTTATTACTATCGTTAATTATCCTCTTAATAAGACTCGAGCGAGGAAGCCTCGTCTGCTTCAACGTCCTCAATCGAACGTATCGTGAAACAGTTTGGCCCTCTCTTTGTCTGAAGGCCCTCGGCATTGATCTCTCGCTCTCAAGTCTACCAGAAACTTCTCGCCCCACCATAACGACGTCGCTGCATACACATTTCCAGCCGTAATCGTGGTCTCCTCGCCTCGGGGGCTCAAAATAATCTCGCCCTTTGACCCGGTGTTTCTTTCTCTTTCGTGGCCCAGCAGTCATGAAGCCCACCACTACACTGGCCGTTTGCCTTGCCGCCCTTACCCCGCTGGCTTCCGCATGGCCAAATTGGCTTCCCGATGTCGATGCACTGGTTGTGAGGCAAGACAACGATGAGTCTGCCGGTAGGAAACTCACTCCATAATTTGGCCATTCTGGCACTGCAGGTCACTGATTGATTCTCTTTGCCTCTCACCAGCTCCTTCTGCGACCCCGGAACCCTCAGCCGAAGAATCGCCTTCGCCATCCGGAAACGAAGAAGATGACGCCGAGTCGACAGTCGGCACAACTACCACCGGTCGCCGGGTAACTGACCTGAACACGGCCCGGATACCAAGCGCCACCCCCTCCGGCAGCGGCAGCCCCAGTGGCAGCGACAGCGACGACAGAACCACGACCACCGAATTCGACCCTACTCTCCCCGCAGGCAACGTCGTCATGCTCACTCCGGCCCCGACTGACCCGGGCCCGAAGTTGTACAAGATCGGCGACTACGTCACCTTCGGCTGGAACTACACAGACCTCAGGGCGACGCCCACGGCCGTCGACGTCCTCGTCAGCTGCGCCCGTGCCACCGCCACATGGACCCTGACCCAGAACATGACCTTCTCCACCAAGGGCGAGTACACCTGGGATTCCCGCGAGCAGGCCACCGCCGTCCAGTCCCCGCTCCTCACCGAGGAGTACACCCTGATCATCTACGACGCCGACTCGGAAATCACCGCCACCGCGAGGCCCGGCTATCTCAGCGTCTTCGACCAGTTCAAGTTCGACATGTACGAGCCTCGTCCGTACACCCCGCTCGCGGACTGGAACTGTCCTACCTGCAGCGCTGCCGTGCCCAGCATCGACAGGAAAGCGCTGGGCTTTGCCCTGACCATGAGCGTTGTCACCGTCCTCAGCTTCACCTGGTTCGTGACGGGCATTTTGTGATGACTTTGTTTTTGCATCTGTTTAATATCTCGGGTCGTTCCTTTCGTTATCAGCAGATCCGCTCAGTCTTCAAGTTTTCGGGGAGAGAAAATGATGCAATTTTTGATTTTCAAGCACTTGGCTTGAATGGAGAGCAATATTTATTTAATGCGGCGTTTTTGCTTTACAGGCAGGAAATGGCGGGAAAGAAAGAGCATGCTTGGGTTTTTCGAAAAAGTCTGATCCGCACATACAAGGATTAGATGCCACCTCACGAGCTGTTTGTTCGTATCTTATAGCCTAGGGTAATGGATGATATAGCATGGAGCCGGACAAGCCAGTCCGAGAAAGTCTTCGTATTTAACTCTGAGGGTTGGTTCCCCAAGTTTTGTTCAGTGGATGTCGTCTTACACCATGCGTAACTGGAACCCGCCTCCCCTTTCCTCCTTCTCGCGCCCCTGGAAAATGCCACTCACATCCACCTCGCCCAGCTCCGCGGCTTCCTCGCCCCGGATCGGCGCATGTGGTTCGTGCAACCTGCGCCTCTCTTGACCAGCTTTGCTCGGGAACGTCGGGAAGAGGCTTTCCGGCTTGGGCTTGGGGTCCTCCTGGAAGTACCGATGCTGCAGCATCTCGTGCGCCGAAGGACGGCGGTCCGGATCCAGGGCGAGCAGGTCAGAGAGCAGCGCGCACCCCGCGTTGGTGAGCTGCGTGAAACGGGCGCGGATGACGGATCCCGCGGCGGCAGGCGGCGGCTTGGGCGGCAGCCGCAGGGCCCGGGCGTTGGGGAGGCTGCGGAACGTCGGCCACGTCTCGGAGGTGGGGACGCCGCAGAGTTCAAAGATCTTGGTGATCTGGTCGACTTCGTTGGAGCCTTGGAAGACCGGGTCGCGGGTGAGAAGCTCGGCGAAGATGCAACCCACGCTCCACATGTCGACGGCGCGTCCGTAGGACCGGGTGCCGAGGAGGAGCTCCGGGGCGCGGTACCAGAGGGTGACGACCAGCTGCGTGAGCTTCTCCGGAGCTGGGTCCCCCACGTAGCGTGCCATGCCAAAATCGGCGATCTTGAGCCGGCCACGATTGTTGAGGAGAAGGTTGGAGGTCTTCAGGTCGCGATGGAGAATCCAATGGTCGTGCAGGTAGGCGACGCCAGACGTGAGTTGGTAAAGGAGAAGTTTGACCTCGGAAAGGAGGAAGGGCTCGGGCATGTACTCTAGAACGGTCTTGAGGTCGTGCTCGAAGAATTCAAGGACGAGAAAGATGCTGAAAGCGTTCTCGTGTCAGTGGGGATGTGGTGGCTTGAAAGCGCAGGGTCGATGTCGGAGGTTCACGTACTTTTCAATCTTTGAAGTGTCATCCCCTACTACCACTTCTTGCAAGCTCACGACGTTCCGGTGTTTGCAATCCCTCAATATCTGTATTTCTCGTAGTCCCGTCACAGGCAAACCACTCCGGTCCATCAGTTCGGCCTTGAGTCGCTTCAACGCAACCACACGCCCCGAGGCGATCTCCTTCGCCCTCGACACCATTCCGTATGTGCCCTCCGCAATATCGTTCAGACAATCGTAGTTCTCGACGCTCCTACACTTGTCCCATGGCCGTGATGGAAACCGTAAGAGTTTGACATCTCCATCCTTCTCTGTACTGGCACCTCCTTGTCCAGGTTCTGGGGTGGTCTTCCTCCTTTTCGGTGGTCTACCGTCGTCTTCCGTTGCGGTATTGGTCTGTTCTTGCTGGCCTACTAGCCTAGCTTGTCTCTCTGTCTCTCCTCTCCGGGCCTTTTCAGCCTTTAGCCGCCTCTTCTCTTCCTTTTCTTTCTTGAGTTTCGCGGCTAAGGCTGTGTCTTCTTCGGTATCGGCCCACCTAGATTTGCTGGCCATTGTGACTGAGTATGAGCAAAGTCGGAGCTATGTAGTTCGAATGTGTCGCATAAAGTGTAACGAAGAGACAATGGCGAAGGTCTTTCAGGGTATGTTCGAGGCGGCGGTGTCCGTACTCGTCGCACCTGTCTAATAGCTTTGGTCTAGATGCTGATGTGTCCTAGGTTGAACGTGAGGACTCTGCTGCATTCCATGGTGGTATAAATTGAGGGATGAAGGCAGGAAAATAATCGATGATCTCTCAGTCTGCTGGTGTCGCTCAAATCCTACGGTGGGTGTAGCTGACAGCGAACCTGGACTTGCTCTGAGGGAGCATGGGCCCAGGAAAGGTACGGAGTATTTCGTACCTCGGCGAAATACCCCGTTATGCGTTTATCAATGCAACATCCCAACCTCTCCAAGGCGCAGATCTCGCCCCTTCAACACTTGGGACTTGTTTGTGACGAATTTGCATTTGTTCAACCCTCTCGTCTTGGTATTCATCTCAGAGTCACACATACTTCTGCTGTTCTACTGCATCTCATCTCTAATAGTCAGTGCGTCTACATTCACATGCCGCATCTCTCTATCATATGCGCGTCGCATGCAACCCTGCCTCAGTTCCCTTCCGAGCCTTTATGTATGGCATTATTGCACGAAAGGCAGGAATTCGGGCTGTCCAGGAATATACTTCCGCAAAACTTCCGGAACAATCAGGCCCTCCTCTGTCTGGTAGTTCTCCAAGACACAGCAGAGCGTTCTCTCTGTAGCGCACAACGTGGCGTTCAGCGCATGCACGTACTCCTTCTTGCCACTGCCAGGTGCCTCCTTTGCCTTCTTAGTACCGTACCGGATCTCCAGTTCCCTCGTCTGGTAGTCGGTGCAGTTGGAGCAGGAGACGAGCTCCTTGTATTCGGACTGGTGGGGGAACCACGCCTCCAGGTCGTACTTCTTGGCCTAACACCCGAATTGCAACAGTCAGTAAAGGGAGGCTTAAAGAATAAATAGGCCAAAAAGGGGCTTACCGCAGCATTGTTCAACGCCCCCGAGACTATGCTGACGATCTGGTAAGGAAGCCCCAGGGACTTGTAGAAATCTTCCGAGGTGCCAATCATCTCGTCAAAGAACTTCCAGCTGTCTTCGGGCTTGCAAAAAACGAATTGTTCGACCTTCTCGAACTGATGGACTCGGAAAATGCCCCACGCATCCCGACCATGACTTCCCGCTTCCTTTCTGAAGCAGGTGCTGTATCCGCAGTACTTGATGGGGAGGTCCTTCGGCTGCAGCCATTCGTCGGAATGAAGGCAGGAGATGGGCTGTTCGCTGGTCGCGATCAGGTACTTGTCAGTCGTGTTGTCGTTGGTCTCAGACACGCGGTAAAGTTCTTCGTCGAATTGTGAAAGTTGAGCCGTCTTCGCCATCTGTTCGCGGTTCAGAAGGAACGGCGGCTGGTTAGGCGTGTAACCTGGGGTGTGTTAGCAAGTTGAACACGCCTTACATCAGTTTTGGAAAGAGGACGTAATTGGGCAGGCAAGATCTACCTCTAGTGAAGAGAAACTCGATGCCATAGTTGATCAAGGCCATATTGCTGTGGCTGTCAGAGTCATCGCGACCTAGTGGACATTGCCCAAACACTTACAGGAACAAACCGTAGCCCGTCAAGCAATAGCCTCGATGTCCCACGAGCTTGACACCCCGAACTGGGTCGTAACCGCCGAGCTTGAGGAGTACATCGTGATGTGACAATCCTTTGCCAGGTTTCTTTTCGAGGTCGAGAACTTCGGGCTTCCAGGTCCTCTCCACCTTGTTATCGTCCTCGGTGCTGCTGATGGGCACAGACTCATGGACGTAGTTGCCAATGAGCCGGGCCTTGACTTGTAGCTCTGCAGCTTGGTATTAGTCTGGGAGACAGCATTTAGGTTGCAATGCATTCCAGTTTTTCCGGCAATGTCCTACCCTTCTGTTTGGCTGCCGCAAGGTCCTCCTGTGCCTTCTTTTCCTTCTGCAGATCGTCCTTCTTTTGCAGGAGATCCGAAATATCGTCCACCTTAGCCTTTTTCCTCTGACCAATCTCCTTCTGAACGGTGCCAATCTGCGCGTTTATTTGGGTAACTTTGTACTGCTCTGAGACAAGTCGTAGGATATTAGCAAATGGCAAATGCTGCACTGCCATGGTTGCAACGCCAATTAATCCATGGATAACGTACCAGCCCGCGCTTCCTGCCACAGAGTAATAACTTCGTCGACCAGTTCGACGGGTGCGTTCCGCCGCCTCTGGCTCTCCCGTACCTTCTCCGGGTCGCCTCCGCGCTCGGTAATGAAATCTAAAACGTCCAACATGGCGAAATTTTGTGAGGTTGCCGTGGGTGTTGAACGTGAAGTGGGATGGCGGGGTAAGGAAGAAAATGTACGGATACGGATATCGTCGCGACTGATAGAGGTCCGCGGGGTTGTTTGATGAGTCAGGCAGCGACAAGGGTCAAAGGCCCTGCCAGACATCTAACAGATATTTTGCATCAATCGAGTCAGTTGGGTGGGTGGGAAGAGAATTCCGACGCTACGCTTTGATTGGTGATAATGGTTACTGGTACCCGCAACGGGATGAACTCGGCCGATACCTTAGCATCCCGATGCACATGATCTTATCTTATCGCCCGGGACCTGGAATTAGCTCTGTTTTGTGAAGCTCTCTGTCTGGGTATTCTTCCGGCTCTCCCCCTAATTATGCCTCAACCATTTCTTCACCCTTCCAGTCAAACCAATGGCTGCGTACAACACAATATCGAGCTTCACGAGAGCCTTCCTACCTCGAGCTTCTCGCTTGAGTAGACCGCGATGTGCTCCTCCAGCTTCATGTCCCATCCGATCGCAATCTCCTCGATATCTTAGCTGCACAGTCGCTCGCCGCACCGAGAACACAGACGAAGAGAGAAAATGGTCCACTCCGTTGGCAAAACAACTAGCCGACGCAATTATGGTGCGATTTGCCTCGCGATCTGACTTCCAACAAGGCTGACTGGGGGGACAGATTACCGGACCCATCCCTCTCGCAAGCTACATGCGAATGTGTCTGACGGGCGACATTGGAGGGTACTACACGGGTCTGATCGAGGAGGGCAGAGATCAGTTCGGCCTGAAGGGTGACTTTGTCACTTCCCCTGAGATATCTCAGATATTTGGCGAGCTTGTCGGTATCTGGTTCGTTACCGAATGGCTAAGCCAGGGGAAGCCAAAGAAAGGCGTTGAGCTGATGGAGCTTGGTCCCGGGAGGGGCACGTTAATGGACGATGTGCTACGCGTATGCAACTCGACCCTTTCCCCTCTTCTCTCTGTTCCAAGTTCTGATCCTCCTTGAAGACTATTCAAAACTTCAAGGATTTTGCGCAAAGCATAGAGACAATCTACATGGTTGAAGCGAGCCCTACCCTCCGAGAGGCGCAAAAGGCGTTGCTCTGCGGGCCCGATGCGCCCATGACCGAGTCAAAGAATGGATACCACAGCGTCTCTAAATATGGGAATATACCAATTGTCTGGACCGAGTCGGTCCGTTCAGTCCCGGACGGTATGCCACTCCCACAATGCGCTCAGCTTCGCACACCCTCTAACCAGTCGCTACTAGACCCGAACAACATGCCCCTGATCGTCGCTCACGAATTCTTCGACGCCCTCCCCATCCATGCCTTCGAAAGCGTGAAAGTGGCGTCTCAGCCCAAATCCGCGCCCACTGGCACCCCGACTTCGACACCTGAATCTTCCCCCTCGAGATCCACTGCCCCTGCCACCAACGACAAGGACTCTGGTCCCACGTTCGAGTGGCGCGAGTTCGTCGTGTCTCCGACGCCTCCTGACGCAACCCACGCTTCCCTCAATATTCCCAAATCCGAACAACAAGACCCCATTCCGGACTTCCAGCTCACTCTCTCCGCCGCGCCAACCAACCACTCTCGCTATCTACCCGAGTCCTCCCCGCGCTACCGCGCTCTCAAACACACACCCGGTTCTGTCATCGAGGTCTGCCCAGACGCGACAATGTACGCCGCCGACATCGCCGCCCGCATAGGCGGCACCCCCGACCGTCCGCGTCCGCGCCCCGCCGGCGCAGCCCTCATCCTCGACTACGGCCCTGCCGACACCATCCCCGTCAACTCCCTCCGCGGCATCCAGCGTCACCGCCGCGTCAACCCCTTGTCAGCCCCCGGCCTCGTCGACGTCAGCGCCGATGTTGACTTCACTGCCATTGCCGAATCCGCCACCAAGGTCAGCGAGGGGGTGGAAGTCCACGGCCCTGTTGAACAGGCCGTGTTCTTGAGCCAGATGGGCATCCGCGAACGCGCCGAGATGCTCACCCGTGCGCCGGGGGTATCCGAGGAGCGGGCCGCTGATATTGGCCGCTCGTGGCGGCGCTTGGTGGACCGCGGACCAGGTGGCATGGGTAAGGTCTACAAAGCCATGGCCATTCTACCGGAGAAAGACGGCAAGAGACGTCCTGTCGGGTTTGGCGGCAGTATTTGAGTCTCATCCCACCTGATTTAGCAGCGCAGAGCAGCGCAGCGCATTTTCCAATCTTTGAGGTCCTACCGAGAGGCTGTATATGTACGAGTTTAGGGGGGGGACGGCGGATCAAGCCACCCGCAGTGGAGGACGCTTCTACTTCGGCGTAGCCTGACATAGAACCCTGTATGACCATGTCGCTTAAAATAACCACTAATAACAAAACCTGTATACTGATCATTACACAAAAATGAGGAATGCGTGTCGAATATGCATCTTGCTTTTCTCCTTTAATCGGCCCCCCCACTATCAAATCATTCCCACATCAGTTATTTCCCGGACCGAACAAGCTTCGCATCCTCTTCATCGTCGTCAGAGAATCTGTCTCCGTCCTCACCGACGGCGAAGATGGTCTCGCCGTCCAGCGAGTCTCGCGGGTTGCCCCTGGGCGCGCTGGAAGAGCCGCCACTTCCATTAGCTCCCTGGCCAGGAGCAGTTGCGAGGTGGGCGCCGGCGGGGAGGGGCTGCTGCGCTCGGTTGGTGGTGCTCTTGCCCACATTGGCCTCCTCGTCGTCCGAGTCGTCGGGGGCGCCAATGTCGGCCATAGTGAAGGTGCCATCGTCGTCCTGGGCGATTTCGTCACTCATGGCGAAGCGACGGTTGTTGGCGGTAGGACGCCAGACATAAGCAATGAAAGCAACGTCGGCGAAGTAAACGAGGTTGAGCCAGCCGTCGAGAACAAACCAGCGCGTCTTCCAGTGGAAGGGGACGTAGTCCGGGTCGTTGATAGAGGCGAAGGAGAAGCTGTTGAAAAAGAAGAAGCCGAAGATGACAAAGATGCTGACGAGGATGCACCACCACAGCTTCTTGTACATGGCTTCCTTCGCGTGCTGCTTCCGCTCACGCAGATCTTTCAGAGTGAAGTTGAGGGAGTTGAGAGTCCAGACGTAGAATGCGGTGAGGGTGCTGGCCAGAGGGAGTACGATGAGGAGAACGAAAGGGCCTGTGTCACATGTCAACATTCGCCGCAGATACGCCGGATCGAGAAGCAGTCTTACCAGCTTGTTCAGGTGTAATCAGCAAACTCGTGACGGCGTATACCAGGCCAAAAGCGAAGTGGGCAATGGCTAGCCAGCGGACCCAAATCATGGTCCGACCGAGGGTGGGCTTGACAACGCCATAACCCATGCAGACAATGAGAAGCAAGAAGAAGGAGAACGAGTTGCGGAAAGCGTTCAGAATCGCGACAATGACTAGCAGGACCTTAGACCCGACATTGGCGCCATTTCTATTGAGGTAGTCTAGCAGCGGTGTCAATCAGTGGAAGCAGCGTCGGGAGAAAAAAGATGAAATTGAGGAATGGGAGGGACATCGGCGAGACTTACCATAGAACCCCCACGTCATGAGCATCTCGACAACAAGGAAGACCAGAATAGCTGTAATGTAGTTCTGCACAGGCACTAATTTGTGGCGTCAGAAACTGTCCAGTGCCTCTGTATCAGGAAGCCTACTCACAGATATCCTGCCTGTGTTGATAGTATAAGAAGCCCCAGAACCTGTTGGCTGTTAGTTTTGATATGTCGGATCATGTGGGGTTATGGGACGGTCCTTACACCGCAACCAGAGCGTAGAGGATAGTTATGCCTCCATAGAAGGGTAGCTTGGGAATCTGGGTGGCAGGTAGCTCGCCGTAGGCGTTGCGGAACTCAGCGACGCCTTGGTAATGCTTGGCGGTAAAAGGCTGGGTCAAGATGCAATAGTAGCCGGTCTGAGAAATCATATACTTCCTGGGCTGGCCAGGCTCCTTGAGGTTAACCGAGTATGTCTCGATGAGGTTCTTCGACTTTTCGGTTGCGCCCTCGGCAAGAATGAACTGGCCAATCTCGGTGTCGTTACAGTAGCCCTTCTTCACCCATTTATCCTCGCAAATGCCGATGGTCTGGGAAGGATATGTCAGGCCCATGTGCTTCAAAGGCAGGTGCTGCAATAGCGCAGGTAGACGGCACAGCCAAAAAGAGGCTGGAGTCCTAGGGGTGTATTACCTGAGACTCGGGTCTATCGGGATTCTCGTTGAACCCGATGAGGCCACCATCCTTCCACTCAAAGATCACCACGCTGACCATTGGCTTCTTTCCAGCAGCGTCCTTCTGAGGGGGGAACATAAGGCTGATGTAGGGATCGACAGGACCGCCCCAGGCGTTCCGACTGTACATGCCTGTCAAAGCCCAAGTTAGCTTCGTGCGTCTTGAAAATCGTATATGACGACGGCTCGTAACGTCGAATTCGCGAATTCTGGAGACCCTACCGGCGCAGCGCTGACGATTGTCCTCTGTCTGGTCCTGTACGACGCGTGTTCATGTCAGTCCTGAGGTCATTTAGATGCTATACCAATGTCCCTTTGATAAGACTGCATGGGAGATGTGCAAGACTCACGATTTTGACTTCAAGGGCGTTGGCCGTCCACATGGACAGGCCCATGAGGAGGGTGCAGAGCCACGGCCTCATTTTGATGGACTTTCGGAAATTCCAAGTCCCTTCAAGTTGGCCGGGTCGGAATGCTGAAGGAGGGAAGAATGGCAAGCTCGCAAGAAAACGGTGCTCCCTCGGGCAAGAATAGTGTCGAAATGGTCAGGCTCGCAGGCAGACGCCGAGGGATGCCTCGTCAGACACCAAAGGCCGCAAATAATGAGTACGCGCCCGGGAGTCAATTGTCTCGCTGAAAGAGATTCAGGGAATCGGGTCGCTCAATTCAGATGACCCCTGTTGTGTTGTCGGCGGACAGAGAAGAGTAGGGAGCTTGAAGCCTGGCAAGGATTCAGGATTGAGGTTCGTTAGATAGCCCGCGTCGGAAGCTAGAGGTGTCCGACATTGACAGCTGGCAGCCTCGTCCCCAGATCGTTGATGAGCGACCTAAGGTAGCTAGCCCCTTGAGAGACCCACAAACATTACTAATATTCTCAATGCGAAATTGACATCATACATAAGGTAGGTACGGGTCGCTGAAGATTACCTTAGTAAGAAGGTGTGAGGTACTTCGTACGGAGGCTACTTGAACGGGCGACATTACGTGTACCTTACCTTACCTAAGGTACCTAAGGTAGGTACCTACCTGGTTACAAGGCATATCTTCGTTGACGGTTCGTGGCGCCTTGTGGCTGGCCTCGGGACCTCAGCCAGAACGGTTCCGCTTGATACGTCCCCCATAAACCTACGATTTTGTATGGCTACTTTTAGGTATACGTCGGTCGAGTCGCTCGGAGACAGGTAATTACAACGTACGGAGAGCTCTTGAACATTATTTTAATTTTGGACAAAGATGATGGGTAAAAACATGCGTTACATCCGCCTGCGCACAGCGTATAGGCTACAGTTATAAGAGAAGCAACGAATTCGGGGTTTCTTCAGAGGAGATGTTGTAGGTACTTGTGTCCTGTATCCCCTGGAAGACTTTTTGCTACCATGCTAGGGCCGTCGTAGTGGTAACTTCTTGGCCCCCCACGTACAACGTAACGCCCTGCAATTGTTAGTCTGTATCCGTACGGGGGCGCAGAAATTTTCGGGCTGCAACTGGTTGGAGAGAAGTCAAGCTCTGCATCGGCTTCCCGAACCTCCTTACTTGGCCTGGGCACGCTACTTAAGCTCAATTGCCGGTTTCCACAAAGCGGGACTAGGCCGCTTACGGCACAGTGTGCATGGCTCGACCTCATGCATGCCCCGCCTTTCCGGGAAGCACGACCATGTACACTACGTGTACGACGTACTTCCGACTTCGTATAGCTTGACCAAGGACAAACAAATTTGATTCCCCCATGAATCCTCTGCCCATTCACCGGTGAACATGTTTGACTAGAAGATCAGTCCCTTGGAGCAACCTGAACTGCTTTCCTCCCCTCGCTGCGTCGGCCGCTCCCCCCGATCCCTGGTCCTCCTGTCCCCTTTCCTGTTTTCTCCCCCACCTCCCCCTGGTGACCACTCGGTCATATCTAGGTAATGGGGATGCTTCAATGGGTGAAAAGGATCGCCAGTGGCGGGGGATTTGGCCAAGGCAGCATCGGCCCTTCTCCCATGACCGTCGAGAGCTTTTGCAGCTTGCTCCATGGCCGTGAAATAGGCCATTGCCCGCGGTGGCAGTGACGTATGAAGTGCCATGTCCGTTAACTAAGGTACCTTAGGTACGTCTCGTTCAGTCACTCGAGCCTAAAGTTACACTCATCCTCACTCTACCCGAACCGCTACTCTGTACTGTGTCTTGCTGCGTGATTCTTCAGAACGAACACGATCATGAACGACCCGGCATCCAAGAAGGATAGCCGCTCTGGTTCAGGCGCTTTGTCCGAACCTGACCGTAACAACCTTACCATGGCCGCTTCGTCGTCTGAGAAGGTCGATCGCGAGTTTGGTGGTGATGGAGCCGTCACAAAGGCTCCTCACGGTCCCATCTCCGACCCCGTGTACCGGGCCAAAGTTGAGAAGAAGATGAAGCGCAAGCTCGACTTGCGTTGCTCATTGTTCTTTGTCAGTATGTTTGACGCCGTCGGCGGGCATTTTGCAGTCCTGACTGCTCTACTGCAGTACAATGGAATGCAGTCAGCTAACCCTTGAACCGCGACTTGCAGTATATATTATGAACTACCTGGATCGAAATAATATCGCGGCGGCTCGTCTCCGTGGCCTGCAAGAGGATCTCAACCTAAACGACCAGGAATACGCGACCTGCCTGTCGTAAGTCTTACGCTTTAGCCCTCGTGCCTGTTCTCTGTCTTCTCAATTCCAAAAGGAAACCGACTAATCACCACTTCGGATGAAAGAATTCTATATGTTGGTAAGAAGCACTTTATGTCGGCTTTGTATTCGTCAGACAAGGTCCTAACCCCTGATAAGGATACATTCTGATGCAGGTACCCTCCAATATGCTCATCAACCGCATCAGTCGGCCATCGTGGTACATCGCAGGCGCCATGCTACTATGGGGACTGGTCTCGACCCTCTCGGGCGTGGTTCAAGACTTTGGAGGAATGGTAGCGACGCGCTTTTTTCTCGGCTTCATCGAAGCGGCCTTCTTGCCCGGAGCGCTGCTTATCCTGTCCAAGTGGTACACCCGCAAGGAGTTGACGTCCCGTAACGCCATCCTGTTCTGCGGTAACCTCATCTCCAATGCCTTTTCGGCACTCATTGCGGCTGGTGTCTTGTCCAATATGCAGGGCGTTCTTGGCCATGCCGCTTGGCGCTGGCTATTCTGGAGTAAGCCTTGTTGGGGCTAATATAATACCCCTTGCGCCTACGGAGACTAACTGGCTCTACAGTCGAGGGTGCCATCACCATGGCCATTGCCATCCTCGCCGCCTTTGTTCTACCAGATTTGCCGTGGAACGCAAGGGGCTTTACCAAAGAGGAGCTTGAAGTTGCGCAACTACGCATGACTGAGGACGTAGGCGAGGTTGACCAGGACTCGGCGGAACAGGGCACCTTTGACGGATTCTGGATGGCCGTCAAAGACTATAAGATCTATCTTATGATGCTGACGTTCACTACTTATGTTATCGGCCTGTCCTTCAATGCGTACTTCGTAAGTAAACAACGGACTGGAGCCATCTCTCCCCTCCATTTGCTGACTCGGTCCCTCCCCCCTTCCAGCCTACCTTGACCGGCACACTCGGCTTCGACTATGTTCCAACTCTGCTGATGAGTTCGCCTCCATGGCTTTTCTCGTGTATTGTCTCTCTGATCAACGCATGGCACGCGGATCGCAAGAAAGAAAGGGTACGTACGTCTCAAAATGACCTCTGGCCCGCTTTGCAGCTCACCAATTTGTCCACAGTTTTTCCACATCACCTGGCCCATCTGCATGGGACTTGTGGGCTTCATCATATCAATGTCCACTCTGAATCTCGCTGCCCGTTACGTCGCCCTTTTCCTCCAGGCCGGCTCGTATGCGGGCTTCATCGTCTTCTACTCGTGGATCTCCTCCTCGTTTCCTCGTCCGCCCGCTAAGCGCGCCGTGGCCATCGCGCTCGTCAACGCCTTCTCCCAGCTTGGTAACGTCGCCGGGATGTACGTCTGGGACCTCGAAGAGAACGGCTTCCGCGGAAGCTACGGTATTGTCACCGCCATGTTTGGCGTGACGAGTGTGGGCTGTTGGCTATTCCGCATGGTCCTTAAGGGGCTGAACAAGAAGATTGAGCGCGGCGAGGATGCCTGGGAGAGGCATGGGGATGTTGCGGCACGCTCGGCTGATTTGGCCCACCTGGATGGTTTGAGGAACGTCACCACAGCTTTTAGGTACCTGGTATAAAGGAGGCTCGGATCATCTCGGGAATATATTGTACCCGTGATTATATCGGACGGGGAAACCAGGAGCGTGGCGGGACAAGAGAGGCAGGGAGAGACGTATTCTTCACTCAGAGGCCTGTTCGAAAGAAGACGTTCCGATAATGATGTTGGGTTAGATGTAGAAATAAAGATATTGCTTTGGTTGGAAAGCATGAGAATTCGATCATTGGCGAAGCCTAAAATGACACGGGATCTTGCAATGAATGGTTCCCCTATTCGCACACAAACTCACAGGAGCGTCTTCTATCCCAACGAAAATATTATGCAACGAGCTCATACCTCTGTAGAGCTTTCGGTTGCGATGTACACTACCTTCTGTTCCTGGTCGGGATACCGTGGAGAGGAGGAAGGTTCATCAAATGCTTCTGGAAGAGTTCGAGAAACCACAGTACAAAGAACACAGTGGACACAAGACGGCTTGTGCGCCATACCGTATGAATAATATACTCGCACACGTGCTACCTCATACGGAGTACTCTCTCAGCACATGTACCTGGGAACTTTGTACATCCAGGACGTTGCCCGAGAATCCGGTACTTACGGATCAATTGATTCAATTCCTCTTTCCACCCTCCGCTCTCCGCCCTTCAACCAACCATCACGATGGGAAAAGGGACCGACAAGTTATACATCACCCATAGCGAGTGGTCGAGCGGTGACAACTACTCCGCCTCAGCTGGCGCCCGCAACTCTCGGCCGGGCGCGTCGTTCCGCCGCCTTCCCTTCAACTTTTGCGCCGCCAGCCTCCAGCCTTTCAAGAATCCCGTCTGCACCAAGGATGGCACCATTTTCGATGTCGAGGTCATCAGTTCATGGCTGGATAAGCACGAGACCAATCCCGTCGACGGCGAACCGCTGGCCGCCAAGGACCTCATCAAGCTCAACTTCGCACGCAATGCCGACACCGATTCTCGCGGCACCAGCACGGGCCTGAGCGACGGGCAGGGCGATCTTATCGACCCCGTCTCCTTCAAAGTCTTCACCGACAACACGCACATTGTCGCCATCCGTCATGACACGTACGCCAACGTCTTTGCCTGGGACACCGTCGAGAAAATGAACATCAAAGCCAAGAACTGGCACGACCTCGTCGACGACAGAGAGTTCAGCCGCTCCGACATCATCACCCTCCAGGACCCACAGAATGCCGCCAGCCGCGACTTGAGCCAGTTCAAATACATCAAAGAGGGCCAGGATGCCCTGCTGACCCCGGAGCAAGAGGAGGAGCGCAAGCAAGGGAATGTCAACGTCGGCGCGCTCGGCAGCATGGGAAACAAGGTCCTCCGGGCAAAAGAGGCCGTAGAGAAGGCTCGGAAACAGCGGGAGGCCGGCGGCGATGTCAACCGGTCAGCGACGTCCGGTGCTCTCGTCGGCAGATCCGCATCCGCCGCGGCGGCGCAGCGCAAGCCCGCGATCCAGGAGAAGAAGGTGGCGCCCAACGCCGCCATCCACACCACGGGCAGGGCCGCCGCGAGCTTCACCAGCACGGGTCTGACGCCCGAGACTAGCGGCGAGCGGGCTCTACTGACGGACGAGGAGTACATGCTGAAGCCGAAGCGGGTCAAGATCAAGGGGTACGTGCGCATCGAAACCAACCTCGGCGATCTCAACGTCGAGCTGTACCCCGAGTTCGCGCCGCGCGCGGTGTGGAACTTCACCAGGTTAGCGCAGACCGGGTACTACAAGGGCGTCACATTCCACCGAAACGTCCGCAACTTCATGATCCAAGGCGGCGACCCTTCGGGGACCGGGCGGGGCGGGAAGAGCATCTGGGGGAAGAACTTCCAGGATGAGTTTGACGGGCCGCTGACGCACAGCGAGCGGGGGATGCTCAGCATGGCGAACAAGGGCAAAGACACCAACTCGAGTCAATTCTTCATCACGTACCGCGCGGTGAAACACCTGGACCGGAAGCACACCATCTTCGGCAAGGTAGTGGGCGGCCTCGACGTGTTGGCGAAACTGGAGGATGTGCCGACGGACGGGTCGGACAGGCCGCTGAACAAGATCATCATGCGGGACGTGGTGATGTACGTGGACCCATTCGAGGAATTCCAGAAGAAGAAAAAAGCACAGGATGCCGCCGAGCGGGAAAAGGAGGCCACGAAGCGGAGCGGGGGGACCGAAGACGACAGGACAACGTGGACGGGGAAGAGGATCAGGGCGGACGGCTCTGTCGAGTCTAGGGATGGGTCGGCTGCCGGGGTCGGGAAATACCTTGCGGCGGCCCGGGCGCAGGAGTACGAGGGAACAGCGGTTGAGGACCTCCCAGAGACATGGGAAGAGCCCCCGAAGAAGAAGATGAAGGCCGGTGGGTTTCGGGACTTTGACAATTGGTAAATACTCACGAGGATTATTGGAGTTACTTAGACGAGAACAATCATCAATATAGAGATACCCTGTTTGGCGCTGACGGACCCCCTTCATACAAAGCCTAGTGCTCTTCAAAACTCGATCCAGATGTTCAGGCCCATCCGGCCAAACGGTACGGTGGTGTACCATCAAACCTGCAGATGTCTTGTCGAGTGCCTAACTGGCCAGTCACTTGTATACGAAGTAGACGGTGATCAGATACGGGAGTTGAGCCGGATCATGTATGTGCTCATTACCAATTCCACAACGGACAACAGACTTGCAGAGGCGGCATATAAGAGCGTGACTACTGAGCTGTGAAGTAACGTAGAGGTAACCCGAGATGGACCCAAGAAGTCGAGATGATAAGAAATCGAAGTTAAAGAGAAAAGGAAAAAGAAAAGAAAAAGAAAACGAAAAAGAAAAAGGAACAGTTTAATGAGTTTCCGGACTGGTTTGTTTTCAGAATAACTTGTTTGAACCATTCCACACGTTAACTGAGGTGTATAATTAATTAGGTACCTCAATGACTCGATTTCGCCAATTGAGATGAGAAACCTTGTACCTTACCTAATACAAGAGTACCTTAGGTACGTACGGATGCGGAGTGCAGCCTTAGAACCAAGGCACATGCCTGAAGTCGTGGCTTACCTAATCTAGGAAGTTGACCACTTCCGATTTCGACCTTCGGTCTTGGGGAAGACGACATCTCCTACGGGTGAGCTCGACCAACTCCGCCAACAACCGCTTCTACACCATCTTCGACCCCTTTCTCCCAGAGTATAACAAGAGCGCGGCTCTTTCATATTCAAAATGGCAGGCGGCGTGCAGCACAACAGTGAGACAATTAGCACCATTCGTCCTCCCATCCATCGTCACAGCTAACGTTTTGTGATCTCTAGAAATGGCCATGGACCCGGCTTTCGTCAAGCTCGGGAGTACGTTCGAACACCTATTCACTGCGCAAGAAACGATGTTTAAAGGGCAATTGGGAAAGATGGAAAGGCGGTGATAAGCTGACGCCAATGCGCATTTAGACATGCAGACCAACAGACACGTCTACTTCCGCTGGACACCCAGGACAGCCCGCATTACTTTCATGTACGCCGTTGTCGTGCCGACCATCATGGGAATTATCGCATACAAGACTGATGTGAGTTCGTTCCTCGAGGTTGGGTGACACGGAGGGGGGCTGCAACGAAACGCCTTGCTGACTGACTTCCGCGCCATTTCAGGGTCTGTGGGACCTCCGAGCCAAGCGCAAGGGCGACCTCCTCGTTGAGCGGTAAAGGAAATCGGACGGGGGATTGTACATAACGAGATATGCGGAGCCCATAGTGGCAATAGAGGATTTGTTACCACAGCTTGGTTTCTTCGGTTGCAGCTACGCGGTTTGAAGAGCGTGATGATATGATGCTCGCCGGAATTACGATAAGGGGGTATGGATGCGCCAATCAAGCCCAATTTTAACCGTCCCGAGACCCAGAACGCCAATTTGAGACAGCCTCCCCATGCATGCCCTCAGTTTCTCATCGTCCCCGTCCGCGCCGGCCTCCCCATGATCGATCAGGCGCTTGCCCAGGTACCCTTTCCCCCCTCCGCCACTCTCCCTCAGGAACAAAACTTCCCAGTCCCGATCTTCCACGATCTCTTCTCGCCCGTCCAAATCCGATATCGCGTCGTCCTCCGCGTGCATATGGCCCCGAATCTCCCAGCCCTCTAGCGTTGCGAGTTAGTGGCGCCTCCCACGCGCTCGGCTCTGGTGCTATAGACCCATCCGGTAACGGCGGGAGGATGGCGCAAGAAATGTAGTCCCCGATCACGAACTTGGCACTTTGGAGCGTCGTGTCACCCGCGGAACCGCCCGTTTTCGCCTTCTCGCCGATGGGAGATGGGGGCCTCCTTGCAACGCCGACGAGCTCCTCGGCATCAACAGTGTCAAAGCCGTTTGCGACGCCCGGTACGTCTCCCCCGATAACTATACTGCCTAGGTCCTTGACCATAAATCGCGGTGGAGCATGACGATGGTGGGGGTCTGAACTGGCTGCGCCGGCGCCTGCTCGCGTGTCTGGAATCACGAGCCGGAAGGCGAGGCGGGTCCCGATGGCTGGTGTTGGCAGCAGAGACGGCCGCTCGGCGGCGACTTGGAGAGCGAGTTCGTTGAGCGTGCAGTCGTGCCAGGCATAGAGGGGGAGAGATGGGGGGAGGGGTCGAGCGGCGAACTCTTCGGGCCTGGCATGGCCGTACGAAGTATTGTTAGTGGTTGCTTTGTTCTTAACTGCCAAGGATCGTCTTTTCGAAGACCATATGCCTATCCTACCTGTGAAAGGAGCCCTCCCTGTAAAAAAGGCGGAGGAGGAACGGCGTGGCCTCGTGACGGTCAATTGGCGGCGTCGCCATCGTGGAAGGGCCTCAGCTGGTGCTTCCTTTCGTTTTCCGTCTCGTCGGTAGGCTTCAAGTTCGTTAGGTTGTGTTGGTCATCATTACGTTGCATCAGGGGTTCTAATTCGTGATAGTGGGTGTAATATCGCCGTCAGGAATTATAGTTCTCTGGGGGAGCATTCGGCTGTATTTGCCTGCGCATCGTGAGCCAAGATGGGAGAGCTCTCCGTAAAGCTACACGGTAGTAATCACGGAGTAGTGCTGCGGACGCGAATGCGATGGGGAGATGACTAAGCAATAAAGTATCAGCAGGATCCAGGATCCAGTTTAGCTTATAAAGGTATCCACTACCTACCTTATTTATCTGCTGGGCTCGTTATCGGCTTGTCCAGAAACCGCCCGTATTGAATTGGCTGCTGTCCTGTCTCATACCGAAGACTTTAGAATAACGAAGCGTACCTCTCCACAGGCCGACGAGCAACTAACAACGATCATCACAGTCGAGCTATACTTATCGCAATTTAATCTATCTGGTCACGATCCGCCTTGACAGGCACCCGGCGCCGACATGGATTTCGCCGCTCTCATGTCGAAAGAGCTCTCCAAGAGCAAAGAGGAGGTCGCCACACCGTCCAAATATATCAAGCGATCCGAAGTCGAACAAAAGCGAAGGGAAGCCTATCTCGCCGAGCAGGCTCGGCTCGAAGCCCAGCGCCAAGCCAAAGCGGAGGCCAAGCGCAAGCGCGAGGACGAGACGGCAGAAGAGGCGCGGGAACGCGAGGAGAAGAGACGCCGTCTCGCCGATGAATCGCGACGGCGGCGGGAGGAGAAAGAAGCCGCCGAGGAGGCGGCCCGGAGGAAACGCCTGGGCTTGCCGCCACTCTCTCGGGCCACGAGCGAGGAGACGAACGAGTTGGAAGACGGCATGGAGGACATCCCCGACGACGAGCTGCGGGCGAAACTGCGCCAACTAGGGGAGCCGGCGGTGTCATTCGGGGAAGGACACAGGGGACGGCTGCGGCGGTACCGACGACTCACCACCGTGGTTACACAGGGCCCGATACCGACGACATTGGCGCTGGTGGAGGAGAAGGATATGAAGGTGGATGGTCGGGTGCCGCAGGACAAGGAGGAGAGGAAGTGGCTGTTCCGGCAGCTGGCGAGCTACTTCACCATGGTTTTGACGGAATATCAGCGGGCCATGGAGGCGGAAAAGACAGATACGACGGCGAGCAAGACGGCGTATGCGGCCATGGTGCAGAGCCGCGAGAACATGAAGCCGGTACGCTTTCACATCTGCGCCTATTCCTTTTGGCCGTGTTCACGTTTTAGCTAACTCCCATTTGCTGTTTAGCTTTTCCGCAAGTTTGAAAAGGGCGACATAGAAGATTCCCTTCTTGAGCCCATCGTGGAGATCGTCAAGGCCGCGCAGGAGCGCCGCTACGTCGACGCCAATGATGGGTACCTGCGCCTCTCGATCGGCAAGGCCGCCTGGCCCATCGGAGTGACCATGGTGGGCATTCACGAGCGTAGCGCCCGCGAGAAGCTACACGGCGGCGAGCGAGGACACGTCATGGGCAATGAAGTCACGCGAAAATTCTTGCAAAGCATCAAGCGCTGCCTGACGTTTGCGCAAGTCCGTTGGCCGCCTGAAGACGTGAGGCAGTTGATGGGTTGAAACGCCCTGCAGATCGACAGAGGAGTGTGGCTTTACGCTTTCTGGCCCATCTTCCTGCACGCTTTCCATCTGTCACGCCGAGGTAGTCGTCGAAAAATTCAGGGCAAAGGCCTTAGGTGTTGGTAACATCGTATTTGGAATCTGGGAAGGAGTTCCGGCCTGCGGTGTCTGGGATTGGCAAGTGTACGGATACAGATTGCATTTGGCCATGATTGTCAATCAGCGGGGCAAACGTGATTTCTGTGTCTTCTATTCGTATTCCTATGTGAGCAAGGGAAGATACGAGGTGGGTCAAACTCCATGGCTTCTTTCTGGGCATGCGTGAGGAGTTCGCATGGTAATAAGGGGCACTGTGTAAGCTGACGGGGTGTGTATGCCCGCTCTCCAAGAGACGTTCGTCCCTAGAATCGTGGAATTCCTATGCCTTGCCCCCCTTTTGATCGTCTTATCCGTGTCGGACCCGAATCCGCATGATTTGTCTTGACAATCCCGACTTGGCCTGGGAACCACAAATTCATCGTTTCTCAGCAAAGGTTGATGAAGCCTCTTCGTCATTTCACACCGAGTGCATTCGTATTCTTGAAGCTACCGTCTCTACATGTACGTGCTAGGATGCCCGCATGTGCAAAATGCGCCCGCCGTTGCGATCCCAGAGAAGTGGTCCGTCAGGGGTATTTCCTTTACCTAGTCTGGAGACTGAGGCTGACAGTCTTGACCAAGTCGCATCTTCCCATGTTCGCCCGAGGTGCTCTCACTACTCCATAAGGATGCATGAAATTGTGTGATGAGTTAATAGATAAACCCGTGACTCAAGTGACAAGGCCCTGTGCATCGCCATGAGTATTGATATTCCCCAATCACCAGTCGCTTGCTGAGTAAATGGGAGACCGAGGTCAAGCCTGACTCTCTACCGTGGCCATTGGGTCTCCACTGTTGTCGAACCACGTATCAGTTACTTCCTCCTGACCTGCACGTTGCGCTGCTGTAAGCTTCTTCGCGTTCTTCACCTCCATGTTGGCCGCAACGAGGCTCATTCGGCGTATCCGCTCCATGGCCTCCTTCTCGTAGAGCCTGGTCCTCTCGAGGGTCATTGCTTGCATCGCCTTTCGCGGGTTCGAATTCATAGCAACCAGAACCTATTGACAAAATAATGAGTAATTTGATTGCCTTTTTTTTTTTTTGTATGGGAGGGAATCGACAAACCTCATCGATGTTATCGATGCGAGCCTTTAGGACGCCGCTACGGATCATGTTGACGAGCTCCGGTATGATCGGCTCGCCCGCGGGGCAGAAGGCTTCTCTCAGACTGCCGATAGTGATGCGAGAAAAGGGGCGGCAGTACTCAACGATGCACTTTCTGCGAATTGTGGAATAGATCCTGGGAAGGTGCTCTTGCAGATAAATGTCGAGCAAGTAGTCCGGCTTGTAGGACTCGAGAATTGCGAGACAAGCCGAATAACGGCCGTTGACAAAGTGGGAGATAGCTTTGCGGATGTGGGACTCCAGCTCCAGAATTGGCCGAAAGTTCTGGTTGTCAAGAACATGGATCTGGAGCTCTTGACGGTCCATAGTGGCAAGGGCCAACAGCCCGCCGTATACGGCGACGTCGTTGGGGCTCGCGATGTGACTGTAGTCGGCGGTCGCTTTAAAATGCTTGCCCGCGTTGATTTGAAGAAATGCGGTGGCTGCGTTGCGATACTGCTCCAAGCTCATAAATGCGATGCCATGGACGACTTTGCTGTACTGCTGAAGCGCCTTGTGGTCCTCACTCGGGATGCTGGTGATTTTAGCGAGGCTCCCGAGAACCATGGGCCAGTCACGTTGTTGAAGAGCGACGTCAATAAGATGTTTGCCCACATCCTCAATCTGCTTCGACGTGCTAACATCGGGGCGCATGCGGCTGTAGGCCTCGCTGGCGCTGGCGAGTTCTCCAATGCTCTCAAAGTGACGTCCAAGATCCTCGTTACCCATCTAGACAATGACCGTATAAGTGATCCCAACGGGGTAAGGTTGATACAGATTGGGGAAACTGACCCGGATGCTTTCTTTGACGAGGTTGTTCTTGTATCCCTTAAGTTGCACTTCTAGTCGGTGTGTCTGAGCTCGGTTTTCCCGTGTCACCCTGTCGACCCATGCTTGGTCGAAGAGCCCCTCCGGGGAGGACGGGGCAGCAATTCTGATACATTCGTACACTTCTTTGTATCGGCCGACATCATTGCCTCTCTTGGCTTCAGCCACAGCTGCCTTCAATGCTTCCAGACAGAGCGGAATGCAGCAACGTCCAATAGTCAGAAGACGTTCAAACCGGGTGCGACCTACGGGAGAGAACAGATAAGCGGGCGCCGGTGAACGCAAGAGACTCCAAGTCAGTGTACCTGTATAGCTCTGGATGTATAGTTCCAGATCGAATTTGGGAGTCTCTGGGAAGGGCAGCTCTTGTCAGTACGTCCCCGCTACAAACGAAGACTTCCGTTGGAAAAGCACACCTTCGACGACTGTTCCCCCTCGGAGGCGAATCTGGTCGAAGAAGGCCTCCAGCCCCGGTCTCACAGCGGCCATGATGAGTGACTACTGAGAAGGGGCCGTCCTGTGATTCGTATCGGAGTGCTAGTAAGTGCCTCCAAGTTAGCACTGGGGGAGAGAGTGCAATACTTTGACGCCGTATCAAGCGCAGGGACAGGAACGTGGCACCAAGACCTCGGGACCAGGGGCCCGGGGCCCGGGGCCGAGGGCTATCCACTGGGACGCTAACTGACTGTGGACTGGGGGGAAATATAAACCGCGGGGGGAGGAACGTCAACAGTATGGTTACCTAGGTAGGTATGGTAAGTGACGGCAAGAGATGGCACACGGAGTGCGGTCGAACATGGAGCTCACCTCTAGTACTTTGTTGATATTCGGTGAGAGTAACCCGATGAGTGTTGTCGGGCCGCAGATCGTAGGATGCCTATCTATTATTGCACCCAGATGCGAGTATACCGGGTCAGGTGGTTGTAAAAAAGGTACGGAAGTAGTCCCGACGTTGCTGGGCGCTCCGGGAGAGGATGCTTTCGTGGGGGTAGCTGTGAGGTGAGAGATGGTACGGAGTACTTCGTACAATCAGGTCATCATCACCATGGCTGGCGCTTGCGCATTTGAAGCGATTAGTCAAGAATGGTGGGCCAGAATATACCTAGTACACCTCCACCAGGGTTTTAAAGGTTAGCTTGTGAATTCGCCCCACATCCTATCAATCATTGGATTAGCCTGCCGATCCGTACTTTTCCACCTATTTTATATAGATAGGTACAAAGACATATGACGATCTTGAGGATTATCTTAGGACTACCCTGGTGGTGATAGTAGTGATAGTGGGGATGATAGGGGCAGTGGCGAGATCTAGTAAGTATAGGTACTTATAAAGGGTGATATGTCTTATATATTTGGATGTACCTCTACCCTACCGGGATTCCCTGTTATCCGTAACCAATTATACTCGTTCGTATCCGCGCTAACCTTTAAAACCCTGGGGGAGGTGTACGCAGTACTTTGTATGATGCAACTAGGAGGACTATTTTATCACTATAACCGTCGCCATATTATTCGACCAAGGTTGGCTGTAAATTAGGTAATACTATGTACCCACTTCGTACGCTGCCGGATATACGGAGTACGGATACCGAATGCCCCCCACCGCGTCACAACTAAGCCAAGCAAACAACCGCCTTGGCTCGTGGGTCTTTCCACCCTAGTGAGATATTGGCTTATTCGTGTGTACTTCGTCGTGCTTCATAGAAGTCTGCAAGACTGGTGCATAAAGTACGTTAGGAAATCCCAATCCATCCCACCACCACACTTTGTCCTCAATTTCACTTCTTTCTTGCATTAAATTACTTGGCTCTTGAGGCTGCTGATTCGTCCCATGTCCGTACTACACGTGTAGGAGGACGAACCTGCATGACGCATTTCAGAGGCGACCATACGTTCCGTACATGTACATCAGGCGAGAAGAGACCACACCGTGCACTTTGAAAGTACGCACATGTGCGGATAGGCTGACTTCAGGAGACGTCCCATGCCCGGCACCATCGTTCCAGTCCAATGCCGCGGAGTGCCAGTAAACTACTGCCTTATTAGCGACTTACTCTTAAACTAATCCATCCACGCGACAGAGAGCATGGCAAAAATGCCTCGAACAAATAGTTTGTACAATCAAGCAACAGATACAAATAGTTGTTCTGCATATTTGATCCCACGCCCACAAGAGGCAACCCTGTGCCTCAGATGATCCGATGCCATCCAGCTGCAACGTTCTTGAACTCAGGAGGGAGCCCGCCAAGGCTGATAAACGGGAGCTTTTGAGCAGATGGCGGGGGGTTGGATCGCGGAGAGCTTGGCGGTGTGTTGTGCGGCGGTGAATTACGTAGGCCAAGATTCTGGCTGACCATTCATGATTCTGATGTTGGGATGGCCAAGCCGGCCCAGGGTGGGTCGTCTTGGTCCCTGAGCGGTGGGTCTCGAACAAGAAAGCAATCGCATCTTTTTCCGCCTTTGTTACATATGTATTTCTCACATCAAATACCATGAATTGCGGATTCTTTCAACGCACGAGGTACTCGGCGCCAACTTAAGGACACTGATAGGTAGTCGCCTTGTCCGGGCTTAATTCTCCTTAGAATTCGGTGCGAATTTGTTGCTGAGATGGACCAAAACAGCATAGCATACATAGCATGGCATCGGTCATCTGTCATCGGCCATCGGTCATCTGCTCCGCGGAAGAGCAAAGACCTCAGACCTGGAAGTTAGTGTGCCTCGGCTCTGATGCTATGGCTTGCATTAGTGATGAAGAAGAGGGAGCCAGTGCGCCATAAGAAATGGCCGTTGATTCGCTTTGATGCCCGTTTTACCCCCACACGGACAGTGCGTTGTATGGATCTGTACGGATACCTAGCAAGTCCCCTTATTTTCTTACCTGTATTTCGGTCCCCCCTTGCAACGTACTTTTAGCCTTAGCGTCGGCGACTCGAGTGCAGGGAGGATCCAGTCTGATGGAACAAAAGTTCAAAGGATCATCCATGTTAGCTAAGGCTCTGTGGATCAGTTTCCGATGTTTGGCCCCTTCTTTGTCTTTCCGGGCGAGTTTTAATCTTGTATTGTATTTTCAATTTTTAAAAAACAAGAAGGAAGGAAACAAAAAGGCGGAAAACAAGAGGATGCCCGTCGCAGGGTTCGTCAGAGCGGACAATGTTGTCCTCCCCCTTATCCTCATTTAGCTGCCTACCTAGGTATTTACCGAGCAATGTCTCTGGCTCCGAACACTCACTACCTTAGGTACCTTACCCTACCTAAGGCTACCTACCTAGGTAGGTAGCACCCGGAATAGTCGCGCGTCATGGTGGCTGCTTGTCTATGTATACAAACCTCAGGTACATTCTGACTCGGTAAGCTGCCTTGAGTAATTAATGCTTGATATTCTCGGCGTTTAGGTCTTCGGAGCTCATACTTCGTACTGTAAAGCTGCTCCCCGGACCTCGCCCGCCGCCTCCGATCCAATCCGTCACCCGCCCCGCCGTCTCCGTTGTGATGCCAGGATACAAATGTAAGTTAGCCAGCAACGGGACATACCAAGACCACATGTAAGCTTTTACGTACATACGCTGTACGGTGCCTGTACAAATTTACGGAGTACTAGACGAGGGTCACGAGAGATGTGGCTTTGTGAGGTATTTTATTTTCATTCGCCTTTTTATTACCTTATACTCCATAAATGCAACCTACCCAGTCTACGCCGGCAGGTTTAACTCTTCCTGGATGTTCCTGGGTCCAACAGGTAGTACTTCATAAGATAGTTCTTGTTGTGTAGATCGGCCCATCTTTGGATCTCTCCACGGAGGTCCGAGTGTATGATACTTCCGCATAACATCTGTTGGTTGAGGATTATCCGTCGGCATCCTCCGCCCTTTGAGGCTTACATCATAATATGTACGTACGTGGTAATTGATGCCAGCTGTGCCGTACAACGTACGCACCACTGCGACTTCTGGCCGCCAATACAGTAGTCCCTGTACCCTGTTGCGAAGCTGGATGGAGTGTTATCGTGGGTGTCCTGGGTAATTACCACCAACGGTATACTCTCGATATAAGTCCCTCTCTTCCCTCTTCTTTTTCCTCTTCGACCACAATAGCAGCAGGAGGAAAAAAAAAAAAAAAAGGAAAAAAAAAAAGGAGATGGTGGGCTGTCTCGTTGAGGGACTGCCATTAATAATTACGTTGTACCTACCTTAATTACGGGTAGTTCCGTCGTATTCCCGTCTCCCAAGCGCTGTGCCCCCTCTTCTTTCCCCAAGATACGAAACCCGATAAATGAATTTGGTGCTCTTTGTACGTTGTATGCAGCTTGCCCCGCTCTCGGTCTTCTCGGTCAATTGAAACGGTCGCGTCGATCCATGCTTGCAACAATTCCGTCCCACAAATCCCATGCGACCTCCCCCTTCGAGCTTGGCTACACGTCTAACCTCTACGCTCCATGCTCCACGCTCCACACCGCACTCATACCCTCACTCGTACTGTGCCGACGGTGCTGGACGCACTTGATGACTTGGTACCATTCAGGCGACCGCCAAGCTCGTACTCGACCGATCCGCTCCAAATCCGCAAATCCGCAATCCTGGTGTGCGAAGTTATACCTAGATACCTACACACTATAGGTAAAAAGTGTCCGTAGTTGGTTGACTCGACACATCCCGGCCGAGTAGGCCGGTACGTATTCCGTACAGTGATTGATCTCGCGTCTTCTTTTCACCTTGCCTCGACGCGAGCCTCTCGGAGTCGACAAATGCAGGCCCCCTTGTTTATTAGTTCGGCCCATACCCATACCACCTCGGCCAGGAACCACTCTTGTCGGTTGAGAAGCACAAGTCCCGTGCTCAATGCTGGCTTTCCTTCCATACCTACTGTGACGGAGGCCCTTCTCTCTTCCTTTTACATTCTTTTCTCACACACACTCCCTCCCACTGCTCAACCTTTGTGACCAGTTCCTGGTGTCCCTAGGCTCGATCCCAAACGGCTGGCCAGTCCAGGAGCCATCTTTCGGCACTCGGATTTGGGCTGTCCGGCCGGCTGCCATCTCTCTCTCTTCCCCCTTCTTCCCCTTTCCGCCCGGGAAAATGAGTGGTAGGTAGCACTCTCCAAAGTGCATACAAATCCCCCTGTCTCTCGTCTCTCGGTAGGCCAAGAAAACCAGCGGCCAGACAATTTTCTGAGCGCCAAATTGATTATCATGGTAAGGGTAAGCCCCGTTATGGAGGGTATGCCCCCTCCTAATCGGTCTTCGACTTCGAGTAAACCGCCGCCCTCTGTCGATACGGCCGTCTCGACCGACATGTCCGAAGACGACCTGCCGCACCCCATCTCACCCACTGGTTCTCACGGGCAGCAGCCGCATTCGCCAACAAATAGTGTTCACTCGGTGTCTGAAGATCCAGACGGTGGTGCTGGAGGTAGTGGCACTGCCGGGGAAGCCCCGTCTGTCCCCGCGCAGAAACGTCGTCGGGTAACACGCGCTTGCGACGAATGCCGGCGCAAAAAGATCAAATGCGACGGCAAACAGCCATGTACCCATTGTTCTGCGTACAGCTATGGTATGTTTTGGTGATTCCTGGCCGGCTCTGTGTCTGCTTATTTTGTATATGTGGGAAGGAAGGCCGGGAACTTCGTCTCCCGTCGTCTCGTCCGTCTTACTGACCCGACCTTTCAGAATGCACCTACGATAAACCATCAAATCGTCGAAGGAACCCAGCCCCGCAGTATATTGAAGCTTTAGAAAGCCGACTCCACCGTGCCGAGACGCTTCTGCGGACGTTTATCCCCGATGTAGACCTGAGCGATCCTAACCTCGACCCTGCCGTCCAGCAAGAATTTCGCAACCGGGAACTGGCTCGTGTCCAAACCAAGTTGCGGCCGGACCAGGTACCATCTCCCGACAAGGAAGACGCTCAACTTCTCTCCATGATCGAGTCAATCGGCCAGCTAGACTTGGACGATCAGGGTGGCTGGGATTTCCACGGCGTATCGTCTGGTGCCGTGTTCCTACGACGCATGAAAGAGCACTTCCAGGGCCTCATGGGACCCGGCAACCAACTTCCATTTCTCCCACGGAAAGCGCGACTCCAAGGCCTTTTGCATCATGGCTCGGGTGCTTCGACGGGAAGCTCCCCCTGGGAACCGACATCATCCCACGTACCGGAGCTGCCGCCGAAAGAATACGCACGCAAACTTTGTTATTACTCGCTCAACTGCGCGACATGTTTGGTTCGCATTGTTCACATTCCCAGCTTCTATGAAATGTTTGATCGCATCTACGAGGAGCCCTACGAAAACATGACGCATGAGGAGCGGAGGTATCTAGGACTGCTCTACGCCGTTATGGCCGTGGGATGCATGTACGACAACTTCGACGACAGCGGCCCACAGGCGGCGTATCAACAAACGGTGGAACAAGGGTGAGTTTCAGGTGGTCAGACGTGTGACCTCGCTCCCGCTTGCTTCGTGGGCTGGGCTACCCGGCTAACCCCTACGGCGTAGCTCCCAATACTACAATGCTGCCCGACACGTGCTGCAGGACATCACCGAATGTCGGGATCTCACCTCCCTACAGGCGCTTCTCTTCATGATCCTGTTTCTCCAGGCCACTTCCAATCTCAGCGGGTGCTACGCATTCGTCGGCATCGCCCTTCGCTCCGCCGTTCGCATGGGCCTGCATCGAAATCTTCAACACGAGCAAATCACCGTCATTGAGCAACAGGTCCGACGAAGAGTGTTCTACGTCGTTCGCCAGATGGACATTTACGTATCCGCCATGCTGGGGTTCCCCCTTTTACTGAACCCCGATGACATGGACCAGCCTTATCCTACCGAAGTCGACGACGAATACATTACCAACGACGGCATCATCCAGCCCCCTCCCGGCACGATGAGCTTTTTCGAGGCGTTCAATGCGCATACGAGACTGATGGAAATTCTTGCCCGGGTTATCAAGTATGTTTACCCCCTGAAAGGCCTGGGCCAATCTGCCACGGGGGGGGACAAGCCGGGCACGACATATCATATCAGCTACGCTAGCATCAAGAAAATCGAGGGCGAACTGCAGCAGTGGTACGTCGACTTGCCGGAGCAGTGGCGGCCGAGCTCAGAGGGTTCGATGGAGGTCATCCGGTACGTCAGACTTTTCTTTTCCATGTGGGCGTCGACCGGAATTGGGCTTCATTGGAAGTCTTATCGCAACAGGTGCTAATAGGATTATCCAGGGTCCGTCACCTTCTGAGATTCTCGTATGCCCATGTACAGCTGGTTCTCTACCGACCTTTCCTGCATTACGTCTCGCCCCGCCTGAGCCTCGGAAAGCATGTGGATGAGCTGTCGTACGCGTGCGCAGCCGCGGTGGTTAGCGTCTCGCGGAACATTGTCCATATCGGCATCGAGATTCGAAGGCAGGGCGTACTGGCTGGACCATACTGGTTCATGCTGTATGCCGAGTACATCTCCATTCTCTCCTTGGTATTCTACGCCGTGGAGAATCCGGAGAAGCTTGGGTCTGGTGACGTCTTGAGCGACGCAAAGGCGGGCAGAGACATGATCGAAGAGCTGAAGTCGAAGAGCCAAGCCGCCGAGAGAGTGGCAGGTGCGCTCGATGCAAGTCGTGCCCGATCCATTGTTCCCTTTAGCTTTGCGCAGTGCCTAATTGTTGTAGGTTCTCTTCGACCAACTACCCCAGCGGCTTCTGCAGGCAAGGGCCCAGACGATACCCACGAAGAAGCGATCGGCACCCTCGCCGAAGGCTGGTTCCATTCCTGGTTATGGTCATCATCCGGGGCTTGGGCTTCGATCTACTCTTAGCCAACGGCGATCCGAAGAGCTCGTCCGACCTGCCAGCTCTTCTTTACCCAACGGGGGCATGTGCCACGCGCCCATGCAGGGATCGTTCGGAAGCACATCCCGAGAGACGCCGTTCGTGCCTCACTCGCAGGAGATTCTGCCGACGGATGCGGGATCGCAGACACCGGGCAGCACGAGTTCCGGGCCTAGTTCGCAGGCTGCGGGCCAGGCGTTTCCACCAACACATCCGATGTACACCAACAACTCAATTAACAGACTCGATTCATTGATGTTCCCGTCGGAGGACCCGTTCGCATACCCGAACCAGCCAATGCTTGAATTGGGCTACTCGAGAGCAGCAGCACCGACAGCAGGGTCATCGGGTCCGGGGCCAGCGCACTCGCGTGTCGGTGCCCCGCTGGACGCATCTCCGTTTCCGATGACGGGGGCATTCGAGGGCATGGATCCGCAGCAACTTTTAGACGCAGCGACACCTTTTTTCGTGCAGCAGCAGCAGCAGCAGCAGCAGCAACAACAGCAACAATCTCATCAGGTTCCGCTCGGGCTGGACCCATCGAACATGCACCAGAATCCCGCAGCGGGTGGGATGCCGGGAGACGCGCAACGACTGGAGCTAGCGCGGCGCGCGGCCCAGATGCAACGGCCGACAGATTACAGAGAACTTGAACGCATGCTGGCGGCGTCGGGACGACAACAACAGGGGGATTGGGGGGACATGTTTGGTCGGGAAGGATATCAGAACATGTGAACCGGGCCCAAAGGGGGAGGGAAGCGCCCGATATTCTTTAATGAACTCTGCGGCCCGGAGCCCGCGATTTTTTCTTCCAAGGCGATATATTAGATGGCTGCCATTCGGGGAGGGAGTAGACCGGGCTTGGCACTGAAAGATGAGGGGACGAAGAGGTGGTCGGAGTTGGCGTACATAGAGGCGTTGTAAGAGAAACGGTTTCGGGGGGTTGAGAGGGGATTGTTCATCGTGGCATTACGCCCCGTTTCCGTTCTGATCTCCCGCAGAAAGTCTACACGACATGGAAGGATACCTATACCTAAGGTAGGTAAGGAGTCGGTGTGAGTGTATATGGGAATGAGGAAGACGGCCCATGGTACAGACATTCAAGCCATCCCTGGCAGATGCCAGACTGGTTGCCCCTCTCGGGTTTCTTTGAGTCATTCTCCAAGGATAGTACATGAATCTTGGCTGCTGGTTCTGCCAATGGCCTGCTTACTTTATTCGCGGTCTTCTGGTACCCCTGGGGAGATCACACGGTTCACACCGCCGATCTCGAATAGATGTCTTGAATCCAGGGATGATCAAGTTCTCAAGTTCTCGGCGTGAAGCTTGCAGCGAGGCGCTAGAAATATTCGACAATCAGGTAATTAGAATATCTACTTTACGAGGCTTATGCAGCTATCAGGTGGTAAGAGATCAACGGGGCAGGACAAAATGCGGTGAGAGCTGGATGTCAAGTACCTTAAATAACGTACGGAGGATCCATCCCCCATGATAACGAGGGCGGTCTATCCGTCATCTCACTCCCATCCTGTCAGCAACTGCATCTTCGACCGTTCCTGCAGACTTGCATTCAATGACCTGCACGGATATCGGTTGACGACAAGGAGCTGACAGCGATCCCGGCGGTATCAAGTCTTGAGCAGAGTCGACTTCGACTTGTCAACCCACCATAGAACGGGCATCATAGTACGGACACTGTCTTGGTGTTTTACAATTACAACAAGCATTCACTTCGATCCTTTCCATCAAGCCTTTTCAATATACGAATGCCTTATTGGATCCTTCCTCCTCCGTGGAAATAAAGCAAAGCAGATATTCATTAGTCCTGCATTCATTCACTGCCACGATGACGAACACTGGCACTGGCTCTCACCACGCACAGGACGTTTTCATCGATGAGATGGCTAGGCTGTATGTTCTCTGGTGTTGCGTTCGAATTCACCCAGTCGCTGGGAGACGGCTATCCAGTGACGCCAAGAGTATCGTCTGACATGACAGGACTCCAGGAAAATAGACGTGAAACTTTCTGGCCTAGCACCAGTCGACTTCGAAACAGATGCTCATCAAGAGACTGCCAAGAAGAGATATCCCGGTGGGTAGCTTCTGAGAAACCAATTCGAGAAAGGATAGGGTAGGGTAGGGGGGGTGAGATGATGCACACAGAGCTGACACATGGAGAAGCCAAGCTACACGCCCGGAAAGTGGCGGCTGAGCTTAAGACTGGCAATGGGCTTGTCTTCTTGCCCGGCGAGCCCACCCGGACGTGGGAGTATTCAGACCAGGCCCTCCCTTTCCGCCAGCGAAGGTACTTCTATTACCTTTCAGGCGCCGACTTGGCCGACTGCGCTGTGACGTACGACCTCGCGACCGATCACCTCACTCTCTGGATTCCCTATGTCGAGCCCCGCCAGGTCTTGTGGAACGGCCGCACCCCGTCGCTCGACGAATGCCTGGAAAAGTCAGCTGTGGATTCCGTGCGATATACCCGTGAGCTTTCCGCCTTTCTACACGCCTACATTCATCAGCAGGATGATCCTATCATCTTCCTCCTCGACCGGACCCAGGCTCCCGTGGAGCTTGATAGCGACTTCTTAGCCCGGTCCTTGGTCAAACTCGACGTAGCTTCGCTCAAGCCAGCCATGGACGAGGCACGCGTCATCAAGACCGACTACGAAATCGATCTGATCCGGAAGGCCAACGAGATTTCGTCCGCCGCCCACCGCGCCGTGCGAGACCGCCTGGCAGACTTCACCAACGAGCGAGAGGTCGAAGCCCTGTTCCACTCCGAGTGCGCCCTCCGCCGCGCCAAGCGCCAAGCCTACCCCGTCATCGCCGGCAGCGGCGACAACGCCGCCACCCTGCACTACGAAGCCAACGACCAGCCGCTGGCCGACAAGCAGTTCCTCGTGCTCGACGCCGGCTGCGAGTACGCCTGCTACGCGAGCGACGTCACCCGCACCCTGCCCCTGACCGACGCCCTCTCGTCCGAGAGCCGGACCATCTACCGCCTCGTCCAGCGCATGCAGCAGGCCTGCATCGACGCCGTCCGCCCCGGCGTCCTGTTCTACAGCCTGCACCTGCGCGCCGCCCACCTGGCCCTCACCGTGCTGCACCGGATCGGCATCCTCAAGGGCCACCCGGACAAGATCTGGCTGGCCGGCACCGTGGCGGCCTTCTTCCCGCACGGGCTGGGCCACCACATCGGTCTCGAGACCCACGACGTCTCGGGCCGGGATCGCTTGCTGCTCTCGCGCTTCGAGCTGGAGTCGCTCGGCCTCGACCGTGGGAACAACAACGCTTCGAGGTCTGCCAAGGCGAAGCGCCAGTTCGTCTCGCCGGAGACCCTTGTCGCTATGCATTCCGGTCAATATGGCATTGCCTGGAAACCTGACGAGACGGAGGAAACATCAACGGCGGCCGCGCCGCCTCCGCCGTACAGCGGACGACAGAAGCTCGGACCGGGCATGGTTGTCACGGTGGAGCCCGGGATTTATTTCTGCCGGGAGTACATTGAAGGCTACTTCCTCCGTAGCGACAGGCACAAACACTACATTGACGTGGAGCAGTTGGAGCGCTATTATCACGTCGGTGGTGTGAGGATCGAGGATGACATCTTGGTCACTGAGACGGGATATGAGAATCTGACGAGCGCGCCCAAGGTAATCTAATGGTTTCGTGGGAGAAAGGAACCTGGAGGAGCAATGGGGGTTTTCGTCTCGGCGTACCCTTTTTTTTTCCCCCTTTCAAACGGGGGTTTCAATGCGATTAGACGAGTTGATGTCTGGGCCATTTGTTACGGAGTATTCGTCTTAAAACAGTTCGGCACGTTATCAGGGAACAATATATATGCAGAGGTGCGAAACCGCCGCCGTGGACAGGCGAGATAGATAAACCAGGGGGAGAATCCAGAACCATTTCAATCCTCATACAGTAACAGTAGTCCCTCATGATGCGTGTAACACGTAGCTGTTCGCTTGTTCGCTTGTTTTGCGTGTTTAATACAAGACAGCCCCCCATCGCCCTCTATTTAGCTGCGTATAATCACTTGCTACGGATGCCTCCCGACTTGACCATAAAAAAAGCAAAGAAAACGATAAAGAAGAGACAGGGAACCAGCAGAGAAAACTACAGGAACTTCTTCGGCGAACTGGCTCTCCTCCGCTTGTACATGTAGTAACCAATGGCAGCCACGATCTGCGAGCCGATGATGACGAATATCAGCTTGCCGTGACCGGGAACAGCCTCCGACACCGAGCTGGCGAGGGTGCGATGATGCTCGCCGAGGGCAGTCCTGAGCGCACGCTCGCTGTTCTTGACATTAGTGTTGACGTCCTTCCGAATGGACTTGATCTCGCGCTCGAGATCGCTCATCTTGAGCTCCAGGTCCTTAAGGGCGTCCATGCGCGGGATGACATCCGTCTTGATCGTCTCGACGAGCCGGGTGATCTCCGACTTTTGCTGCTCGCTGGCCCGGGCGTGTTTGGAGACGGTGCGGAAGACGTTGCTGATGTGGTGCGTCATGCTCTGCAGGCGGTTGTGCAGGTCGGCGAACTGCTCGGCCGAAGACGTGAAGACGTCGGCAGATTGGTCGGCGACGTCGTAAGGATCGTTCACGCCGTCGTTGCTGTTGGAGTTGTCGAAGAAACCTTCGTCCTTCTTTTGTTTCTGCTGCTGCTGCTGCTGCTGCTGCTGCTGTTGTTGTTGTTGCTGGACAACGACAGGTGGTCTCGTCCTCCGGGCGGCATTGTTGTCGCCGGCGGGGGGTTGGTTCGCGTCCGCCTGTCCATTCTGCGTATTGGTGTTCTGGGAGTCGAGACTCTCGGCCATGACGGCGAACTTGAAGATCTCGAAGGAGTCTGGGTTGTCGGCGCTGGCGGCCGTAACGCCGAACTGGTAGCCTGCGGGGACGCGAACCTTGTCCGTCTCGAAGCAGAGGCGCCCGTCGACTTCCACGGCGAACTTGTTGGAGGTCTGGCGCATCTTGATCTGGCTGGGGCGGCCGAGGTTGCGGTACGCGTAGACGCAGTGGCCGAAGGCGAGTCTGGAGATGTCCTTGTGGGAGCTGAAGTCGATGGAGCCGTCGTTGAGGAAGCCTCGAAGCATGCCGCCAGCGCCGCCGTGGGTGTCGACGACGAGGACGAGGCCGTCGAAATGGCCGACGGTATAGACGCTGTTGGTGCTGACGTCTCGTGGCCCCGCCGACGTCAGCCAGATGTTGAGGTTGCCACCCCCTCGCTCGGGGCCTGTGGCTCGGAATTCGAGGTCGGCGATCCAGCTGGAATAGTCCAGCTTCCTATCGGCCCAAATGGCAGCTCGTTGGTTCCCCGGAGCGACGGGCGTAAGGATGATCTTGTTCGAGAGGAGTTGGGGTTGTTGGCTGCCCGAGAGATCGAAGTGAGGAATGACGCCGTCTCTTCCCATACTGCTAAGGGCCAGACAAACGGTTAGCATCACATCGAGACATGATATTCGTACGTATGTGGCGGGTGGGGAAGAGGCATGGCTGTGGTGGCATCTTACTTCCCGTCATAGCCAAAGCTCAACTCATTGATCAGGTACTGAGCTTGGGCGAGGCCAGCACCCAGCATCAGGGCGAGCGTAGAGCTCAGCGAAGGTATTGGAACATGCATTGTGGAAAATGAAGACTGGTCTCTGTCGAAAATTCGACTGCAGAACAACGGGTAGGAAGACCAGCTACGCAGGAAGCTGTCGCGGTCGTGGACCCAATTGGATGTCCAAAGATCACAGGGAAGCTCTTATGAACCAAGCCGGCAAAAGAATTCGCAGAGCTGAGGCGGAGTATGTTCGAAAGGGAAACCCAATATAACAGGCCGAATCCTTAGTATGATGTCTCAGTAGCTTGAGGACAGTTGGCACTCGAAAATGATGGGCGGTCGACGATATGAATTGGGAAAGCGGCTCTTCGGAGTTGGGCTCCGAAGATTGGTCTCTTGGAAAAAGGGGGAAAAAAATGGACGGTGAAGCTCCAGAACGATCCAAAGTTGTTCTATATGAAATTCAATAGGGAGAACGATTGTTGTGTGATGCAAGTGGGCTTGCAGACCATCCGTGACCTTGTAGGGTCTAAGAGTCTCGTTATTTCCCTTTTTTTCTTTCTTTTTCTTTTTTTGAGTGCTCCGATCCTGCTGACACTCTGGCTTCAAGGAAAGAAGCAAGAGTACCATACCAGTATGGGCACCACCAGAGTGGCTGGGGAAAGCGGGGAGCCACATCCCGTAGCTGTACTTAGGTACTTCAAGGTGGAGGTGGAGGGGAAATTTGGGGTAATTACGGAGTACGAAGTACCTGAGATGTCCTAATAACTGCAGGTGGTGCACAGACTGTTCACCCCCCGTTGCAATCAACAATTGACCGTCGACTCTCTCTAACCCCCCCTCCCCAGCCCAACTAACTGAGCTCCCGACAAGGTCCACATACACACCTGCTCAACAGAGCAGAGTTGTCGGCGATTAGGCCTCCGAAATCTACCACCCCCCCTGCGATGCGGATCGTTTTTTCATAAAGGACCATCTGCGCGTGCCACGATGGCCGAGAATTTCCCTACCCTTGGGCAGTGTGCCCTGGTCGCCGGGGCATTCAAGGTTCTCTTATTTCCTGCATAGTAAGTTTCTAGGTGATCTACCCTCATCACAAGTCTGGATCCCTCATCTCCTTGGCTTGGGTCCCTGTGCGGTAGATTTGTACAGAGCTAACGGCCCGCCCCTTACGCTACAGCAAATCGACCGATTTCGAGGTTCACAGGAATTGGCTTGCCATCACCAATAGCCTCCCACTGTCTCGGTGGTACTACGACACCACATCAGAATGGACGCTTGACTATCCCCCCTTCTTTGCCTACTTCGAATGGGGCTTGTCGCAAGCCGCCAAGCTCGTCGAGCCAGCCATGGTCAGGGTCTTCAACCTGGAGTATGACAGTTGGAGGACGATATATTTCCAGAGATGGACCGTCATTCTGTCGGAGCTGGTGCTGCTATACGCACTATACGAGTATGTTTCCCCCCTGGCTTTCGTGGCCCCACGTACCAGCGGCAACGTGGCCGAAGCTCACCCGACTGTCAGGTTCGTCGCAGCCTCGCAGCTCTCGACCAAGCGTGCCAACCACGCAGCCGCTCTCTCGATTCTGCTGTCCCCTGGCCTCCTGATCATCGACCACATCCACTTCCAGTATAACGGGTGCATGTACGGTTTCTTGATCCTCTCCCTCGTCTGGGCCCGGTCAAAGTCAACTCTCCTCTGGAGCGGCCTAGCATTTGCCGCCCTGTTGTGCATGAAGCACATATACCTGTACCTAGCCCCGGCTTATTTCGTCTTCCTGTTGCGTGCCTACTGCCTCCATCCCAAGTCAGTAATGCGCATTCAGTTCATGAACTGCATCAAACTTGGCGGAGGCATCGTCGCCATTTTCGCAGCCGCATTTGGTCCGTTCGCCTATCTAGGCCAGATCCCGCAGCTCCTGAGCCGTCTTTTCCCCTTCTCTCGCGGACTAGGCCACGCATATTGGGCCCCCAACGTCTGGGCGCTGTATTCGTTTGCCGATCGAGTATTGATATACGGTGAGTCAGGGGCTCCAAGAAGAAGTTGAAGCCAGCGTTCAGTTTGCTAACGACAGCATAGTGGCCCCACGACTCAAGCTGCCGGTCAATCTCGATGCGGTGAATAGCGTCACTCGTGGTCTGGTCGGGGATACTGCATTTGCCGTACTGCCCGAAATCACGCCGAATACTTGCTTCGCCCTGACACTGTTCTTTCAGGCACTGTCTCTACTCAAGCTGTTCAACCAGCCGACCTGGGACACTTTCATTGGCGCCGTGACGCTGTGTGGGTATGCCTCGTTCCTGTTTGGGTGGCATGTCCACGAGAAGGCTATTCTTCTGGTCATTATCCCGTTCACCCTGATCGCCCTCAAAGACCGCCGCTACCTGGGAGCATTCCGGCCCCTTGCGGTCGCCGGACACGTATCTCTGTTTCCCCTCCTGTTCACGCCGGCGGAGTTCCCCATTAAGACGGTATATACCATCTTTTGGTTGATTCTGTTCCTCATGGTGTTTGATCGGTTGGCGCCTGCATCACCGAAGGCGCGGTTTTTCCTGCTGGACCGCTTTAGTACGCTGTACATAGCCATCAGCATCCCCCTAATCATGTACTGCTCTCTAGGGCATCGGGTGGTGTTTGGCAAAGCGTATGAGTTCTTACCACTCATGTTCACAAGCTCGTACTGCGCCATAGGGGTCGTGGGGAGCTGGGTTGGTTTCATGGTTGTGTACTTCGCATCCTAGAGTGGCCGAAAATTCGCAAAGAAAGGCACCCGGTGCTAATAAGGAACATACATATGTTAAGAGTGTAACAGGACACCCTGCCCCATGGTGGGACTTGCCACAGCCACAATCATTGAGGCCTGTGAACCATATTTTGGGAAATGGATTCCCTTCGGACACCCCATCGAGAGACCTGACGTCGTCCTAACTGAGTCAGCAAGTAGCCAATCAAAATTGGACAAGCCACGTGTTCTGGAAGGCTGAAAGCCACATAAGCGGGCCCTGATTTTGACGCCAACGACAGGTGGGGTAAAGAAGCCCAGTCTATTCCTGTTTTAGAAATAAAGATGGTACCTAATGAGGTACTGTTCCTCCGGACCGTCCACCTCGCCAAGGTTTCTTGATCGTTGGACTCTCGTTCTGAGAATACAACAAAGTAAAGAAGCATTGAAATACACAGCTCGAGAAGTTAAAATTTCCTCTTGTCAATCAGAGGAAGAAAAAATAGCAAACGAATTGTAAAGAAACTGAAACTACGACATACTTTGATTTCCGTATGTCTACAGCTCACCGAAATTCAAGAGGAAACACCCCCCTTTTAATAAGTATATGAACATTGGCTGCTGTTAGTTCCCCTGATACGTCTAGTTTTAGTGTCCATACTGATATGGGTAAAAGAACAGGGGGAAAGCGGCGGGTCACAGTTAATTACCAAATGTAACACCATCGGATACATGCCCGGGAGTCTTGACCCGCTCTCACCTTCAGGAAGCTGCCCTGTTTGACCACCAAAATAAAGCAATTGCTCCAAAGCCAACAAGACAAGCACGCATCCGAGTCCGACGCACAGCTTCGCAACACCACAGATGAGTTTCCGATGTCTGAAAACTAAGATACCAGATGAGAGGCTCAGGTGGCCAAGACAAGGTCTGGAAGACCCGGTGACTTTCAGGACAATACGTTGGATATAAAGCAGCGATGCGATGGGATCGAATGAATGAACCAAAACAAATCATTATCCATTCCATTACAATTGAAAAATCCGAAGATTTTCTTATATTTTATCAACTTTTATGGGTGGCGTCATTGTATGGCCTGCGACGCGTTAGACTGCACCCGTGTCACAGTCTCCCACGAGGCCTTCAATCCGAATGAGACCTACCCATCGGGATATTATTTCGATCAGCTATTAAGGAGCATTGTGAAGCAGAAATATGTCCAAAATACTTGGTTCAAACTCATGTTTGATTCGCCTGATTACGGCGAATAAGTCAAGTACAAAAACGTGGGTGAAAAACGACGAGGCGGTGTCGTTGCCCAAAGCCGAGGAAATCTCGAGGGTGGAGTGGTGGTTTTGGAGGAGGCGGGAGGACAACGCTTGTCGTCAGGGAACAGAATATGTACGAAGTAGCGGGACATTTCACGCACCACACAACACACGCACACACGCGCGTGCCCACACACCGCGGCGGGTGCCGGACAAGCCCCGCCCCAACACAATGGGCCGCCAATAGGACGCAACGGAGACCCCATCGAACCAAGACCATGCGGTCTCTTCCTCAGTACCTGGTATTTTCCCTTACCTCTTTGAGAGCGACAACCTACTGCCAATGGACGGTAG